TAGTTAACTGTAAAATTAAGTAATATAAATATTTAAGTCAGATCAAAGTCATTTTAAATCAAGAACTAACAAACATCTCAAGCTGAAACAATTACACTTCAATAACATACTCTTTATTTCATGTTGGTTAATCTGTGCTTAAAAACATAGTCCACATAATATAAATATGAATTTAAATATTTTTCTATTTGCGACAGTCATTTGTGAAAGATATATCTTACAAGATCTTTTCTATGCCAATTTTTTTTTTTTCATTCAACTTAGAATAGCATACAAGCTGACGGTTCACCTGATGGAAAGTGGTAACCGTCGCCTATTACATGTAAGCCAATTTTATGACAATTAGGATTATACCATGATGATATTTATGATGATACCATCACAGATATCACTCTATTATGATTAACCAACACCTCTCGATGGGGGGAAAGGGATTGTTAGTAATAGAGACTGAGAATCCCATTGCTAGCAATATACCCAACCAGGTCGACCTCCTCGCGGTTCCCCCTGGAAACTATCATGGTTAATTCCTGATGAATTCATCATGATGGGCTAACTGGCCTGTTTTCATTCTCATCTATCACCCTTCACTGGTGCTCCGCCAGCGTATCCCGTTAGCGCAGGCGGGGTTACCACACCATTTTCACCCATCAAAAAAAAAATCGAACAATCGAATTTAGGAATAGATACATTTCTATAAACAAAGGCATACTTTTTTTACCATAAAAGATGGCAAACAAGCATTCAACCTGTCTGACGGTAAACGATACCGACTCTGAAGAAACCTTAATATAGCCTTTTGAAGATCCCCATACTGCAGTCTCTAAGGAAAAAAGCATGAGAAAGAAGAAGACACCGGGCGTCGCTGTCTCATTCTATGTCATGGACATTAGCAATAACGATTGTATTCATAGATTCGTTTGCCACCTGAGTACTCATACGAGGGAAAAGTCGTCTTAAAAATAATATGTACAGGGGTCCAAAAGTATCCTAAATATTCAAATCAACGAATCGAACAGTAATGTCAATATTTTGAAACAAACTCAATACACAGTGCTATATTATACTAAACGACGTACAAATTAAGGTCTATATTAGATTGTTGCCCATAACAGGGCGAAGTAGGCGTTACACGCCGCTCACGGCAAAGCTCAGTTTGCTTAAGAATACTTTAAATGATTAATACCCTAGTTTGACACTGTCTTATTGCGCTGGTTTTGTTAAAGTATGAAGCATAATTCAGTATGTTGTGACGAAACCATTTTGCGCACGATTTTTTTTTATATATTTACTTAGAGAATAAAAAATCTATAATAAGTAGATTTTGTTCCACACAAAAAATAAACCACCAACTTTAATGGAAACAAAACCAGATTTTGATAAAATTTTTATAACACAAATTTGAAAGTATAACTTTTCATATATAAAAATAATTGTCTTATTTAAGGTCAAATAATACGTAAAATACATTCAGTTTCGCAACTGAAGGTATCGCCTTTTATTTCAATCGATATCTGTGTTGTGTGTGACTTTTTAAACTAGTACTGTGGAGCACATAGTATTAAACTTTAATTTTTTATTTAAAACAATAACTGAATATTAAAAATAAACTTTATTTCATATGGAGTAAAGTAATTTTTTGTCTACTCCACGAAATAAGCGTAAGTACATCACTAAAAGACTTCTAGTGTAAAATAATACAGATTATACAGTGAGAAATATAAATAAGAGAATATCTAAGCAATGCAACATTTGAATCTCGCTTCACACTTTATCCAGCGATTAATTTGTTGCGTTGGAACGAATATTTGGCCATTAAATTCTTATGAGTCGAATGAAGTAGTTGTAGTAAATATAGGGCATTGAAATACATATCTGGATGCACTAATAGTATATCTTTTTTTATACCACTAAGGTAACAAACAAGCATACGGCCCACCTGATGATAAGCGGTTACCGTAGCTGATGAACGCCTGCAATACCAGGGGCATTACGCGCGTATTGCCCACCCTGAAGAAAACTTACCCCTTTTTTAGTATGTAACTTATGTAATATTGTTATATAAATATAGCATTAATATACTCGTGTCATGTCAGTATTTTCACGTACACGATATATACCTGACGGTCAGCAGGTAAAAGCATCAAATTGCTCGAACAATTTCATGGAAATATTATTAATGTTTGCATTTTAATTTATCAAGTTTCAATTACATTCGAACGAATTACACCAAAGTATTTCCGTACATATTATACTTAATAATTATACAATTAAGGTCCTTATTTCATTGCTTTATACAATCACGTCGGACTTATCAGCGATTTGAATGTATCTACGACGGTGTTCGCACGTTTCCGTTCACGTGACCATTGTACTGTCACTTGATATTATAAACTTTGCAACACTGCAAAATATGGTTGGTGTTAGTTTGAAATAAGAATATCGTTTCTAACGAACTACATATTTGTTTTCACAATAATGTGATTAGAATAAATTTGCACTGTAATATTGTAACTAATTATCGTTCAGTGGTCGTAATTCGACCATAACATATAATGTAATAAATGAATTTATTATGGTTATGTTTGACATTCGGTAAGACTATAGACAAATAATATTAAATACAAACAATATTAATCTATTCTCAATTTGACCACAGACTTTAACAATAAACAAAAGAGTATATATGCGTGTGTATGTCAAATACATGGTAACGTAATTTTTTTTTTTTGCTAATTTAATGTATCTTTATACATATTAAAAAAGAGTTAGCACTCTGCACCCCTTCTCTATATACTCTATAAGTGTGCGAAATTTCATACTTTTCCGTTTTCTTAATTTTTGTAAAAAGGGGTACAGTAAAAAGGGGGTTTCTGCTTCACGTATTAATATATGTAGAATAATTGTAATAATTATTTGTAGCTATAATTCCACGAAACTGTCCGAACAACAGTATACCATCTGCATCGAACAAAACGCCAACCAATCGTCCCCTCGCAACAAAACCGAACACAAACCTTACACTGCGTTAACTACACTAAAATTTGTGCGTATCGACCTATTATTACAATACATCATTCACACATCACACGACAGACGCACGACATTTACGGTACAACTTATTAACATATAAATATATTTTTATTATTTAAATATATGCTTATTGCTGTCTCTGTCACACAGATTAAGAGAAGAGCTCGATAGCGATAGATCTCACTTACATTACATTGTACTCCGAGGTTATAAACACGGTCAAATAAATTACACAGAATCAAAACGTCGGTAACACAATTGTAAATATACTTTGGTCACTACAAATGTATGGCTTTTTATATATACAACTATATGGAATTTAATCTCCTACTGTCCTCTACACGCTGCGGAAACTGCTTAGCTAACCCTCCTATGGAAGCCTTGACCAACTGAGTCCACTTTTAAGAAGTTCGTACCGCTTTAGTGATTTAGTCGAGTGGCGAGTAATTTAGATTAACGAAATATTCATTTTCGTCAAATAAGAGTATTTTTACGAATTATCAGCCGCTCGACAAATTACTAAAACAGTCTGTACTAGACTTTAGAGATTAGCATACTCGCATGTTGAGAGGTCACACCTGACCCCAGAGTTAGAAGTAATTCATAAGAAGAGAATATTTCAAGAACAAAAAAAGCTTAAACGACATAATTAGCAAATTTGAACTTTACTATTCAAAGAATAACGACCAAACAAAACAAAGTACATATCTACCGAACATAACCACTTCCGATCACACATCGACTCGTGTGTGAAAGTCGAAACAAGACGAAAGTAAAAAAAAAAAAACCTTAACACTAACAAGAAAGTGATATTAATATATAAGGTTCAACGTATTTGGATTATTTTATACGAGAAACATAATGGCGCCCGAGTCTCAGGAACTAAATAGTGAATACTGTCCCAACTCCAAACTACTTTGGGTGAACATAACGAGAATGGAGACTCAGCTATAACACAGTCTATACCTACATTCTTGTATAATCTAAACATTTAAACTCTAAAGTAAACAATAAACAATGTCTCAACATATAGATTTAAATAATTTATATATTTACTTATTGCTCTCACGGGTTCCGTATCGCGGAAGACATGCTCCTAAGCCGTAAAACGAGGCCAGATACACACGACCATAGACAATTAGGCTTTTTATGGATGTGTGCAATATAAATATAGCTTTATACGTGAAAACTATAGGAACACAAATTGTGTACATTCAGCGCTCGAAGCAGAACTAAAGCAGTCACTCGGGGTGACAGGTATCTGTATTAGAACACATACTTTATTATATTTCTACTAGGGATGGGTAATATACAGCAATACATATATATATATATATATATATATATATATATATATATATATATATATATATATATTTCAATTCCAATATCTATATATTGGCTCAACAATGAATATGTCTGTCGTAAATGTCTGTTCTCTAATATTTATATATATAAAATTTATATATATATATATATATATATATATAAAACCCACTACATAGATATTGGACTGGTACCAATATTATATTACCAATATTATATTACCCATACCTAATTTGTACTATATAAATGTTATATATATATATATATATATATATATATATATATATATATATATATATATATATATATATATCGCGATATGGATATATTCTATCTTATATAAATTGGAATCTTACCCCCTTATTCATAAAATCATCAAACGTCTCGTAAACTTATTCTAGCTATTGAAATGTTTTGTGTATTTCTTTTGCGCCAAATACTTTATTAAAAAAAAAGTAACAAACACTCTAATTATTTAAGTAATTCTATAGGTTTTAGTTTTTATAAATAAGAGGGGCATTCATTAGCTACCATTAATGGGACTGTTCTACCGGAGGAACTAACAAAGTTCGTTCAGTTGTCAAATTAGTGCAGGAAGCTCTAAAATTTACGTCATATGTCAACCTGTATTTCTTTAGAAAAAAAAAATATTATTTTCATTGTAAGACAGCCATGATAGTACGCTGATAATTCCGCTTTCAACTTGAACACATATAAATAATACTTGCAAACAAATTTTCAAAGACAATTTGTGGAAGAGTGCAAGTGTTTTTTTTTTCTCTCTCTAATATCATCAAACTCTTCTGTTAGCTACAAAAACAATCTACTAAATACAAATAAATCCATACAGTATTAATGCCTTTTTACTACCAAAATTTAAAAATATTCATATATTAATAGAAACGATACACTGTAATTTAAATTCAGTAATATTTAAAGAATCTTGGAGTTGTATATAATCCAATTTGACTTCTAAGCTAACAGTACGATAGTTATAAACAATATCAGTCTGATATTAAATACATAGAAACATGATCTAGGCCTAGTTAAGTTGGTGATAGACGTCGGTTACTATGATACAGTGACTGATCGTTCGCAGGGCGACTAGTTCGGACTGTGTTAGTAATTTAGTAAGAGCGGTTAGTAATTTAGTAACCAAACGTATCTGAAGAACAAAACTTTAGTCGGTTTCAGCAAAATAACCTAATAAGTTTTACTAACGTATTCATTCATTCTTATCAATCGAATTTATAAGTTGTCTTAAAATGACTAGGTACTATGGGCTAAGATGAAGACAGTGGGGGGAAAGGGATTGTTAGTAATGGAGACTGAGAATCCCATTGCTAGCAATATACCCAACCAGGTCGACCTCCTCGCGGTTTCCCCTGGAAACTATCATGGTTAATTCCTGATGAATTCCTCATGATGGGCTAACTGGCCTGTTTTCATTCTCATCTATCACCCTTCACTGGTGCTCCGCCAGCGTATCCCGTTAGCGCAGGCGGGGTCACCATACTATTTTCACCCATCAAACATGAAGACAGTAACATGCCATGTGGGGTGAAAAGAAGTGTTAGTAATAGGTTCTAACAGACCCATTGTTAGCAATATAGACTATCAGGTCGACCTCCACGCGATTCTCCCTGGAAACCTACGTCGTTAATTCTTGTGAAATTCGTCATGATGAGCAAACTGACTTGCTTTCATCCTCACAGGTGTCCTGCCAGTGTATACCGATAGTGCAGGCGGAGTAACCAATCCATTTTTATACATTAAAAAACATACCACGTGACCCACAGCCAATGTGAACGATTTTTTTTTAATATGTGAAAATGGATTTTCCCGCCCGCGCTATTGGTATACACCGACGAGGCACCAGTGGAAGATGATAGGTGAGAATGAATGCAGGTTAGTTGGCCCACCATGATGAATTCGACAAGAATTAAACATGATGGTTTCCAGAGGAAACCGCGTTGAGGTCAACCTGAGAGGGGGTATATTGCCAGTAATGGGGCTATTAGACCCCATTACTAACAATCCCTTCCCCCCCCCCCCCTCCCCCCTGTGAACGATATTAAAACAACGGAGAGAATTCATATAGTTTTTAAATTGCTAGCCCCACGACTAAATCATTAAAACTGTCCGAACTAGACTAGTATAAATACGATAGAATCTTATTATAACTTTTTAAATTTATTTAAAAGATCAAGACACCAAGATTTCACAATCCAAACATAATTATTGTATGAAAACGCGGGTATATTCTAACAATATTTACAGACAACCGTATCCACGTTGGATAAGTTTATATAAATCAATTAAAACATATAATTTAACAGCATCAATTTGAGGTAGAGGAAGGTAGGATGTACCTATCTACATATACACGACACGAGCAACTAGGGTTGCCAACCGCACTTTTTTACTATCCTACTATATTTTTCATCACGATTATTTTATATGTTTACTTAATTTATGTGAAAATATTTATATTGCGAACCACGTAACGGGCATCACATTGTTATAAAGTCATTTCAATAAAAACGAGTCGTTTATGTCAACCTACGTTTTAGCTTGTAATTGTAGAGCGCATAATATTATTTGAACAACATATGAATACCAACATGTGAAGTTACATTTCTAGAAGTTCTTTTTTTTATATATATATAAAATACTTCTTTTCTCTTTCAAAACATACATTATTTTGGCTAAAAATGTTGGCTACCCTACATACAAACATACACTCATCGCACGGCGCAGCAAAGCTTCACATACAACTGGCATATAACGGTTTCCTCCATTTTATACTTATTATATACACCGTAACATCTTTTAGTTGCGTTTTTTGTGTTTGTCTAATCAATAAACATTAGGAATCAACATACTAATATTGTTGGCAACAATAAAAAAAATATTAAATACATTAAAATCTAGTGCACAATGCAACACTTTCAATCTGTATTGCATATACATTTTTACCATATTTTTATTACATTCAGTGAACACTTTTAGGTTCATTATTAAAATTTGACAAAAACTAAAAAATATATTATAGCTGTACAATTTACGTCCTATGCTCATAAAGGTGTCAAAATTTAAAAAACATTATATAACATTGTTATGTTGGCATCATATTTGAACTTACTCGATTGTTTCACGTTCGAATAGTGTGAAGCCTTACTGCGCTCGGTCAGTCAGCTATGGCGAGGTGTGGTGCCGCCGTCGGCGACGGAACACGAGCGCGAATATGCTGCGCAGGCGTCGCCACCGCCGCCGCCCGCCGCCGCCGCCCGACGGACCCGGACCCATAAGTGACGACTGAAACGCAAACATACCTCAAATACTTATCTTCCTAATATAATAAAATTATAACTATTTCTGTACACGGAGTATATTTAAGACAAATTAATATGAGAGGTCATAATAAGACCAATAGAAGTCAAAATAATATCTTTTAGAAAATTTCAACCGACTTCAAAAATAAGGAGGTTATATGTTTTTTTTAATGTTTCTTACCTCATAACCCACTCAGTTATATGCCAATTACCAATTTATTTCATACTTTTTTTATATGAAAGGATATAAATACTTACAGATTGGTACTATAGAAATTTTATCAAAATCATTTTAGTAGATCATTTTTTAAATCGAAATAACTGGTTTTGCCGCAAATGAAGTCTCTTTTTTTGTAGAACACGATTTCATTATCTGTCTGTATGTCTGTTTGTTCCAACATAATGCAAAAACTACTGCCCTAAATTAGATGCATTTCAGAGTTATATTCCTGAAGATCTAACTTAAAATTTGGTGTATGTTTTATCTTGGTACGCCGTCTAGCGGTGGACACCTTCTCCCTCTGATGTTAATAATTGTTTATTTTATTTTTAATAAATATTATATATTTTTTTTTGTTGTTAATGACAATTATATTTGAAAAATACATTTACAATATGAGTTATAATAATATACCTGGTTATTTTTTGTTACACGGGTATGCCTCTCTAGCCGCTGCAGTTTTTAAACCAGTTTCCCTTCCGCAACTGCGGTGAGCGTCTTTCCCGTTTCCCCATAAATCCTTCGGTCTTTTTTTACCAACTGTCCTTATGCAGTCCTAACACCCTTTTTTTTCCATAATCCTTTCCTCCATACCGCAGTTGGCGGATACCACCAACAAATGCATTTCCAAGGGGGATCAACATCAAGCAGGTGGCCGGTCGTAAAATCAACAGCCAAAACCTCATATAATTTATATAACAGATGCAAAGTAAAAACCTGTAGGCCTACCATAAAATGATTTCCAAAATTTTGGGGACGAACGAAACAGAAATTTGATGTTAAAATTACGTAATATATACCGTTTAAACATATTAAAAATGTTAAAATATCTTTCCTCTGGACTATTAGGATAGGATTTATGGTGAACGAAATGTTAAGCTTAATGTTAACTAAAAGGGTATGTCTTATAACATGTATAAACACATTTCTTTTATTACTCATTAATTGAATTTTAACGACGTTTAGCCTGTGTTTTCAAATTTATTAATTATCCGGTCTGTATTCAATTTTCGTTAATTATATGTGATAGCTTTTAATTAACTAATTATTGTCATGTATAGTTAATTATTAAGTTATTACAAAAAATAAATAAATCCTTAAAAAATAATAAATATTTATTAGTATATAAGTAAAAATAATTAAAAATATTAATAAAAATAAACTAAAATCATAGTGTGTCGTCTACAGTATGAATAAAATGATATTACGCGAATAATTTGTTTTTTTGTTAAAATACTATTTTATATAAAGTAAATACAATTATGATATACCTGTCTCTGTCTTTCCAACCGTCGTATCTCCCTGACAAGCGCGTGAAAGGCATCATCGACGAAGTGTCTTAGTGCTGCTGACGTCTCAAAGAACGGACAGCCGAGCTGCGTCGCGAGCGCTTTCCCTTCTTCTGTGCTTACCTGATGACACGACAATTATGTTAAACATGATTCAAATTGCAACACAAATATGTACAAATACAATGATAAAACAATTGTAATAATAGACGTCATCATCGTCATCATTTCAGCCATTATTCGTCCACTGCCGAACATAAGCCTCCCCCATAGACTGCCATAAACGACGGTCCTAGGCCGCCTGCATCCACTGACTCCCTGCAATGCATTTCAGGCCGTCACTCTATCTAGTGGGGGGTCGTCCTACATTGCATTTACCTCTACGCGGTCGCCATTCAAGAGTCTTTTTTCCGCATCATAGACTATTATAAATTATTGTTAAATTCTAAATGTATAATATAATAGATTAGTCCCCATATAAAAACGTCGACCCTTTTATAAACCTATTTTAATTACTGAATCGTTCTGTCTCTTTCTCTAGTGCTAAATTCCCAATTTGAAAAAAGTTACATGAGAATAATTAAAATAGATTTGTAGGTTTTAATTTTCATGAATAAGGTTGAATATGCCTTCTGTTACTTGCCATGTAATTTTATACAACATATTATTGAGTGCATTAGAATTATTGCATATTTAATATTGTAATTATTTACTCGGTATATTTTAAATTCCAGGTAATTATTGTTTGTGAAGATTGTGATCGACAAAACAATTGAATTATGGCAAAACCGGTTATTTCAATTTAAAAACTAAACTACTGAATTAAATTTCGAAGTCACTTTATAAATAATGGAGTTATGAGGTAACAAATACGAAAAAAAAATACAACCGCATTGATAACGTCCTCCGTTTTTGAAGTCGGTTGAAAATATAAACATTCAAAGCTGAAACTCACTTGTCTAAACCTCGGCGCAAGATCCAGCTTGTTCCCGACTAGGACCAGCGGCAGCCGCTCGGAGGGCCTCGCCTGCGCGAGCAGCCGGCGGTACTCGGCCGCGGCGCGGAACGACCGCCGGTCCGTCACCGAGTAGCAGAGCACGAAACCCTCGCCGCAGCGCATGTACTGTTCCCTCATCGCGGTGAACTCCACCTAAGAGACCACAACCGCCACAATGAGAGGGGGGAAAGGGATTGTTAGTAATGCAAACTACCAGTCCCATTGCTAACAATTTACTCTGTCAGGTCGACCTCCACGTGGTCCCCCCTGGAAACCATCGTACTGAATCCCAAATGTATTCATCACGATGGACTAACTGACCTGTCTTTTCATTCTCATCTATCATCCCTCACTGATGCCCCACCAGCGTATAACGTAAGCGGACGGGGTTACCATTCCATTATCAACCATTACAAAAAAATCTAAATAAAAACAATCTTAAACATTTCCAAACTTATTTTAAATACAGAATCGAGACTTGACGCGATTAAAAAACCTTTGCAGGTAAATACTACCTAAAACCTGCTTTTTTATTATTCTTTATTTTTTTAAGTCCCGATTGTATATTTGAAATACGTGTGAACAACGCAAAAATTTAAAATTAACTATTTCCAAAGTTGTATTGCAAGTAGTTATATATGTATGTGTAATATTTTAAAATATTGTATTGCAAGTGTTCATGGACGATGGTTACCACTTCCCATAAGGCGAACCGTCCGCTCCTTTGCCTCGCTAAATTTTATTACTTTTATCACCAAATTGTATGCAGTTTTCAATTGAGATCCTGACAGTCTAACTTTAAATCTGATGATATAACAAACAAAAACAAAATATGCATTTCCTACTTCTGAAATCCAAGCGTACAAAGTAACAGAAGGAAAGGTACTACTCAAAAATATGAAACTGCTAGAGAAAAACTTTTTAAAGTTTCGACTAGTAATAATATGCATAACTCATGGACATACATGACTGTTGCACCGGGTTGAAATATAAAGCGTTCGGTTTCAACTTATTAAATATGTATCATTATAGGAAAACAATTGTATGACTCACATCAGCGAAAATTAAATGTTTATATAAACACTCGTGCATTCCAATAAAAGGTTTCATGTTCTCATTTCTTAAAACAAACAAATAATAGTATAATTCGTCAGTTTTTTTTTTTTTTAACTCATCCACTTACTCATATTACGGGCTGATTCCACGTAAATCAGTGTTAAAGAAAATCTGATTTTTTTATGCAACTTAGAATGGCAAACAAGCTGACGACCCACCTGATGAAAAGTGGTAACCATTGCCTATTGACATGAGCAGTACCAAGGACATAACAGAGTATACTGTTTCGCTCATGATACTCCCCATGCGTTGCCATTCCTGAGGACTAATGTAGAATATGGTCCATTAAAATGAAATATTAAAATCTTTTGAGGTTGTTAAATGATAAAATGCATTTTTATTAGCACATTCTAAAATGGAATAATTGTACCTGTTGGTGCAAATTTATAATATACAAAAAAAACTAACTTGGCCAGCTGTATCCAGTATATCTAAGAGAGCGGGCTCCCCATCAATCACAGCTTGCTGCTGGTACGAGTCCTCTGAAAATTGAAATAATAAATCAGTACATATTAAAAATTTATATATAAACTTAAGTTGGGCGTACAACAATATCCTTATTAATTTTATAAAAAAAGGATTGTCTGTCTTTGCATAACTATCTCCAATTAAATTATAGAAAACGCCCAGGTTTCCAGGTCCCAGAATAGAATAGACCACCTCTTCCTTTCCCGTAAGTGTTGTAAGAGGTGACTAAAGGAGGGCATGGGATGGAAAACAGCATCTCTCTTTACACATCTCTAAAGCCTAACTGTGGTTGACAATCCACCTGCCAAGCATAAAAACTATTGGTTAAACTCCCAAAGGGGAGGCTTATGTTCAGCAGTGAATAATTCAAGGCTGATATGGTGATAGAAAATTTAATAGTTAATATTCTATTCCACCTATCTATCTATATATACCATCATCTACCACAGCACTAATTTATTGTATATAAATTTTTATTTATTTATTTACTAATTTAAGAAACAAAAACAACAATATACTTTTTAGAAGTCAAAAAATAAAATTACTAGATATTAAAAATTACTAAAAATAAATAATAATTATTAAAAATAGCTAATAAAGTTGGTAAAAGTAGAAGAAATTAAAAAAATCAAACAATATGTGTTAAGTCTCTTGTGAAAATTACAGCAGGATCCCACTGTAATTGTAAATTTACTGCAAATTTCCAGCTGTAAAGACGACTGCAGGATTTCAAACCCTAATTATTACAATATTAAAAAAACTACTCTTGAAAATACGAAGAATTCTTTTGTATGCCCCTTGCAACCTACATTATATTCATTACATACACTACTAAATATGGGTCTTGAATAAAAACTATACTTGGAACTTAATTTATAAAATAAATAGGCCACAGCATTATCAATGTAAAAATTGTTATAATTAACCAAACTACTCTGTGAACTTAACATACCTTTCTTATTTAATGACTGATTATGATCCAATTCCCTTATCTACATCATAATAGAAGCAAATGTGAATCATCCCAGAAAGATTTATAATGTAAAGTAATAACTTTTTTATCATTTAATAATGCTATGATATAAAAAAAAAATTATCAAAGACTAATTACAAAGTAACATTTTTATTTATATTTACTGTGCAGTAATAACAGTTTAACAATTAAAATATTTGATTAATTGTTGCACAGCACATATCATGATAAATATTTCTCTATACTCCTCAGTGAATTAATTTATATTAATAAACTGTTACTTGCTACCTACCACTGGTATATATAATATTCTTTTCCTGGGAGGGAGAGGGCATAACCCCTTAAAAATGGTGCATATTTTCTCTCAGACATATCTTTACAAAGCTTTGCTCATATATTTGAATGGGCACCAGATGATTCTGGGGTGAGAATGGCCCACTCAACTACCATTTAAATATGCTTATGCTCCCCTGGATTGAGCTGGGCTATGTTACCTATGATTATATAGATAAACTCACATGAACATAACAATTATGTGTCATATCACTCCAATCAATCTCTGAATTTTATATAAATATATATTTTCTATAAATATAATAATATCTGTCTTTATTGAATAATAAAATAAATATAATTTATTATTCAATAAAAAAAGTTACATCATCTAGTAGCCACCAAAGTAGGCTGAGCCTATATCTCAGTAGATGGTTAAAAAACTTCAGTTTAAATATTTATAAATATTGAATATTGGTGCAACATAGTTAAATATAGGTAACATCATATTACCTCTCTTACAATTCCATTATAGTTTACCCACCCCATATGATATATAATATAATTTGCCAGACATTTTAGCAACCAAATAAAATGTTAATTTACAACAAATAATAATAAATTCATTTATGGAAGCAGAAACCAGGTATTGGGAAAATTGTCATATGGTATACAACCAAATATATAAATATATTACGTTCTTCTGGTCTCATACTCCTAAAAAGCATCATTTATAAAGAAAAAAAAATTTAAATCGAACAACCAGACACAAGCTGTACCTATAGTAGGGTCATGGTAGTCCAAGAAGCTGTGGCTGACAAACTGGAGAGTGACCGCGGACTTGCCGACCCCACCGTCGCCCAGCACCACGATCTTGTAGACGCGGAGGCCGCGCGACGTGCCCGCAGCCTCTCCCGCCATGCCGCCGCATGCCTGGGCCTCCCACTGCCCGTGCCCGCCACCTTCACTCCCAGACCAGCGCCATCGCCCGCCACACAGACCGCTCCCCAATACTAACACCACCGTGCCCGTTTTATAGAACCCGACGCACAAAACAAACCACTTTTCATTTATCAATGCTCATTTTGTTCATAAATAACAAATCAAATAAATTATCTTTAGTAAAAAATCGACAGCTGATTGAAGGCGATTGACATTTTGATAATTATTTTTGTTATGTTGGCGTTGACTGGACTGACGACATTTTTAATATCACAGATAATGTATATTGTATTCTAAGTAAAACTGCAGATAATAAACATAATAAATAAATACTTTTTTTTATTTCTTTTCTTCCCTTCGAATTAAATAATCCACGTTTTATTATAGGGATTTGCTGCAATTTAAAGAAGTCAATAATACTATTAAAGTTAATATAGGCTTTATATATATCTATTAAATTCATTGAAAACGAACAGCCAGCATGGTGTCTTTAATCTCTAAATTCCCGTCTTTATCTACAGAGCAAGTAAGCACTACGTTATAAGAGTTAGCAGTGGCCTTTTATCCACAAAATCTGGAAAATTTATAATACCGTTTCAAAACAACAACACAATGAAATAAATTAATATTTATTTTGACGTATCACTAATACAATCTATCCTTTACATAGCGATAGCACAGAAAAGTAATAAAAAAACAGTATCTGTCCTTAAAAATATTCGTACCTTGAACAACAGATAATTCTTCAAGGGTTGATACATACATAAAATATAAATAAGCAGCAATATACATGTCACTTGAAAATTAACATTTTTAAACATTACCATGACTCCAACTGTCATGGCATTTATTTAAGATAGCCATTATCCGCCACGATGAAACACATTTTATTAATTATGGTTGGAGACGGTAGTCGGTAACATACTTTTAATAGATAAAACTTTAATTCCAAGTGATGCAGACCTAATCTTTGCTGTCTACGAAGCTATCATAACGGGATGTATGAAATCATCACCTCGCAATGCCCTTCAGGTAGAGTGTGTAGACCCCCCTATTCTACTACGTCAACAATATTTATCTGACAAATTTTTATATAAAACATATTTCATTAATACTCATCCCATATCGGCTACTGTAGCAGAATTAGACAACCTTCTTCTCAATTCTCATAACCCTCCCCCAATTATCAAAAGTTATAGACGAATGAAGGAATTAACAGAAGTGGCCCCCATAAATAGGGTTTCTAAGTGGCCGCTATTTGAATGCTCTTTTCAAGCAATTATATTTAAACCAAACATCGTAATAGACACTGGTATACATAAAAATACTATTGAAGCAAATTCGGAGTTTAATTCATATATTGGAAAATTCTGGCCAAATTACCACCGGTTTTTTACAGATGCTTCCAAACAAACAAACTCACGTTTTACCGGTTTTGCAGTGTATTATCAAAATTCGAAAATATCTATGCAATATCAGTGCCCTTCGGTTTGCTCGGTATTTACCGGTGAATGTTTGGCTGTTTTAGAGGCGTGCAACTTTATAGAAGCGCACAACATTTCTAAAAGTATCATATTCTCAGACGCCTTAAGTTGTTTGCAATTACTGAGCGGAAACCAATTTAAAAATCGATTTCGAAGTACCGTTATTTTAGATATTAAATCAAAATTAAGAAAGTGTTCAGATAAAGGTCTGGAGATAGTTTTGATGTGGATCCCTGCTCATGTAGGAATCTTAGGTAATGAGTGCGTGGATTCCCTTGCTAAATTTGCAGCCAATAATGGTGGAGATCAGAAACACGATAAAATCGTCTGCAATGACCTTATAGCATGCCCATTAAAAGACCTCCGAGATGCGTGGACGAATAGTTGGCGAGATTCGTCTAAAAACACTGGCCGATTTTACGCTTCGATCCAATCAATTATCCCTATTAAACCTTGGTTCTTTAGACACAAAAGGTTGCCTAAGTCTATCATTTCTATTTTATGTAGACTACGTGTTGGTCATTGTTGTTCACCAGTATTTTTGCACAAACTTAGAATTAGAGATAACTCTATTTGTGAATGTGGTCAAGAAGATGGTGATGTAAACCATATTTTTTTTGCCTGCCCTTTAAATAGTATAAGCCCATTATACCCACAACTTGTCAAAGAACAAATTCCCCAGCCTACTAACTTAAGTAATCTTTTAATTATTTCTTTTACTGAAAACCCCAATATTTTATGGATTATGGTAAATTTTATCAAAAACAATAATATCAAACTATAAACTCTATATTATGTATTTATTTTATATATTCATAGAAAACATATATTTAAGATTTTTGTATTGATATTTATTACTGGCTCATATTGTGTTGTCTTTTTCAGCTTTATACCAAAAAGTTCAAAATTAGACCAATTATTTAGTTATAATTTCTATCTCCAGTACGAGCCTCTTATACATGACGCTGGCAGAAATGGTCGTAAAAATAGCGACCGATTGCCATTAATGAAAAGAAGAAGAAGAAGAAGACTCCAACTGTCATGGCATTTATTTAAGATAGCCATTATCCGCCACGATGAAACACATTTTATTAATTATGGTTGGAGAAATGGAGACGGTAGTCGGTAACATACTTTTATAGATAAAACTTTTATTCCAAGTGATGCAGACCTAATCTTTGCTGTCTACGAAGCTAAAAAATTTCAATATGAGTTACGTCGAGTGTCAGGCATAAAACCTGATTGTCATTCATTAATTCAAGTGGAACTCATCACGTCAGTCTGATATTAATTTACCTATTTCTTCAAATAAAAAGTTCAAATTATTATAATTGTTTTAACAACTAACATTTTTTAATTTTCTATTCTGAATTATTTAATTCTTATAATCACCTCGAATAATTATTTTTTTTATATCTTATTCAATTTCCTTATAATTTATTAAATTATGGCTCACATACAGTTTGTGGATGAATTAGTGCGAGAATATCTTTTATTTAGAGGATTTGCAGCAACAGTCAAAGCTTTTGATAGCGATTTAAAAGCAGATAAAGATAAAGGTTTTAGAGTAGACAAAATAATTGATCAAATTGCACACTACATCAATGTGTCTGATTTAAATGGTCTTAAAGAGTACTGGTTGCATTTAGATACCTTAGTTTTCTCAAAATTAGAAAGTCATGTTCAACCTGGTAAGTGTTTATTGTTTAATTTATTAATATTACAATCATTTTAATATTTTTCCCTTGGTCCTAAACACTTTCTCGATATACATCAGATGTGACCTTCATTTTCGACAGATTATGTAGGTAGGTACACTTAAAACTGAAATATGAAAAATTCAATATTATAAGCTCTGAGAAGTTCCATCCACCTGATTGATAAATTATATAAAGCTATGTATTGATAATACTTATTCAAATACTGATAAACAAAAATATATTTGAGTGAGGCTGTCCTGACTATAATATTTAAGTGTAATTGTATATTTCTTTTAAATTTTTTTCATTTGAAATTACTTTTTAAACTGGCAAAAGATGTGTTGTATAAACCTACATAAATAAAACCATGTTCTTTACATACTCCATCTGATGGAAATATATTATTAATTTATATATATTTTTCCAGCAATATGTTGTATCAGTACTTAGCCTAAAATGTAGTAGAATATTCAGTATATTCAATAAGTGTACCTACTAGGAAAATTAAAATAAACAGTATATTAAAGAAAATCTACCCTGCCTGCCATGTCCTAAAATAAAATGAATTTTATTTTCCAGCCGTCCGAAAATTAGAGTATAGTCTATACAAGTTGTACCTGATAACAGCAGCGCAAAGCACAGGCGGAGTGCGAAATGAAAAGGTTGCAGAGTTCCTCTCTAAAATGCTTCCAGAACTACAGGGTCAAAGCGAGTGGAGAGACTGGTTCAGTAAGTAGCTTTGTTTCCTTTAGTAATATTACATTTTACATCTAATAGGGTGGATATTCTATTAATTTAAATTAAGTACACTTCCACTAGAGTCTACTGAGTGTTCTAAAAATAAAAAATAAAGATAAATTTATTTGCCTAAACATTTATATGCAATACTGTATAACATACTGGATATTTTATTGATGTTATATTTCCAATATGTTATGCCAATATTAACATGTAAATTTTTTTGTAGATGGATGGTAGTTTTACAAAAAAATATATTGCAAATTACACAATATCAATAATAATAAATTCAACAATCTATTGAAAGAGATGAGTGATTCAAAAGGAAGGTTTATATATATAATAAAAAAAGAGAGATTTAGTTGTATTTTTTTATTTATTTGTTTCCTCATAGTTCCATCATTTTTAAACTGATTCAGAAAATCCTTTTTTTTTCTTCTGAAAGGATATCAGTTCGACTCATAGAAATTTTATCAATATGGGTACAGTAGTTTAGTGTTTAAATCAAAATAACTGGTTTTGTCATGATTAGAATTAATCTCTTTTTGAACACTAAAATCTAATATTATTTACAATTCAATTCTTACTTCACAGTGTTGCCTTACATTCAGAAGCCAGAAGACAATCCATCCTTCAGTCTGTATTTTACCAGAGCTTGGCAAGACAGTGTGTGGGTTTCACTTCATAATCTACTGGCTACTGTGTTCCAGTGCATGCCCCAACCCACTCTCACCAGTTATGAGAGTGATGCAGCACTAGTGAAGCGATTACAAGATGAAATAACAATGTTGAGGGGAAAGGTAAAAAAAATACAATATTACTAAATCCCTTATTTATATAAATTTAAACCCCCTACAAGCCTATTTTAACTATTCGAGTATTTTTTTCAAATTGGGAATTCATTACAAAAAAAAAATTGTCAATAGCTAAAATAAGTTTTTATGACATGTTTAGTGTTTTTATGAATAAGGAGGCAATTGTGTATGAAAAAGAAAATACTGCAGTATGTATGTAAAATAAGGTCAGTACAAAACACGTGATGAACCACTAATAGGTCAAGTCGGTGCTCTAATATCATACAATGCCGTAGCATTGTAGCACACATTCTTTGTGGTGAAAAAAAAGTATGAAGGTGACGTGGTACGCAGCATCAAATTAATTCAGACTAAAGGCGTATAAATTGTTATTATGAGTTTATGCCAGACGCACAGTGGCAAACTGTGCGTCAGACTCGGGAAGTTACACACACGGTTCGAGCTATTTTTTAACTGACTTCAAAAATGGAGATGTTTTCAATTTGGTTGTATTTTTTATGTTAATAACTTCATAACTCCATCATTTATATACCATAGACAGACAGACTATATTTATTTCGTCCTCCGCAAATCCGTTCAATCCTCTATACAGAGGGGGATTGTTTTTAATGCGGACTACCAGTCCCATTGCTAGCAATGTATCCTGTCAAGTCGACCTCCACTTGATCCCCCCTAGAAACTATCGTGCTGATTTCCTGGTGTTTTGATCACGATGTGCTAACTGACCAACCTTTTCATGCTCATCTATATTCTCATTGGTACCCCGCCAGCGTATACTATTTGCGCAGGCAGCGTTACTATTCCATTATCATCCATTAAAAAAACCCTCTATACATTTTTAGAAAAATATTGTTAATTTCCTCAGGTGCAACAACAGCAGTCAACAGACAAGACTTCTCCAATCGGACACCAATCTCGGCTCGCCCAATACTCAGAGCGTCTTAGCGGGCCATTACCTCTCGTGGATGACTTCTGCGCGGTACCATCCGAACAACTTGAGACTGGTATACGAGAAGCTAAAGGTCTACGAGGACTTCTCCGCCAGATGGGAGGCAGTCCTGTCATGGGCAGAAGATCAGGACGTTCGCAAAGCCAAAATTAAATACTATCCAATTAATTCAAGAATAGGTACTTAAGTGTAAATATGTAACATTCCATAGGTTAAAGAATTGCTATATTGAAATTTGTATGATATTTATTTTAATTTAATTTATTCACTTAAATGTTTCATTTTATTTGCCATTTTGTTTCATTTTACCCTGAAAAGTTAAAAATTAAAATATAAATTTTTGTGCTATATTGACTAAAAATAAAGTGGCATAATTAATAGGTTTTCTCAAAAATGCTCAAATTGGATTATTGGGTTGAGTATAAAATAAATGAATGATTCGCAGTCTCGTCGCAGAACGGTCAGCACTAGTCTGAGAGCAATGATCTATTAATTTACCTGAAGATGCTTCGTTAAGAGGTGGAGGTAAAAACACGCAATATGCGCGTGGACTGAGTAACGGTCGGAGATTGATAATTAATATGGAAAATCGCGAAACTTCATCAATAGTAGTCAATCTTCAACAGTTGCACACATACTAATGGTAGCGGAATTATACAAAATAATTCTAATCGACTAACCAGTTATATCGACTTCCACAAACTTTCTAATTTGGTAAAGAAAGTAAACAGGAGTTACAACTAGAACCTTATACACAAAAACGTCAACATGACATTAATATACATTTGTCAAAAATATTTACAAAATTATAGTTATAAATTATCACTTCTTGCTCTTTGAGGCGAGTACTTGAAATAATGACTTCGCACGCATTTTACGCGGACGCCGAAAATAAGACGAATCGGCGTATCCGACGTTGGTATCAAGAGAACCTATTGACTGTGTTGCACCATGCTAAGGAGAGACAGGCCAGGGATGTAGACGCGTCTATAGCGCTCGCCGAAGAATTTTTAAGGGTAAATATTTAATGAAAAAGAAATATGTCAAACTTTTATTATACCTACTATTTATAGTACTTAAACCAAAAGCAATATTAATAACTTGCAAGACAGAAGCAATTGACATCATAGGGTTATTATAAAATAATAATGCTTCTGTCTGTCCCAAGTATAAACTTGGGATAGTTACCATAATCAAATTGGTGAACTCTCCATGCTATAATATTAAAGTGTGGTTTTGCAAAAGTATTCTTAACAAAATGTAAAATGGCAAATAAGCTGACGGTCCACCTGATGAAAAGTGGTAACATTACAAATGTCAAGTCAGGCGGGCATACAGCCTATTTACGTTTTTTCATTTTTAATATAAAAAATATATATAAAGATAGGTGAGGATGATCACCTATCTCAGTTAGATCTATTGACCCATCGTGATCAATTCACCAAGAATTAACCATGATGGTTTCAAAAGGAGACCGCATGGAGATCAACTTGGCAGAGTTAGAGTTAGTCGACTTGCTGGCAATGGGGTCGCTAAGACTGCATTCCTAACATCCTCTCTAATACTTATGAATTATGTACAACAAAAAGTAGGTATAATGAGTGATTTATTTATCACCGTACCTATCTTAGAAATTGGATGAACCCCTTGAAAAACCCGCGGTCGTGCCATTACGCGAATTAATACCGTCAAAAGACGATAGCTTGATGAAGCCTATTGAGCCTGAAGTGCTCAACTTACTATATGGAGGTACAGAAAAAGGTGCTGCGAAGAAATATTTGAAGGCACGGAATAAAAAAGCTCCTGAAGATAGGTGAGTTACAGACGACAAAAATCTGTAAATTCCATCCAAAATATAGGTGAATCAGTGTAACTGTATTAGTGTTATTATTTTTTACAACATAGGAGGCAAACGAACATGTGGCCCACCTGATGGTAAGTGACTACCGCCGCCCATGATCACCTTTAACACCAACGGCATTGCCAGTGTGTTGCCGGCCTTTTAAAAAGGAATATGCTCTTGAAGGTTATGATGTCGTGTTCATTTGTCCATATTTATATGCCTACGACTAATCTAGCAAACATATGAATGGCATTATGGTAGGCAGTGGCGTAACTATACCATTTGGGGCCTGTGGCATATTCTCTTGATGGGGCCCTATCATTTATTTTAAAGGAAAATAAAATACTCAGGTACAAGGTAAAATTCTGAGCTCGCGGCTTCTTGAGCCGGGACCCTATTGGGTCGGGGGCCCGTGGCATTTTGCCAGCCCTTCCACCCTATTGTTAAGCCACTGATGGTAGGTTCCACAAAACAAACCCCAACTTCAATTATAACAACACAAGCTATTTTGACTTCAAAACTAGACTACTGAACCGATTCTGATAAAATCTCTATAAGACTGATCTGTAAATATATTCTTTGAAATAAAAAAAAATCTAATAACTAACGCAGTTATGAAATAACAAATAACGTGAAAAAAATACAATCGAATTGGGAAACTTCTTTTTTAAGGCTGTTGAAAATAAAAGGTACTAAATAATGTAATGCCTCACTAGCTTAGAAATGTTAACTAATTGAATCGGTTATTGTTATTACGTACAGATATAACTTCCGTTTAACAACAAACTGGGATTATGGGTGGCAACAAAAGCAGTACAGACAGCGCGCGCGGGACGTCAACCGCGCCCGGTGCGCCATACTGCGAGACACGTTCTACAGGAAAAACAACCTAGCTGCTGACCCTAGACACTACTCACAGCCCGCTGGTGGCGAGATATCTGTATGCAGCGAATACTCTTGCAACTTCACCTAAATGGACTACCACGTAGACTAGATAATAAATTATCAGGTACATTAGATCACAACCTAATAATAGTAGCAAATCTGAAACTAGTAATCATAATTAATAAATTATTTTATAATTACTATGTAATTGTTAAATATTAACTGTGCGGTTTATAAATAATAGACGTTGTATAGCAAAAAACATATATTTTATAATTTTATTATTTACAATAATTCAACTTTTATTTACATATTAACAACAGTAAATGTACCCCTATTCATAAGGCCACATCTAACTGTTACAAGGGAATTATTAAAATTAAAAAATGTGGACAGACAATGAAACCGTACTAATTTTGGCCCAACATCGACTTAGCGCCGAGGTCGTCTAAACACGATGTCATACACAATTCATACAAGTGTTTCAATGCATGTGTTCCCGTCGATTATAGAGGAAGCAATCATATAAAAATCATATGACCGGGGCAAATCTTTTTGCTGTTGTGATTATAATGTATTCCAAGCAAAGATATACAGCCTTGGCCAAAAGTATTTGCCATCCTAAAAATCCTTAGAAATTTCTTATCTATTAACCTTTACGGGGTCTCTTGTTGCATAATGCACGTCTAAAAATTAAAATGAGCCAATGAAAACAACACAACATATCATAAAACACAATAGAGGTGATTCATTTCCAGGTAAGTCGAATTTTAGGGACATTTTTAGTTTACTGCGATTCATTATAGTGTGAAGAACTGTCAACAAATTATTATAAATTGATTGTTGTTCTACGTGAAGTAGTTCATAAAAAAAAATTAGAAAAATACTTAAGTGTTGTGAAATAAGTAACGAGGAACGATTAAAAATCTAAATCTAGTTGATATCTAAAGAAGGCAAAAATAAAAATGAAATTGCCAAAATTATGAAATCATATCATCACCTCATAGTACCGCAAGGTACCAGACAGTTTATGCGAACTTCTTTGAAAAATTGTAAGAAAAATTCTGAATTAGCTGCTGATCTAACCGAGACGCCGGGGAAAATATTTTTTGCTAAAACTGCTAGAAGAGAGCTCCAGGATACAGGACTCGAGGGTTGCAAGGCAAGGAAGAAATCACGATTGTGTGAGAAGAACAAGAACTTACGTTTGCAGTGATGTTTAGAACATCAAGATTACACCGAGGAAGATTGGACAAATATCGTTTGGTCGGATAAATCCAATTTTGAGGTATGTCATTTAAACGATTAAATATTAAATAAAGATGTTTGAAATGTATTAAAGTTAATAATGGTTCATTAACAGACGTATTTTTAAAAATCTTATTATTTTATTCAATTTCAGGTATTAGGTACTGCAGGTGCCACCTACATGAGACGCAGAGTTGGCGTAGAATTCATACCGGAATGTGTGGTGCCGACTGTAAAACACGGCGGAGGCAGTTTTATGGTCTGGGGCAACATGACTCGAAAATTAGAATTGGAAAATATATATAGATATAAATAAAACAAAATATCCAATAAATTCGAAAAAATATATCTAAGTGCTGAAAACAGCGTTAAAACCTTTATTGGATATGATATTCGGTAATAAGAACCTAGATGGCGTCCGTTCCCAACGGTATAATGACACATGTCATAAGTCAAGTACCACTATAAGTTAGTTTGAGAAAAATGGTATAGAGCTTATAAGTTGGATTCCTCAGTCACCGGATCTTATCCCTATCGAACATTTATGGTCGATTTTAAAGCGCAAGATAAAGAAACATTCGATTGCTGAAAGGTCGATGGATCGTTTGTAAGGTCGAAAGGTCCGAATTTGTCGTCAAATGTATTAAAAATTAAAAGACCAATTTGTCATTCAAAATTATGTCCGTCTTCTGTTCAGTCTCTTTGTCCAAGTCCTTTTGTTTTGTCCCGAGCTGTCAGTTTTAATTGTAGAATATCTTAGCGGCCAGCGAGAAAACCAGTCAAAGAGACCGCAACAATTGCCATATGTGAAATGTCATAACTCCACAAGAATGTAAAAATGTAATTTCCTCTTTACTATTAAATATTATTGTAATTTTAGCTTTTTCCCTCATCCAAACCTTAAGTATTTTTTAAATTAATTGTAATTTTCTAAAGAGACAAATACTTTTTGGCCAAAGCTGTATATATAGAGATAGATGAGACAAGACCAATGTATATGAAAACTATGCATGCTACTAACTTCACCATAATGTTACAAAAGCTATTGATTAACATTCTTACGTATCTAAAAATTTGAAACATCAACCGCAATGTTGTTTCTATCCTCAAAAGTTTCTCAACATAAATTTCACATAGGAATTCTAGATCACAATTTAACCGGAGCTCCAACTAGACTGTTTATTTAATAGCTCCTTTCGTAAAGACAACCAACAGTGATTCATTGACAAATTAGGACTAAAACAGACTGCGTGTAATTTACGTAATAAAGTTTTTCAGTAATGTAGATACTTTGCTCAATTGTCACTTTTGATACGATCAAAAAATGATACGCAAAGTGTGTACATTTGCGACATCTATTTAAAAAGATATCTATCTATGACGCCAACGCATCCATTGAAACACTTTGAAGCAATAATGAACAATACACGAATGCTACATTAAAAATAATTAACCAGCAAATCGTCAACAACATTCGCTCACTCTAACAGGTTTTTACAAAAATAATAATAAAAATTAATAAATAATGAGACACTTTGTTCATTCTCGACAGTTCGTTATTTGACACATTTATGTACAATTATAATCAGTCCATATAATTCTTTTGAACCATTTTTTTTTTATATATATTCAAATTTGCCTATAATTTAATGGATTGTGCAAAATAAGACATTATTATTATGCTCTCTCTCCTTTGGCTTGATGTCTTACCTTACAAGCGAATGCGGCCATTTTAACCCTTGGTATTTTTAAAGTTTATATCGAAATAGACAACGTCTGTACTTTTCAAAAAAAGTTATCAATATTACTGAACGTTTTTACCTATATTATCTGTCTATCGTACTTAAACATGAATCATAGAATATATACCATTAAAAGAGTATCAATTAAGGTCCCAAATAATTTTAAAATCAGATTCCATGACTAATATTTTAAAACGAGTGTCAAATATCAATTAAAATGATGTTTGAGAAATATGTTAAAACTTTTTAATACTATATTTGAATTGAGAATGATTCAGACGTTGCCAGGGCTGCGATATAAACTTCTTTAAGGGTAAGACCACTGTGAGTGTTTACAAACACAAATAATACTAAAACGATACAAATAATGATAAAATATAAATAATTCTCAATTACATGTATACTAAAAAATAAGTTAGATTATCAAAGAACATTTTTATAAACGATTGTACTATTTGAAGAGAATATTGTTAGTACCAAGAAAGATACCGAGTCCAAAACCAAAGTAATGTATCTGAATTATTTGAGCCATATTGCTCAAGTTAGTTTCGATTTGATTATCATTACACAAATTTCTCTATGACCTAAACAAAAATGATATGACTTTTATGTATTTATTAAATAAATTGTTTCAAGGCACTGCGCAAACGCAGACATTTTAATGTCTCATGTTAAACATTAGCCACTAGGCCAGGAATTTTAGTTTCATAGTATTAATATGAAATCTACCATTTCTACTTTGTGTAACAGTCAGTGGTAACGTCTAATTGTCGTCACAGGTCATAAAAACCTCTGTAGTCTATGACGGTAGTAAAGTGTTCTCGTTTGCACAGAACCTTATTTTGGCTTTGAGAACATTTTCAATTTTACTCTCTCATTCTTTCTCCCGTTCGCTCGCGTGTAATATCTAATTGCTAAGCCAATTCTGTTTAAATACAGACTTGTGGCATATGGTATATACTAGCGGCATATTGTCCTCTATTAACTATAAAACATTTTACATACGTGTAAATGAGAAAAAGGCATAATTCTGAAACACTACCGATAGGAATAGTTGATTAAATAAGATTCGAGTTGCACAAGGAAATCGATTACAATAGTGGCCAAAACCAAGTATTTTGATTTAAAAAATAAACAAGTGAATCGATTCTGACAAAATATCTATGAGACCAATTTGAAAGTATATCCTTCCAGATAAAAAGTATTTTTTCCAAATCGGTTCGTAACTGATAGAGTTGTGAGAAAACAAACAAAAAAAATTACCACCTAATTGAGAATCACCTTTTTTTCAAGTTGATTGACAATTACCTTAAAAAACATATCTACTGAGACAAAATTCATAAGGAATAATATGGGAATATACCGTATCGATTCTTATATGAACTGTGAATAAAAATCCGTTCAGAACTGGGAACGTAATCACGTACCATAGCCGCAAAAATTAGAGGACTTGAACTATCTGTAATTCGTTTAAAATGGACATAACTTCTGCTCTATGAAAGAAATAAATAGTGAAAATAGTAAGAAAAAAAAAACAACGGTCAACATAATGGATAGGTGTGGTATAGTGATGCAAAAAGGTAATGTCTCAGTGAGTTACACAATAAGGAAGTCTCATTTTCGGTTACTGCCTGAAGGACTTTCTCAGAGGCGTACACGATACCGCTGTGTCTGGTTATCAGTGAAACATTACATGTTTCATTGATAATTTATTAGTTCAATCTTAATCTCTATTTGAGATCATTAGAATGTGTGCCACTAGTATACATACAACTCATCATGAAATATATACTTGGATTATCAAACAAAATTTACCTTAAAGACTTTGAAATAAGAGCACTATTTTGAACGGTAGTAAAATTTTACAATATTTCTTAATATATATAGTGATGTTTCAAATCGATAGATAGTCAAGGCGTATTGCAATAATTATAAATGGAATCAAACACCACAAAGACACCATTGAAACCTTTACGATTTGTTGTTTCTGTGATTGAATTTGAATCATTATGTAATATTAGAAAAACGGAATCAGCTGCTCGGTTAATTTATGTGTTATTTTATATCTTGTTCGCTACAGTACAAAGTTGAGACAACGAAGCAAAAACATACATAAGACTATTAAGTTCGTAATCTCTTTAAATCTTGTCATCGTACGATTGTTCCCAATATCTTATTTTTTAATTGATGAAACTGTAAAGTAGGCGTGGGTGATATCGGTACCGCCCCGACATCTATATATCGGGTTCAGAGATCATCACACATTTCGATATCGCCCATACCGGTCGGATATCTATATTCATTTCGATCGGATTCTTTATTTAAATATTGGTTAACTAATATTTAATATATCAGTTATTAGGCTAAATATTGTAACTACAATATATACATATATATATTGCTATGTGTTATTCACTCTACTATAAAGGAGAGGTCTCTTTCCACTTAAAAGAGTATTGTTGCCTACTGTTCGCACGCTATTTTATTACTATTACAAATATTACAATTTATTGTATTGTACAATTTTTACAATAAGTTTATTTTATTTACCCATTATTTTACTAATATAATAAATGTTTTATTTATTACACAATCATGTGTAAAAAGCTAAACTGAATACTTATAGATGTGTAATTAAAGACTCGATAAATTTGATTACCAATGATACGTTATTGAGAAAAGTCAATAACTTCAATTAGCTAAAAAACGTTTTCGTAAGTCATTCAAGCTTTTCTAAACAACCCGGTGAGTTAACTATATTGGGCGGGTGAGTTGATTATGTACAATTGTTTATGAAAAATTAGCATTTAGCGGGCTTGCATATATTGGACTGAGCTCATCAAAATGGCCACACAGCAATCTATTGTGGAATGCTCTCGCTCGGCCGTGAGCAGAAATAGATGGAGATAAACCATAAACAAGTTTGTAACATACTTCATAAAGTATTTTTTGTGTGTATATTTGTGATGATGTTTTCGTTAATTCTGCATCTAGCGAGATGCAGGATAAAGGAAACGGAAACAGTTAACAAATGTAGGGCCTTCTGTTTACTTCCTTGTTATATCTATCCCATACGAATTCCATCTTTTATTATAACAAAATTGGAAATTATAATAATGATTTACTATATTTAAGATCCAATATAGAAATTGTCCTAAAAATTTATTTTTAAACTTTTTACCTTTATGGTTAGAAGACATTGTAAGACATTATTATTGACCTTGATTATATTACATTGGTTCAGTTTGCATAATCTCTTAAAATCTTCTTCAGAAAGCCCTTCATACAGTAACAATTAAAGTTCATGAGAAATTTTATCACATATTTTCTATACATATGTAATGTGTGCATTAAATTAAATACTTGACGCAAAATAATTCACCGCGTCATACATCCAATCAACCAATCCGATCAGCATTGAGTATTTTAATGTTAAATCAATTTTAAATATACAACCACAAAAGCACAAATCAAGGTGTCGCACGTCAAGACACAATCCGATATGATTTTTATTGTCATAAATATTATAATAATGAAATCAAATTTAAACCAACTAAAGGGTAATGGAAGAGAAATTTTGCAATTTCTGTGTGAATCATGTTTACACGAGCGGAAACAATAAGGCTGTGTTAACTTTACAACAATAACTAGAGATTACATACAGTGCATTTATCTGATAAAATGGTCATGTAACATACAAAATATGTCATTAAATAAGCATGTTTATTCACTAATGCTCTTTTCTGAATACATATGTGAACACTTTTGGTGAATATGCACCCTTAATTTAAATTTTTTTAATATCAATAAAAAAACCTTCTAAACTATTTTATTTCAGTTATAAATCACATTGAAATTCTCTATATCAGTTTTACATTAAACCTTATCCTATTCAGTTTAGCTTTTTACACATGATTGTGTAACAAATAAAACATTTATTATATTAGTGAAATAATGCGTAAATACTGTCCACAGTGATGCTCATTCAACAAAAAATGTCACATTACATGAGCATGTTCACTAGTGTAATGCTTGTTTCTGAGCATTTAATAAAAACGCTTAAGAAACGAATATTACATACTTGGTAATATTTCACCTTTTATTAAAAGATATAGGAAATAAATGAAATAATACAATAAAAACATTTGCTGTCACTTGTCAGAAGTCATGAAATCCCGGTAGTTAAAAATAATTTCTAGTAGTTATAAATTTAACACAGCCCGAAATATTATTTCCAAGTCAAAGGCGTCGTTATATTACAATCGTATAAACACACTCGCATTCTCTACATCTCGCATCAGATCATGAGACACACAGTCCTCAACATCCACACTATCACTAACTGTTAAGTCACTGGCGTGGAATATCACTTGTCTGGTAATGTCTATTCATTAGGCCAATATTTCTAAGCATTGCTTTGTACTTTTGCACCAGTGATAAGTATTCAATTGAACAACTTTAAATACCAATGCACAATTCATATTTTGCACACCGTCTTTCATAGGCTTCCGAATCGTAGAACTGCTGAATAGCAGCCGAGACGCTCCATAGTGGGAGATCGATCATAGTCTATTTTCACTAGTACCGGTAGCATATACAACTTCATTAAACTGATTCTTTACAAATGTACATTATCACAACGGTTATATATGTACACAGCACGGATGCTACACACCGTCTGATACATCACAGTGGTTATTTTATAGTATCGTTACGAGCCGCTCCTGGCGTTTGTTCCGTCCCTCGCGTCGATCTTCCGTTGACGTCTGATCAACATCGTCTGCATACATACTACATTCAACGAACGGTCTGTGTCAACTGTACACGTTCAAAACAATCGACACCGAAAGAGTTCCGCGACAGGACATCCGCTAACGTGATAGTAGCTCTATATATCGAGGCCCGTTCTGTGGAGGCGGTGAGTACAGGGCCGCACTAGGTATTAGCGGGAGGGGCACCTGGCGCGGCTGGGGCCGGCTGCAGGGCGGGCGTGGCGGCGGGCGCGGGCAGCACCGGGGGAGCGCCACTAGTCCAGTTCACAAGCGCGTGCTGCGGCAGCTGTGTGGCTTGGAAGTGGTCCTTTAGCAGTGCTTGCGAAAAGTTGCAATGCATTTGATATGCCTCGTTCTCGCGCTCCGTGTCGCCCGCCAGCCTGTAGAGGTCTGAAAAATAATTAGTTTAGATTTAGAAGCGTTCATATCAATCTTGTAACATCTGGGTCATATGTAAATTCATCATCATCATATCACCTTTAATTGTTCACTGCTGAACATAAGCCTCCCCCTCAGGAAGTTTTGACCGTAGTTGCCACGCTTGGCAGGCGGCTAGGCCGCAAAACCGCAGTCAAGCTTTAGAGACGGTTTAAAAGGAACGCTACTGTCCATGTCTCGCCCTTCCTTAGTCGCCTCTTACGACACCCACGGGAAAGGAATAGGTGGCGTATTCTAAGCCGAGATGGCAATGCGAATGGCAAATATTTACTAATATGTAATTTAATGTATTTTTTTATAACAAATTATTTAAATATTTCTGAATATGATCATATAGACTGTGTATATACTCGTATAGTGATTTTATATCTAAAATGTTTCTAATGAAATAAGATTCTTATAAACCAAACCTAGTGTGAGTTAACCATAATAAATCAGATGTTTATTTACTAACTCAAACAAAAGTTAACAACAGTCATTCATGTTTGAGAAGGTCACAAATTAAACTATCATCAGGAAATTTCATTGTTTAAATGTACCTGTTAAAGTACAATAACACCATGTCCAGTGCAGTTTATTTCAAAGGTTTATGGAAGTCAGTGTTAAGACAGTTAAACGTCACTTGACTGTTATTAGATAGACTTCTTACATTTGAAGTTTTCTACTTCACTTAATATAAACATATGTAAATTCTGATCCATGACTTATAATTAAACATATACATTAAAATATACCGTCGAATTAGGACTTAAGAGGAGGACCTTCTAGGATAAAATGATGAAACATACCTTTAAGTATAGCGGAAGCCCACAACTGCACATGTACGTCGGGTATTTTGCTGGCGAGCTGCATGGCGGGCGTAACCATGTTCATACTCTCCCGTGAGTTGTTTATGGAGAGGAAGATATGCCCCAGCAACACCAGCGAACACGACGTCAGACGATTTAAATCCTCCGCGTTAGCCATCTTTAAGGTCTCCCGTAGATACCGTCTGGAGGAAAAATAACAAAAAATATAGACATTAAATATTTATTATATCAAAATCACGTGTCACAATATTCGTTCAGGCAAATTTTCGAAACGGCTCCATTATTTTTAATGAAATTTAGTAAATAAATGTGTATTATTTGGTCCAACTTGAACGATATAAAAATTTTCATTCAGATAAGAGAAAATGGACCGGAAAATAAATTAATTGATAGCGGTAGAAAACAAAATGTGTGTCCAGAGGGTAAGGGGTATGTCAGTAATGCAGACTATCAGTTCCATTGCTAGCAATACAATTGTCAGGTTGACCTTTGTTAATGTTTGTCGAAACAACTAGTAAATAATATTCTTACTTGGCTTCATTATACCGCGCCTGGAAGAATGCCTGCAGCCCGAGTACGTAGTACGAAGCGGCACGCAAGCCGTGCGCGTATGTCGGCAACGCTTCTGGCCTCACCTGAAAATGGTAGAAATATAATAATTCAATAAGACATGACAATGTGTAATTGGTTCCAGACTGGGCAATGTTTGCACTATGAGTGGTATAGACAGATATTTTTTTTTTTTTTTGTTTAATTTCGGATTAGGGATTCATAATGAATGGGTCTTATCCCTGCTGCAAACCATACTAACTGAATAAGAATAATATTAAATATTAGTATAAAATTACATAAGTAGTGTATAAAGCTAACATTGTAACGATAGTCAGATTTAGCATAGTTTCATTTCGAATTCCATACCTGTTCCATAATTTGTGTCAATTCATTGTCTCGTCGTCCCCGTAAATAAACAATAGCAAGGTTTAATTTCGCGAACATCCATAAGTCTCTTTCTTGTGACATCTGAAATATACGAGAAACTCCATGTAGGCTTGTCTATAACATTTTATTTATTACTAGCTATATCCCGCGACATCAGTCCCGCGTGAGTCAGTACATAAAGTGCCCCGTGTGCTAAATTAAGACACCCATGTACCAAATTTCATTTAAACTCGTTAAGTACTTTATGCATAAAAAGTAATAAACATCCATCATGACAAACTTTTCCGTTTATTATATTAATAGGACTCGTCTTTCATATCATAGTAGCCGACGACATCATTTTTACATTAAAAAAAATATTTAAATTGTAAGGATTATTTTGGGCACACTCATTGTACAGCGTCTTAATAAATTGAGAAAAATCCTGGGATTATTCGAAAAATAGAATAAAATTAATTCACAAAGTTGTGCAAATAAATTACTATTTTTAGTCTTTTTTCTTTACGATTGTTATTTGGCAAGTAAATCTAATAAATGAGTATAAAGAAATCCTGTAAAAAATAATTGTATATACTGTATAACAATTTGTAAGTCTTTCAATTTTTTTTTAATTAAATTTCGAATTTCACGTAAATTTAATTTAGTTCATTCATATAAAAGAAATAATCTTATAATTTGTACTTACATTAATAGCTGTGTGGAATTGCGCCTCGGCAGCTTCCATGCAGTTCATGGACATAGCATATAGCCCCAACAAACAATGCAGTTGTGGGGTGTGGGCGGCTGCTACGCACTCTGGAATAACCAATTATATCATTACATTTCACAGTAAAAGTCATTATTAGATCATTTAAAAATTATTTACACTTCTGACATTCTTTTTTATTTGACTATCGGACGAAACAATTCATTACCATTTAACTTATAAACTGCATACAAAAAATCACATAGATTTATCCTGAATGTTTTTTTCTGCATGAATTTTTGCTGAATGATGTAATTATGTATAAATCTGCCATTTGTACATAATTACATTAACCAGTGCGGAGCTTGCTTATTATAATTAAGTTTATATATATGTATATATATATATATATATATATATATATATATATAAAATTTATATTATTACAATTTAAGTACTCGTTTAAATTATTGTCCAAATTATTTATTAAACAAATTCTGGTTCTGAATGTTATTTATTGTGATTGTGCAGCAAGCAAGCAAGCAATATCAGAGACCCCTTTGTATACTGAGTCTAGAAATTTTTGACACAAAAGGACAACATCCTCATGCGTATAATAGTAATAGTGTAGACTTGGCGATTAAAGTGTTTGGCCCAAACTGTAATTTATATATATACTTCGTGTTTATAGTATTCGTGTTTCAACCGTGAAGCAGTTATGTTTGCATGGCTGTGTATCAGTTTGAAGGGTGGGATATGACGTGAATTTACTGGGTACAGAGGAATAACACCTGAGTCCTCAAGAATAGCAACGCATGGGGGGTATAATGAGCGAAACAGTATAGTCTGTTATGTCCATGGTACTGCTCATGTCTATAGACGACGGTTACCACTTTCCATCAGGTGGGCCGCCAACTTGTTTGCCATTCTAAGTTGTATGAAAAAAAACTGGTAGACAATTTTGTAGTAAGTTTGTGTAATATTTATAATTAAAACAAAAGTTACTAGTCAGATCGATGTTGTGTGTTGTAGTGTGTGTGTGTGTAAAGTACGAATGCATGCATGTTTCAATGTAGGTAAGTGAGATGTAAACACGCAAGAGGATAGAACCATATATCGCTGGTGTAGTAAGAGGGACATCTCGACTATTAGGTTCCTTAAATCACTTCTTGCGACACCCACAGGAAAGGAAGATGTGGCTCCTTCTATATCGAGTCCACACGGCAATGAGTGTATCAATCAATACATCAATGTCTTCTTTCCCGCCGATGTTGCGTGGGCGGGCGAGGTAGGGGCCTCGGGGTATACCCCTCTAACCCGGCTTCAACTCCGGAGGCGACGAGCTCCGGGACACTGATGGTCTGTGTATGCCGGCGTGGAGAGTGTATACGAGGTACGTAAATAAGTATAAGGTAGTTGGATGCGGTGGTACGTACGCGAGGGCGCGACGGTGAGCAGGTGCGCGGCGCGCGCGATCTCGTGCAGCGCGTGCGCCTTGCCGCCCGCCACCAGGCGGCACAGCGCCGCGTGCTCCACCAGCGCCATGCGCAGCCGCCACGCCAGCGCCGCGCCGCCGCGCAGCGCGCGCGCGCCCTCTGCCGCCGCGCGCCCGCCGCCCTCCGCGCACGCGCTCGCTGCCACACGCCACACGCCACACGCCACACGCCACGCACACATTGCAATTATATAACTTATTACTGACACGTCACGTCACCTCACACAAATTATACGTATCGGCCTCCACACAGTCACGCTTCAGTATAAATATAAAATCAATACGTATAATCAAATTGTAACTAGTCGCTGTCTGTACATGGAAGGTATATAAGAAAAACTATTGTAGGGGGATTTTATGAGTGCAAATATTGTGCATGTTTATGCACACTAATCTCAGAAACGGCTGAACCGATTTGAAATGCGGTTTTTACTAAGGTATTGCAGTTTATTCCACGTAACATTTAATGATTATTTTATTTTAATCGGTTCATAAAAAAGTTATATCAATCTAAAGAATTGCATATAAAACAGTATAAAATAACAGATCACTTTAATTGGCTGAAACTTTATGAAGGTATTAGATATGTAATTATTATTTAAAATAATATAAGACCGTATTCATGAAGAGTTCCAATGGGAATGATATACGGGATCTACATAGAAGTGGGCAATGCCACCGGAAACGGTTAGTTTAATATAAAAATATAATAATGAGATCAGTATAAAATTGGTACATATTTCGGAACACCAGAAACAATTCATAAGCAACCTATTTGTCACTCTATAGCCGTTTAATGGCACTTTGTGTTGAGACTCAGACTTAGCACACTTTTGTAAGGAAGGTCTAGTAAGGAGAAATATCTGTTAAAATTGTGCCCAAATAATTAAATGTCAGATTGATCACATCTTCTTTAAACATGTCGCTAACAACTTTTGGATTATTTTATTCATGAACAGACAAAATAAGTAGAGTAGAAAAGCTAATAATTATTATCAAATTACTCACATGTAAGTTTGTCAATCTGCGCAAGCGCCTTTTCTGTGTACTTATGCGCCTTGTCCATGTAACCGGCCTGCGCAGAGTGCATTACGGTCACCAAGTAGACGAGCACGTACAGTTGCTGCCGGGACAGCCATACGAACGACTCCCCGGATGCGGTCCCGCACACAGCTGAAACAAATCATTACAGATTAACATGCACAACTGTACGACAGAAAATTGATAAGTACCACACAATCACACCAATCATTTAATCCTCAAGCTAGGATACCTCATGTTATGAAGAACCAAACGTTAAACGTCTAGTGGCAGAACCCACTTATATCTAAAGAATAAATAAATAGGTTCAAAAATCGAAGAACCAAGTCTAAACAAAGCAATTGAAGAAAAAAACTAAATTTTGAGTATTTTACACATATGTTTGTTTTGGGGTGAATTATTACAGTATATAGTATCCACAAAATTATTGTATAAATGACTTACCGTCGTCATCGGGCCACGTAGGCGCCATGATGGTCTGAATGCTTTGCTGTAACTGCTTCAGGCAAGGCTTAACACTCTTCACCTGACCAGCCATAAGGTAATGGCATACCTAAAAAAACATCATTTCAAAAAAAGTTCAGATATTGCAGTTTATCCTATCATCCATTCTCAGACAAAATAAACTTGCAAAATACTCGACTTCAAGTTTCTACAAAGACTTCAAATTACAAGCAAATTACGAATGTAATTTACATTCATAATGAAGTTCTGGGTCGCGTAAATGACAGAGCAATACACATTCATAATGTATAATAAATTATTCTTTAATTAATAAATGGTTTATTATTATATATTATTAGACTTTTCATTATACATTGTGATAATTCCTAATAAAATGTAATGCAAATATTTATTAATTGATGATAAAAATTCATGAAATTCTTTTAAAAAAACCTGTATAAAAGTACATACTTCTTATTCATTGTAAAAAAAAAGTATGTCTACAGGCAATACAAAGTCGTGTACAAAACCATTGTATAGTGAGAGAACAATTTACTATTGGCTGAGTTCATGTCTTGTAATAAAAGGACTCATTCAAATTTATTTCTTCATTGTTTAGTTCATAATTTGTATGCTTATGTAGTAACTACTATTGTCCCATGCAATAATATAAAGGTATATATTCCTACGTATACTTTATAAACTTAGTAATTTTATGAGAAATGAATATACAATTTTATTATTTAATGAAAGTTGTTAACAAAAATTGGGACTATGTGTAAAATATACTGTTAACTATCTGCACCCTGGCAATTCATTATTTTTTTTAAAAGCTTTATTGTACATTCACATATACATATATTTCTGAATGGATATTGAGTTTCTTAATATATCAAGATCCCTATTGTTATAGTACTGCAATATTTGATTTACAGTGTATGTCATGGTATGACCAGTTACTCTCACTCCATTCAACCTACAAAATGTTTACATGAATAAAGTGGCTGTAACAAAATGATTAATGTAAAACAATTACCTGTAGCACTAAGAAGAATACCTTGAGGTATTCTTTCTGGTGGGGACTCCCTGCCCATGTGTCCACAAGGTGCATAGCCTGATTTAACAGTGGCAATACTTCCTGAATCTTTTTGTCTATTAATAATAGCTGAAACAATAAATGTGTTGAGAATAAATTTTATAATATCCTTTAGTTGCTTCTGATCAAAACTATATTGTGATCTGTGTCATGTTTCTGTAACTATATAAACAGATTATTTTCTACTTATACACTTATTTTAATCTTATTATTAAAAACAGTAAAATAGAATTATTCTTATTGTTCTTATTTCAATAAAATGTAAAGAAAATTAATTTTATTGTATTATTTTGTGTTAATATTTTTATATATAACCAAAAGTATTGTTTAAAACAATTTATAATAAATAAATAGAGCTATCAGACATGGATGGCACAGAATTTACAATTACATACATGACATTTCTCATGTGCTGTCATTCTAAATGAGGTCTATGACTTGAAGAGGACAAGCATGTGAACAAATTCTATTACAAACTGTGCACTTGAGTTGATACTGATAAGTGGTACATCTCTATTGTAAAACTGTCTGTTTAAATAAGATAACAAATTACATAATCTAATTACTACACTCTTCAGAATTTAACATGCTGCCAATAGACCCTTCATGCATCTCTGTTCTTATGCTGTGATGCAATGCAAGAACTACTATTTCTTGTAATTAAAACAATATTTTCATAATAATTATAACACTTAGATTTATGAATTTTGAACGTTAGAATAAAATATATTTTATGCTTAATACATAGGATAATATATCCTGTCTGTAAAATATATTAACATTATAACAGTTTAAGGAAAGTAGAAAAGATTCCTGTCTGTTATTCAATGAATAATCTAGACAGTAATGCATTTCAAATTACATATAATAGATTAAAACATACCAAAAGCTTTGAAGCACTTATTGTTCTTTATAATGTCCACAAAAGTTCATTCAAATCTGTTCAGTCTTTCAATTCAATTTAGAATGATTTAACAACAAACATAATTCAAAAGTTTTTACTGCACTATTAATTTATCAAAAATCTTCCACATTCATATTCAACGTAAATACATTCTGAGGTTTCCCACAAATTGTAAATACTGTATAAAAGGAAATACTCACCATTACCCTACTGAGCAAGAATAGTACTCGTGTATAAGCTGCATTTGATATTTGTGCATAGTCAACTCCCACTCCGAGCAAACTACTTGCAACTTCATATTCACGTTCTGTTGCATGAATTTGCTGAAATAAAATATTAATTCTAACACTAGGATAATGCAAGTGAATGTAATCCTGAGCTGAATTGATAGTCACAATGTCAAGCACTTTTATTTGTAAGTAAAGGAGTCACTGATAAACTAGTTTGACTAACCTTATATATAGACATACCCTATAATACTGACATAGTCACCCAGTTGAACTGAGAGCTCAACAGAAATTTTAGCCAATCAATACTATCCTAGTAGTGTGATCATGTCATTCATCATTTAATTGCAATATTAATATTTACCACACAACAAATTGTTCAGAATATAATCACATGTTCATTTAAAATATCAATTTCATATAGAGATTTATCCCATTAATAGACATGAATGAGGGAAACAGGGAATTGTTCAAATAAATTGATAATGTACAAGAATAGATTGCACTTTATATTTGTCAAATATTCATAATATATCAAATGTATATTATTTAAAAACTTTACACTTTTGTTTGATAGTTTTATTAAAAATGTTTTAATATTCAGTGTTTTAAAAAATCATATATCAATAATAAAGTTCTATACAGAAGCCACAATACCAAAAATTAATTATTTATAGTATAGGCTGCATTATAGTTTTATTAAAGTTTCATCAATCTTTCAAAAAGAAAAAAAAATACTAAAAATTACTCATAAAAAAACACAGCGTATAAATACGACACTCACCGCTAATTGGAATATTAGTCTACAGTGCCAGTAAACACTGTGCTGTGACAGCTCTATAGCTTTCCTTAGAATAGGTTTGGAGTGTGTCGGCTGGCCTTGTTGCTCAAATAGTTCGGCTAACACGCTCGCAGCTTCGAACTTCACATCATCAAAGCCATTGATGGTCTGAGATAGGCACCACTGCAACAAAAACACCACTATGACCCACTTCGTTATTGTTGTTTACATTCGACTAGGAAGTTTCCTTTTTAAACAATTAAGAAAACAACAGCACCAGCCTTGGCACCGACACTATAGCTTTTTAATAACATCTCACTCCTAAATGATCATAAATAATTATAAAAAAACTTACACTCTGCTCTAAATGCGTCCTCGCCAAGTCGATGTTTTTGGTGTGTGTCAAAAGAATATTTCCGAGTTGTAAATGAGTTCGGGCCTCGACCCTTTGTGGTGGTTTGAAATTAAACACGGCTTGTAGGCACTGAATACAACTTTTTATGTCAGGAGGATTTGATGTACGGAAATGTTCTGCTAAACCAAGTAAAGAAATATACCAAGCGTCCTGCGTTGACGCCATTTTGACATTTCTGCTTGGAGGGAACAGTGATGTCAACCATTAAATTTTCAAACTACTACACCACTTCAATGTTACTATGTTTTTCTACTATTTTAAATTTTAGATATGTGACATTTATAGGAAAATTCAATATTATCTTATAGACGCACCTAATAGTAATTATAATTTTTATTATTCTAGCTATCTAGTCCGACTTTGCACTACTAAATAAAATTGACGCAAATATTGTTATATTACATACATTTAAAATTCAGAAAATTGGTTGTGTACCTTTTTTTATAACAAGGGAGCAAATAAGCATGCGGCTCGCCTGGTGGTAAATGATTACCGCCACCCATGAGCATCCGCAACACCTAGTTTTTGAGTTCATCTGTTATAAACAAACGATTAAATCTTTCCTCTTTATGATATGTTAATATAGATGAAGTGTCTCAGATATGTTATTCGATAATTGATAATCCAAAATAATATTAGATATTTAATCTTTAACATTTGAAATAAGGTTAAATTTGAAATTTTTTACAAACTAGAACTTCTAATAAGCATTTGTGTTACATAGACTAAGAATAATATCAGTTATGGTGATTACGGTAGGGGTGGCTCAAAATTTAAGAACACTATACTGAAATCTTTGGTAATTCTTTATTCTTAGTTTAAAACCTAGATTATACGACACTTTATTCTACATCTATGAGTTAAATACCCTTTTTATGCGAAAAATGGCACTATTTGCAGGTAAATGGTAAAAACTAAACAATTCAAAATGAATTCGATTAGAAATTTGAGTCCATTAATCACCCATATATGTTTGTGAAGTCACTTTATTGGTAAACTTGGTAGAGCCACAGTAGCTTGCTAATCGTTAATAAATAATTTAGACATAGTTTTTCTAATCTGTAAAGTAATTAAAACATTACAAATAAAAGCAATTTGCTATATTATTTTTATACCAGAGGTAGACTGTACAAAAATCGATTGCTTGGGTACCTCTGTCCCATTCGTGTTTCAACCGTGAAGCAGTTGTGTTTACATGGCTGTTTCGGTTTGAAGGGTGAGATATGGCGTGAATTTACAGGGTACAGAGGAATAACACCTGAGTCCTCAGGAATGGTAACGCATGGGGGTATCATGGGCGAAACAGTATACTCTGTTATGTCCATGGTACTGCTCATGTGTATAGGCGACGGTTACCACTTTCCATCAGGTGGGCCGTCAGCTTGTTTGCCATTCTAAATTGTATAAAAAAAAATACATTGAATATTAGTTATAATCCACTAAATAAATTGGAGCGAATAGAAGCAATTGAAAGATGAATAAATTGATACGGGGTTTATAAATATGTAAAAAAGAATCATATTCTTTATTAAAAAACCCCATACTGTAGTTTTTTTTTTAGAGAAAACCTAACAAGAAGCTAAATTTACAGTTTGTGCGTTTGCAGTTTAAAATCAAACCTTTTTTGAGTGGCTTAACTATTTTATGGTACCCCTGAAACTTTTTTTATTCGCTCTTTATTTGTTTTTATTGACCCTAAGTGCCGAGAAATGTTGGTTGACCTGACAGTGTATTGCTACCAATGGGGCTTTTTTTCAATGGGTGAAAATGGAATGGTAACCCCGCCTTCACTATCGGTATACACTGGTGGAGTACCAGTGAGAAGTGATAGGTGAGGATGAAAAGGAAGCTCAGTTAGCCCATCGTGACGAATTCATCGACAAATTAATCACGATAGTTTCCAAGGGAACCGCATAAAGATAGACCTGATATACCTGACCTAACAGTATATTGATAGCAATGGGGATAAACCTCCCCATTACTAACAATCCCTTCCCCCCACTGGGGCTAGTAATCCCCTTTATTAGAAAAGGGATTGTTACTAGTGGGAATTAGCAATAAACACTTAGATTTACCACCACACGGTTCCCCCTGGAAACCATGCTTGATTTGTTGTTGAATTTGTTACAATGGGCTAAGCAGGTCTACTTCATCCTCACTAGTGCCCCGTCAGTGTAAACGATGTGCAGGTATTGTTACTATTTCATTATAATCCAATAAAAAAAATATTATTCACAATCCCTTGTACCATAATCAAATAAATCTTAAGTATAACTTTAATGAAAGTTACAATTTTCGCTATTCCCTTCACTTTATAATATGCAATTTAATCAATTTGTGTGGGAAAAACCATATTACAAGAGGTTGGTGGTGATCATTACAGCAGTCAATTGATAATATAGTTTATAAAAACGATTCCCATATTAAGACCTCAATCACATTATTTATTATTTAAAAAAAATTACAGTAGTATCTCGTCTACATGATGGTAATGGTTTCAATATTATAGAAACTGCTAACTAAAAACTGGACAAGAAAAAATCAAAAGAAAACCAAATTTTATATTAAAACATCATGTATTTATTCATCAATGGTAATAGCACCACTGTTGATATCGACAATGATGTCATGTGGGGGTCTTCCCTCAACTGTGCACCCAACAGACTGGGCTGTGCCAAGTATTTCCTTCACTGAACCAGACAACTCTCGCGCCATGGAGCGGGGCCTCATAATCTTTGCAATGTTCACTACATCTTCAAGACTGATGTTTCCATTGTGTTTAACTGGAATAAAAAAAATATAAATGATAAATAATTCTGTAAGTATAGATACACAGAAAAATGGCTCCATAATATATTTTAATAACAACACTAATATGTGAAAGTCAGATTAATCATAATTTAAAAAAGTAAAAAATAATATTTTTGTTAAAATATGACTTATACCTAACTATAGAAGTTATAAGATTTGCTTCAATAATGATCAAAGAGATTACATATAGATGAAAAATATGAAAATAAAAAATAAGGCAATGAAAATTAAAAATATGTACCAAGGCCACCTGATAGAACTTCTGACCTCTAGTTTAGTAGTATTAAAAGCTACAGTGTCTAACAATATTTTTAAAATTAACAATGATATTATTCATGATATTGAGTACATACTATTTTTCTGCTTTTTACGATCACGAGGTGGCTCCTTCAAGGCTCTGATGATGAGGGCAGCTGCTGATGGCACAACTGAGATCTGAGCCTGTCTGTTCTGCACAGTCAGTTGTACTGTGATCTTGAGACCCTTCCAGTCACTGGTCGCTTTGGCTATGTCATCACCAACCTTTTTAGGGGACTGAGTGCAAAGAAAAAACATTTTCAAATAGGTACTCATTAAATTATTATGCTCCTTTTTGCTAATAATATCTACTAATAAATGTGAAAAATATAGGCTCTCCTGAACAATATACATAGATATCAAAGTTTAGCATATATAAAATATGCTTAATCTATTCAGTCTGGTCATTTTTCATTACATCTATTATTTAATAAATATTGCAAATATATGAACTATAATTTTTAATTTTACACAGTATTTTGATATTGGCTAAAGAGCTTTTTCCTATTAAATTTAAAAACAAATTGTTTCTTACATCTAGATGAAATTTATACAAAGTTTAAATGACTGAGATGTATAATGTTGTATTATATGATGTTGTAAAATAGAAACAAACAGACTTACTGACACATAATAAAAGTTTAAAATTACTTACAAGTTATCTGGAACCTGTTAGAACAATTATAAAATAATAGCATGGCAGTCATAAAGCCTGGTCCGCGACTCCTTATTGGACATTCGGAGTAGCCGCGACAGGGAACCTGGTGGGATCCTGAGTCGCGGGTTCCTTCCATCCGCCACCCGGAAGGACGCGCCTGGTAGGGAGGCACCCCCCAGGATGTACATCGAGACAACAAATTTTTTAGTAACATGTGCATTTATTTCAACAAGTGCATTCATTTATATTGATATATTTATATAGATATATTATTATAGTATATTATAACACTAATTGTCTCGTGTAATAAGGTGAAATGCACTGAATAATATTTCTATTAAACAGAACAGAATAATTGAACTGCCATGCGCAATTTTAGGTTATTAACATGGTAGAAGACAGTCCGGCTAATATACTTACAAGACCAAGAGGACCAATTTTAGGAGCCAATGATGATGTGGCACCAACTTCTCCACCAACACATCTTAAATTAACTGTAAAGAAAAGAAACAGAATGACAAAATTTTGTAAAAGCACTTTAGCGGAATCAAAAGACAAAAAACCAACATTTAGTAGACATTACCAATTTTAATTTCATTGGGATCGAACTTAGGTGGCATTGTGCTAATATATTAATTAAAACACTTTAATATTTATATTAAATCCAAGCCGATGAAATCGGATTTAATGACGAACTGCCGTCCGAACAGCCCGAAAAGGTTGACAGTTCGCCGTGAAAAGAAAAAGAAAATGAAAGGATTTTTTATTTCTTGTGCGATTGAAATGTCAACTTCAAAAGTCAGAAAATCTACCATTGTCAGAAAATGTCAAATCACTTATATCCATAGACTAAGACTATAACGTACTTAAATAAAGTCATATTCTACGAACGAGAATACCTAAGAATAAAGAATTACATAGAAGGAATTATAAAATAAAAACTGTGAATCATATGGTTGCCTCCTCAAATATAATTAGTAAAAAGAGGACGAAAGATACACAATCAGTTACTATTTTTCTCAATTCATAGCAGGCTAGTGTATAGGAAAATGTGTGATATTTCAATTATTCGTCAATGACAAATTTTACAGTACTATATTATATATTCAACACAGTTTATGTAGTAAGTATGCAAGTAGATTGTACCTGAATTTGGTTGTTGAGGTTTTATTTATGTTACTTTTAAAAATAGAACTTATTTATTTTCTTTTTATGTCAATGAATATTTTGGTTTATTAGAGAACGTCACTTTTAAAATATCTATTATTGTACTAGAGAAAAATATAATATACCTTTATTCAGTATTTTCTATTTTATTGTTCTATCCAACGAACCCTTCACAGAGATAACCATATGATTTACCGTTTTTATTTTATCATTTCATGTAATTCCTTGTTCTTATGGTCGTATCAATCCATTAATTGTCACTATCTTAATACATATACATACATATATATATATATATATATATATATATATATATATATATATATATATGCATACATAGTCAAAGTTAATTAAGCACACCTTTACAGACAGAAAGGAGCTGCTTTCGTGTTATAAAAAAAATCCTTAGTATATATACATACCATAACTTATGTGTACATTCATTCTTGAATTCATTTTTCATATTTTGAGCTGGACAGAAGCAGTTTAGTCTGCTCCTGTCCAGCTCGAAATATGAAAGATTAATATGAAAATATGAAAGGTTAGTACGTAAGCCTAAGAACAGCGTAGGTAAAGATTGCTATAGGCATACATAAGAAAATATGCTAAACATATAAAAATTTTAATTGATAATTCCCACAAGGTTCCCCATTGATGCTTCCTTCTAATAAACGTATGCATAGATTAGGTATTATTGTTGCGTGTGTACAATAAACATAAGATTTAAATGGTAGATTTTAAGACATCGATGCTTGTATCTCTGTTTTTGTTCTATCTTTATTTTAAGAAGAACCATATATACAACGTTGTTAACCCTTTAAAATATTCTCTGTCTACGATATTTTAATACAATTGATGGGTTGCCATTGCTAATCAATAAAAAAAAAAATCATTAATGACAAATTGCTAAGATAGGTGTTAGTGTAATTTTACAATTTTTATATTTTTATTGTTGAAGTCAATATTTCTGTTGTTATCTAAAATTTTGTAGTCATGGCAAATGATGAGGTGGTTTTAAAACAATACTTAGCGAAGTATAAACATCGAGAATACACTGCTCGCGAGGTAATAAATTTGATACAAGTGTATAGGAGTTTGACATATCGTTTGGAAGCCTTTGTTTTTAATAATGGATCTAGGAAAGACTTGCTGAATCTGGACGGTACTATTCCTGTAAATTACAAAGGTGCATATTACAACATACCTATCTCCATTTGGCTCATGGACACTCATCCACAAAATGCGCCTCTGTGTTTCGTAAAGCCTACTGCAGATATGTCGATCAAAGTGTCAATCTACGTTGATAATAATGGAAAGATTTATTTACCGTATTTACACGAATGGTCTCAGAATGGCTCCACCCTGCAGAAATTGATACAAACTATGATAACAGCTTTTGGAGAGATCCCTCCAGTATATTCCAGACCAAGAAACGAAACAAGGACACCTTACCCCGTGGCATCATTTATGCCACAGCCATCAGGGTACCCTTACCCTCAGGTGACACCGCAACCTGGTTACCCTACAACAACACCTTATCCTACTGTATCAAATTTGCCATACCCTAATTTTGGGACACCTTATCCAGGATCAACTACTACAAATGGCACTCCTTACCCACCAGCACCAACTACCACTCCATACCCGCCTGCAAACAACTACACAAGTGGTCCAGATGTTGCTGGTGGTACAATAACTGAGGAGCACATCAAGTTATCTTTGCTTTCTGCTGTTCAAGATAAACTGAGAAGGAGACTGACGGAGCAGTCTCAGCAGTCACAGGCAGAACTGGAGACTTTACGACGGACAGAACAGGAACTGCAGCAAGGCAAGACACGGCTTGAAGATATTCTAGCACGGTTGCAGAGAGAACGAAGCGATTTAGATAAAAATGTAGCCATTTTACAAGAAAAAGAAAAGGAGTTAGAAGCGGCTGTGGAGCGTTTGGCAGAGCAGGAAGGTGTTGATGTTGATGAGGCAGTTGTTACAACAGCTCCTTTGTACTCGCAGCTACTAAATGCTTTTGCTGAGGAGGCCACTTTGGAGGATGCAATTTACTACATGGGTGAAGCATTACGTAAGGAAGTGATAGATCTAGACACGTTTTTGAAGCAAGTACGTACACTGGCACGTAGACAGTTCACCTTACGAGCTCTGATGCACAAGTGCCGGCAGAAGGCTCAACTGGCATGCTAGTAATAAGTTTCAATTTTGAAACCAATAAGTCAGTACTAAGTGAGTATATTGGTATGTGACTCATATTAATTAAAATAATTTATATGCTTATTACACACAGCATCATAATCTAAAGATGTTTTATTGTTTTCTATTTATTTTCTGTAAATCAATATAAATTCAACTATAATTTTTATTATGAAAGGCAATTTGTGACTATTTGAAATTAATAGTGTATTTGTTTATTTACCAATATTGCAATTACCTTTAATTATTTATTGAAATCATATTGAAATGCTGTTACATATTTGTCATTCTGTATGTGGATCATTTCTAATACTGTTCAAAATAGAGAATAACAAAGTCATAAGTTATCTTGTTCAAATTGTAATGAAAAATTACAATTATAAATATTTTATACTTTCAATAATGAGTATATAGAGAAAATCAGGGTTTTTGTTTACATTCAAGTGCATTTGTTATTCAACACTGTTAGAATTTTAATGCAAAACTAATACTTGCATGTAGAGTTAAGACATATTATCACTAGTATTATCCTTTATTCTATCCTGCTAAGAAGAAAGTGCATAGTGCAAGTAACAAATTTTATGAAATTAACTAAATTATATTCTCAGATGCATATGTGAAAATTTTTACTGGAACCTTTTGTATATTTGCTTTAAATTTAGTTAAGCTTGATTACATCATTTTTAATTCAACTTTCTAGCCATGAAATTTGTGCTTTCTTCTTGACAGGTTAGTATTATTATGCTTAGATGTTATATCTGCAGTTGAGAGGTCACATTTCACCAGTAGAAATTTTAGTAGACTTGAATTATGCAATTATTTTATTTGAAATCGTAGAGAACACATGAATATAAATGCTCAGTTTATGGTATGTCTATAGAGAAATATTTTCTCTATTAGGTAAGTGCTAGACAATAAGCATTTTCAATATTATGAAATTCATATTAAGTTGGAAATGTGTTCTATCTTGCAGGCTTACTTCAACAAAGACAACAAAATAGTTTATAAATTTTATATTATGACATGTTTAAGAAATATAACCCATTGTATTCTATATAATCAAATTGGAATGTTAATATTTAAATGTAAGGATTTGTGCAGATAAGGAATATTCATCAACATGCTTTTTGTCTATCTGAACAGTACATAGAGTTACATTTCATAACTTGATCCAGTATAGGACTCTAGGAAGTCCCTGGCTGGGATAAAACTTGTCTCCATAGTCTCTAAACAAATAAAGAGGCATGTTTATTTCCACATTGTTATAATTACATCATATTATGAACTAAAGAGGCATAGACACATGAAGTACATGACAGTGACAGCACTAACTATAGACTGGTTGGTGAATACTATCTATGACAAATACTAATATAAATACTAAATAGAAGCTATCACTCTATCAATACTTGGCAGTGGGGTTGATTTTGCCATTTCTTTAAACATATTTCTAAAATGATCACTTTGATATCACAGAAAATTCTTTATTCAATGTATCAATATGAATTTAATTTCTGATATATTTAAAATTATTGTAAATTTAGTTTATGATGGTTTATAAAGCTTCAATTTTGCACTTATCAAATTAAAATATTAGGTTAAGAGAAATGGCGTCTCAGAATCGGTCCCATTGGTATTTACTGTTACATATTGGTATTCTCTATAACATCTGTCTTTGTCACTGCTACATACTAATAACATTGAGTATTTCATATATAATTTCGAACACAAAAATGCTGATGATCATTAGTTGTAATTCCATAACAGCATAGCATTATTGATCATATGTAAACATCAGAGATTGAAAAAAGTGAAAACCATTAAATATGGTGTCACATAAAACAAGGTGAAGGTACATGTTTGTCATTGTAAATCTAAAAGTGTTATTTTAAAATGAGACATAAAACCCGGCTGCTTCTATAATGAAATTAACAAATAATATTTTCAGAATGTTTAATATAATATAAATAATAATAATCAGTATACGCAAATAGGATATGTTTTTGTTTGTTTATACACCATGATTCCCACTTTACATCAGGTGGAACATTAGCTTATTGCTATATAATACAATATAAATAAGTAAAAAAATTTGTAAACAAATTTTTTTCACTTAGGAAAAGTGTCATCTGATACTTTACCTTTCAATAGCTCTGTAAGACAGAATCATACCTTATCTGTCAAAATCAACAAGTCTAAAAAACTATTTGGTTTCAGCAAGTATACAAAATTATTCTGTAAAATAATTTACTTCAGCAGTTGGGTAAATTTGTTTCCAATAGCATTATTTTATTAATTTACTTCATATTGCATATGAATAAGTTTTAGGCACCAATACTGTCAAGGTTGTAGATGGATAATAATTCCATTTTTAAAATGAGATTTAACAAGATGCAGTGTAATTTTTTATTATTGAAATAATTGTTCCTTCATGGATGTATGTACAGTAGATTAAAACAATATTATACATTATTTAATTTTATATAAATAATATTACTGAGAGATAATTGTTATAAGTTTTATATCTCGAAAAATGTAATTGTATAATGTTTGTATCGCTCGCGTGAATCGCGACTGATAAGTCACAATAAATATGAAAATGTCTGATAGTGTTTCTTTACATAAATCTTTCAAGTCATACCTTAAAACAAGTACTTTTATTATTAAGGTAGTGTGAGTATGTGTTGGATTTTTTTTGCATTCTCACTCTCATGATAAATAACATATTATTCAATATTATATTATATTTTTTGTAAGATAGAGTAATCTCTGAAATAACATCTTAGAAATACTTCACGCAATATGTACTAAGGATAGGGTGTCTTAGACGGTTCTTTAACGACCATGTGACGTAATTCGTGGCGCACTGGTGGGCACGTTGTTTTTCATAAATGAGGCCCCGGGTTCGATTCCTGTTTGATCCAAGTTCGAGAACGATTTTTTCCGAGTTGGCTCGAGTTTGGGTGTTCTGTTGCGTGGTTCGTATATCCAAGCTTGAGCATTAGGCTGTTGGTGTGATTGTATGGCACTTTATTTTCATTAATGTTATCCTTCTTAATCTTAGTTCATATCTATAGGCAACCGACATTTATTAGTACAGCCGGATCCACAACTTTATAAATTGTCCACGTTAACATCGCATGCCCCTCCAAATTTTACTTCAATGTTGTGAACAGATACAGACGTGGTGCTCTGTGTTTGTGAGAGACCATCTTTAGTAACGGTCTGGCCTAAGGAGTATTATATTCCATGGTCGAAACTCCACTGTTGAACATAGGTTTCTTGGGGGGGTTTAGCCAGTAGTTCGCTTGGATAACGGAATGGCAACTTTTGTTAGGGTTTAGTGACATTTTAAGAGCGACGCTGCTGCCTATCGCTCGACCATTAGGTTCCCTTAGTCGCCTATTACGACACCCAAGGCTAGTATAGTATTATATTATTTGTGCCTAAGGGAAAAAAAAAGAAACGGCCTATTTTATGCCGGGGTTGACTTTCATATTTGTAGATTTCCTGGAACTTTTCCGGCATCTATTTATGGTTACTTATTTATATCAGATGCTCCATTAGCTGATAATGACATTATTATTAATTCTTCTTTAATACTATATACAGATATTTGAATTTTTTTAAAGCTATCCTTGCATTTGGGAATCTTAAATTGTACTAGGTAAAAAAGCTTTAGCTTTCTAACAAGATTAAGACCCACCTTTCAACTATCTGGGTTGAGTGCATTCTCGGAAAAAAATACTATCATATTATATGTTATACTTGTATATTTTTTCCAAATTTTTTAAGCGTCATCTGTCTATATAAAGTTATGAAAAAAAAAGCTTAGTAACCTTGTCATTCATTTAATAAAATATAAAATTTAAGACAAGCATATAAATAAATTACGCAGGAATGACAATATGGCGTGAGATTGTATTTATTTATTTTTGTTTCTTGCCCTTCTTGGCTGCGGCGGCCGCTTCCAAGTCGATTGGTGCTGGCTTGACGAAAGGTATAAGCTCTTGGTACTGCTCTGGCATCCAAGGTTTCAAAGCTTCAGGAACCTGATATCAGATATTTTAAAAATTATATTATAGTTTACTACTTAGGTATACATAAGACGGGTGGTGATAGTTCATCTTTATTAGTATTATAAATGTGAAAGTGAGTTCGTTAGTTCTTGGCGCCTAAACATCTCCACTAATAGTTATGACGTACATACAGTGTTTAAGATTTTTTTTATATTTAGAATAGCAGTCATGTCGAGGTCCCACTCGGTGGAAAGTGATAACTCCAAAACATACTGATCTGGTTTCTATTTCTTTTATTAAGATCCTTTATAGTTATTATTATATTAGTAAAGATGTGAAGGGAGTTTGTTTATTTCTCATCTTTTGACACTTTATTAATTAATGAAATTAAATGTATTTTATATATATGCTAGAAACATTGTGGATAAGATGTTACATTTGTTAAGTTTACAAGATGTCCATTATGTTTCGCCACATCAAATGATGTGCAAATCATTTTGAAATTTGATTATGTGTATGCCAAATTATTTGAATTGGAGATAGACATAGGCTATTTTTTATTCCTATTATTTAATATATCCTGGACAGGCCGATGAATCCGTGGTTAAAGACTAGTGATTTGCTATGCAAATCAAATTGATGTTTTACCTTAATTCCTTCTTCCGTCTGATTGACTTCGAGTAAAGCGCAAATAACACGCGTGGTAGCACACATGGTCGCGTTCAACATGTGCACATATTCAGTAGCCGCATTCATCTTCTTTGTCTGACCATATCTGAAATTAAAAAGATTTTTTTTATAGACCCGGTATAGAATGGGCACTTCCTTCTTTAGCTTTCGCCAGTAGTTGCCACGCTCGGCAAGCGGGTAGGCAACCGCAATTAGGTTTTCGTCATGTTTAACGAGAGACGCTGATACTCATCTCTCGATCATTATGTTTCCTTAGTGGCCTCTTACAACACCAACGGGAAGGAAAGGGGTAGTCCATTATATGCAGAGACCACACGGCGATTATTATTGTACCTGGCAGTAAATATTACATATTAGGTTTTAGAAATAAAATCGGTAAATTTGGGTTATATAGAACGTGATCTTACTCATTCATACCTACATGAAATGGAATGAGTCATGTCAGCGATTCTAGAAGCATAAGCTAGCTCTTAGGCGTATTTAAGGGCGTGGGGGGGGGGGGGGGGGATTTCATATTCTCTTCATAAAAACTTTGCTCAGACTTAAATAAATATTTAAAAAAAATTGCTGAAATGATTTAACCATTATTGTGTTATACACTTAGCAAAATATCTAGCAATTAATTTTTATTTATAAAAGATAAAAGCTCACCTTACTAGCAACCTCCTAGCTTGATACTCTAGACAATTGCTACAGGAGACCAGCTCGCGGAATGCACCAGATCCAGGGAACCATGCCTCCAAGTCGAGCTTTTTCGCTGCAGCATGGTTTAGGGCTCCAGACACTATGTTTACGATGCGGTATGGGATGCCGAGAATCTTACAAAACTCCTCAGCGTTACCGATCATCTCGTCCATCATTTTCCAGGAGGCGTCATCGTGCGGAGAGGTCAGCACGAACTGTTCCACCTATATGTACATAGTAGTTCATAGGTCCGTAGGTGTATATATATATATATATATATATATATATATATATATATATATATAGAGTGAAGCTTATTACATACACTCCTCGCAAAAATTAAGGGAACATAAAAATTTTTGAAATTTTTGGGTGATTTTCAACAGGCTGTATTTCAGTGAAAAATAATCGTACAGGAAATTTAAAAAAAGGGTTTTGAAGCTTGAAACTCTAGTTTTCAGATTTTTTGGAGAAAAAATTTTTTGAGCTCCGGTTTCCATGCAATTCTTAAACAAAGCTGAAAATAAATTTTTTCTAAATTTTCTAGGTTTCGTTTTTCACTCTATGGGCATGGAAAAATTTTTTCGAGCTACTCCATTGTATAGGTCCCTTAGCGTGTTTATTCAGCTTCAAAAATCGCTTTGGATGGCTCAATTACGACCATTTGTCTCCCAGATATCGAACTTTGAATGCAAAAGCATCCTTTTCCATTCAACTGCTAATATCTCTGGAACTACTGGTCGCACAGCAAGCGGGCGCCGAGTTTCTTTATCTGCATAAAATTTTCTAGATTTTTTTCGATTTTTTTTTGATAATGAATTTTTAAAAAACAAAAAATTGAGTAAAAAGTGAAAAACAAATGAAATTATTGATTTTTGAATGGATTAGGGTGAGTTTAAGGGACAAAAATCTTGTTCCCTTATTTTTTCCAAAATTTCAATCAATTGGTCCGGGAAAAACCGTTGAACCGATCGCTCCAGGGATTTAGGGGGTTCTTTAAGGAACAATAGACTGTAAAATTTTCCTCAAACCTTAGCTTTCCCGCCCATATTAGCGAAAATACAGCCAAGTAACCAAAAAAGGAGAAAAAGTCACTTTTTTCCACTTTTTTCAATTCAATGTTAGAGGTGGAAAAAATTTTTTTCTTCACTAACTCTTGACTGTGCTTAATTGGAAATTTTATGCAGATAAAGAAACTCGGCGCCCGCTTGCTGTGCGACCAGTAGTTCCAGAGATATTAGCAGTTGAATGGAAAAGGATGCTTTTGCATTCAAAGTTCGATATCTCGGAGACAAATGGTCGTAATTGAGCCATCCAAAGCGATTTTTGAAGCTGAATAAACACGCTAAGAGACCTATACAATGGAGTAGCTCGAAAAAATTTTTCCATGCCCATAGAGTGAAAAACGAAACCTAGAAAATTTAGAAAAAAATTATTTTAAGCTTTGTTTAAGAATTGCATGGAAACCGGAGCTCAAAATATTTTTTTACCAAAAAATCTGAAAACTAGAGTTTTCAAGCTTCAAAACCCTTTTTTTAAATTTCCTGTACGATTATTTTTCACTGAAATACAGCCTGTTGAAAATCACCCAAAATTTTTAAAAAATTTTATGTTCCCTTAATTTTTGCGAGGAGTGTATAATGTACATCTTAAATTCATAACTTCTGCAAGATATAAATGAGTATATTAGTCTTGCTGCAGAGTTCAAATTTACATTTTATATGTGATTGTTCTAAACGCAGTGAATAAATGCAACTATATTCTATACTTCAACATTCCTAATTTTCTCTGCGCCTCTTAACGCCCCTTTGGAGGCCTCAAAGGAGTCAGGCAACTCATCGCCAACTTTGAGAAACAATACTCTACAAGCGGTTAAGATTGATTTGGAATAAAAAATGATTGAAATTAAAAAAAAAAATAAAGATTTGTATGTCATATTTAATATTTTGCTGGTGTTTGGTGTATTTATCTTAATTGCATTTTAATACCTTCTCGAACTGGTGTACCCTGAAGATGCCGCGCGTATCACGACCATGAGAACCTACTTCTTGTCGGAAACACGTTGATAATCCCGCATACCTGTGACAAGCAGATGTTAAATTAACTTATTATCAAGTCAAAATAATGAGTAACTTACAGAAAAAAATATAATTTTTATAAAATATAAAATATTAAAAAATATTTGAATTATACAAGGTACCTAATGGGTAAAGATGCTTCCGGCAACCACTCGTCCCTGTGGTAAGCAGCAATTGGTTGTTCAGAGGTTGCAATCAAATATTTTTCCTCTACTGCCACATCCCCTTTGTTTTCGGAGCCTTTGCCTACCACCTTGTATAACTCCTCATCAAATTGTGCTAATTGCGCTACTTCTTGCATCACCTGAATAGGAAAAAATATGTTAATATTTTAGCAAGGAATTGTAGTAATATATAATAATTGATGAATATATGTATATAGATAACTTTCCTTACTACAATACCAAATTTACATATGGCCCTTAACATAAAAAATAATTCAACAGAAATATTTATCGTGCTACCGGTATATGTACCGTGTGGTCCCAGCTTAGAATGGGCCGCTCATTCTTTTCCGAGGGTGTCGTAAGAGGCAACTAAGGGAGGGTGAGGAATGCGCAGCAACATCCCTTTTAAAACTTCTGTAAAAGCATAACTGCGGTTATCAACCCGCTTGCCAAGCGTAGCAACTACTAGCAAAAACCCCTTATGGGGGAAGCCTATATTCAGCAGTGGACTGTTAACGGCTGATATGATGATGATGATGTGAACCATAGTGAATGTATGTAACAACCATAAGATTACGGAAGTTGGCACATCTAATAAATATTATTTAAAAAGGAGTCACATGAAGTTTGGAAAATATTTCTTTATTAAATAAAGCTTACCTCCTTTCTCATAAAGAAGGGTGTATATAGCGGAGTGTATCCTTTCTTTAACAATATCCGCAGTGAGAGCTGTACTAGAGCTTGTTCCAAGAACACAGCTGGGCCCTTCAGGTAATAACCACGACCACCTGCTACTGCAGCACCCCTATCGCCATCCATACCTTTGGAAGAAAAAAAATTACATGGCTTATAGTAAAACAGTGATGTCAGAGTATAATCAATTGTGTTTATAATTATATTTATATATTAATTAATGGAATTTATTCCTTAAAACTGGTGTTGGTATTTATTAATAGATATTAGAAACATTATTTCTTGGAGAAAATCTTTATATATATAAAAACTAAAAAATAAATTAAACTCTTGTAGAAAAGATCAAACTGTATCTATACCAAGAGCACTTCATAAAAATAAGTATGTACATACCTTGTACTGCCTAGTGCTGTAGGTATAAACACATTGTGTATACTAAGAAAAAATTATGTATCATAAAAAATATTTTCAAATATATTTACAGAATTGCCTCAATTTTAGTTTTTTTTTATCGGATGATAATGTTATGATAACTCCGCTTAAATTAACCCATTGCTAGTAATATACCTTTTCAGGTCAACCTCCTTGTGGTTTTCCCTGGAGCCTACAGTATATTCATTGTTGAATTCATCACAATGAGCTAACTGATCTGCTTCATCTTCACCTAACATTCCTCAATGGTGCCCCGCTAGCATATACCGTTAGCGAAGGCAGGGCTACCATTCCATTATCATCCATTGAAGAAAGCTACCAATTTAACTACCAAATGTGGACTATTAACATGATATCCTTGGTGATTTGCGTAAAATGTATTCAGCTGATAGTTATTGTTAATTATAATTTTATTTCTTTAATATTGACTCAAGTGTGGGTGTGATCGGAATAACAAAGTAGCACAAGTTCCAAGACATCCAAGATAATAATAATACCAAAATTAAAGTATTTGTAGTAATCATTACTTAAAACTGCTGCTACTATAAGGAAATATACATGTTACAATGGATGTAACTATCAGCATTTATAAATAAAAATATAATAATAAACAGAAACATAGTATTTCATATTTATTTAAGTAATTACTAATATATAAGTAAATGCTACATAATACAATGAAAAAGTACCATCATTAACAGAAATAAATATATTGTATAACAAACTTATAAAAAAATAGTAGTTACGCACTGAAGTTGTGAAAAAAAAAATTACAAGTTGGTGATCCACCAGATGGAAAGTAGTAACCATCATGTATAAACTTGAACAGCACCATGTACATCATAATACATACTGAGAGACTCCATACATTGCTATTCCCAAGGACTATGGTAGAAAATATAACTGATCAATATATATTACAGTGCTTACCATCAATCATACAAATAAGATCCACATGAGAGTACTTGGTCCTCACAGTGCAGTCCCCGTATGTCCTCTCTACCAAGTTGTGGTCCTCATCATCATCTACTGGGACAGAGGAGTGGAGGTGGTTTCCCACTTCCCGCAGTGCAGCAGAGCGAGTTTTTTCGGCTGTAATTAGCCCTTGTTCATTTTTTGTTATTGCCTCATCTATTAACAATCTTACCTGAAAATATTTTTATTTTATTTGTTGATTATATTTATACAGAAGGCACTAGGGACAATTCAACTGATATTATAAATATTGATATTCATATATTTGGATGATTATTACTCAATTACACTTAAATAGTTGGCACTTTCCATCCAATTCATTACCAATTTATTCAGATAAATTTCAATAAAGTTTAATACACAGATATTGAGGATTAACTTTTAAAAATTAGGTATGCTAATTTTACTAAGGTACTTTATCTAAGTACTAAATAATTTACATAGAAGGAAAGGATTAGGAAGCAGAAAGTGTTACAAACATAAAATTTTGTAAAGATATTTGTTACTTAATCATAGTTAAATGGTTAAACAGATTTGAATGAAATTTATACATATGCATATTTGTAGGTTCTTCTCTGCATAAAAAAATCAATAGTAGAATAATAAAACAATGAAGATTAAAAAGAGCTTGTAAAGAAATCTATTTAAAAAACATTTATATTCATATGAAATATTTTTACTTTACACAAAAAAATCAAAGGACATAGCATTATTATCAGATATAATGTATACTAACAGAAGAATTCAAATTTATATAAAGTTATTTGTGCAATGAGAGTATTTTTTTTTTTAACAGAGAATAAACTTTTGTCTATTTTCACACCACTAAAGAAAAAAATAATAATATTTTTTTGTCATTAGATATTATTGCTCTTCTATATTTTCACTTTAAGACATGAGAAACCACAGGAGAGATAGTATTACATAGGTAAAATATTTCAATTTTTTTTTTATTTAATTAAAACATATTGCACAACAAAACCATTGATTTTCAAATATATCATGTGGGTATATGTATATAAAGTAATAACTATTATAAAATATGTCCCTACGGATATCCACTGAATGATTTTTATGTGAAGAATTTAAATAATAGGTAGTGTTACCTTTTTTATTTGGTTAACAGTTAAAGGCTTCAGCTGATCACCAGTCAACGTGGCTAGGTTACCAGCAACATCTGCAGGCACTTCCTGGTCTTCGGAACCCACTGGCTCCTTATTCTTCATCTTTAGCCCAATCTCTTTACTGCATACATTTTTTAGCTTATTCAAGTTGTCAGCTTCATGGCGCAATCGTCTCCAAAGTGTATCTTGTTCCACTACTGTGTCCACTAAAGCTACATCTTTAAAGCGTTTGCGTTGGTTTTCTCGGATCTTGTCTGGATCACCATCCTTATCGGCACGAAATAAGTCTAAATCGAGAACCATATTGCCGGGACACAAGTGACACGTCTAAAGAAATTGAGAAAGAAAACACTTTTAAATTGCCGCATGTATGAATGCGGTAGGGTAGGTTATTTGACAGAATTTTGTCTTTTATGACATTGACGGTCATGTTTTCTTAGGTACTTGCTATATCTTTGGGTATAGAAACCGCTGGAAATGGCTTCTGTATGGCTCAGCATGGATTAAGTAATTAACTTTCAAAATGTGTCGTCTAAGATTAATTAAAAATTTAAGATTTTCATAAATACCAAAAAAATAAAATTTTATTATAAACAACTTAATCTTAACATCTTCTTGTATATGAGCGCATTATTTTAAGTTTTGGTCTTTAGGCATCATGTCTGATAATCTTAACATCTTCTTGTATATGAGCGCATTATTTTAAGTTTTGGTCTTTAGGCATCATGTCTGATTGCCAGTGTAGTACTTTAAAAAAATCAAGTTATCAAAACAGCGTATAGAGTGAAATGTCATACTGAAGTGTCAACTGGGAAAAAGCGCGGGAAACGTTTAAAAAAGCGGGAGTGTTTTTTGATCTTCTTTAAATTAATTTTATTTTTATTTATATAAGGATTAGTCTTTTTTATATATTGTGTATTAGATTGTATATTTAATTGTATATTTTGTAGTAATAGTGTTTGTTGCTGTAAATATTGGTAAGTAAATTACCTATATTAACATTATGGATCCACCTATAGACCCTGGGGGGACAACCCCCCAGGTGTCTGCAAATATAACTATTCCATTCAATAATAGTTTTGATATATTGGGTGAATCTAGTATGGACACAGATGGTTCTAGCGTTGCAAGTTCTAAACGTAAGCGAGTACGTGGTGAACGTCGCATTTGCAAACATTGCAATAAAAAACGAAGGAGGCACACCAAGATGTTGAGTTTGATTCTCATCGTCAATGTATTGAAGATGAGAATCAAACTCAAGTATCAATACCAGTTGTAAACAATACCGAGTCTGTTAAACCTGCTTCTCCACCCAGTACTTTAAGCAGAACTTTGTACAATGCCGAGGATATAGCACCTTATGTCGTTCATGTACAAAAAAATGAAACACATCCTAATGATAACACTACATTACATCCTATTGCATTTGGTCGCTTTTTACACACTAATAAGATAAATAATATAGTGAATGGTAGCCTCAAAAGAATAGGAAGAAACCGTTTATCGCTTTCTTTCTCAAATTTTGAAAATGCAAATGCATTTTTAAATAATAGTAACTTAGAAACACATAATTTTAAGGCATTTATACCTTCTTTCCATGTAACCCGTATGGGAATTGTGAGGGGTATTCCTAAAGATTGGACAGAAGAGGAAGTAATCCAAAATATATCAGTACCGATAGGTTGTGGGAAAATTCTAAAAACCAGAAGAATAAAGAAAAAGACAATTAATGAAGGACAACCAAGTTTTATTAATACTGAAACCATTGTTATTACTTTTGATGGACAAATATTGCCAAAAAGAGTATTTATGTTTTACACATCATTAACTGTAGATTTGTACATTTACCCTACTATCCAATGCTATAACTGCTGTAGGTTCGGACATGTCAAGATGCAGTGTCGTTCAAATCCTCGGTGTTATAAATGCAGGCAAAATCATACAGGTGATAAATGTGAAGTAGATGAGGAAAATGTTTCTTGTATCTTGTGTAATGGTTCTCATTCAGCAATTAGTAAAAAATGTCCTGAATATGCACGTCAGAAAGCCATTAAAGAAACAATGGCCCATAGTTGTGTTTCTTATGCTGAAGCATCAAAATTTCATCCTCCAACTTCTAAACTATATTCAGATGTATTAACATCATCATCTCCTTCCAATAAATCTCATTTTCAATCTTCTTTCCTTAAAGAGAAATCATCATTACCACATATACAATCATCATATAAAAAAACAGTTACACTTAAACCACGCTCTCCTCAAAAAATACAACAAGGATATGATCGTTCTGCCCATGAAGCCATAGTTAAGGAATATAATATTCCTGCTCCCTCTAATGGTTGTGCATTATCATCAAATAATATTGACAATAATCAATCCATCATTGATATTATTCTCATGCTTATTAAAGTGTTATCGCAATCAAAAATGATACAAACAACTTTACCACCGTCCAACGATGCCATGTACAATGTATTGTCTCAATTGTTAACTTCTCGCAATGGATTACAAAGTCCAAATAATTCAGTGGAACTGTCGTAGCATAACAAATAAGAAATCAGACTTATTTTATTTGATTAATAAATATAATCCTTTTATAATAGCTCTACAAGAGACTTGGTTAAAGCCAGGATATCCTTTTAGGATTTCAGGCTTTACAAGTCTCCGTGATGATAGAGCTGACGGATATGGCGGTGTTGCCATATTGGTCAAAAACTCCCTTCTTTTTTCTTCTTTTTCGCTTCCTGTATATAGCGGCATTAATGCAGCTGCTATAATTATAAATGGTATCTGTTTTGTTACTTTATATATTCCTGATCCTACATGCCAAATATATTCACAACTAGAACAATTATTTTCAATTTTACCTAAACCTTTTCTCGTAATGGGCGATTTTAATGCTCAGCACCAATCGTGGGGCAGTTCTACTTCTAATTTTTATGGTGGAAAACTCCTGACGATAATTGACACTTACAACTTATGTATTGTTAACTCAGATGTACCGACACGTAGAACTGCACCGAATGAAGGGTTTAGTGCTCCTGATATTTCAATATGTTCTTCTGATTTAGCTTCTTCACTGTCGTGGTATCCTCATTCCTCTACCTTCGGAAGCGATCACTTTCCCCTCATTCTTTCTTTTCCAATTTCCATTCCCTCAAGTCGAAAGAGTAGTCCTCGACTTAAATATAATTTATCAAATGTAGACTGGAATATTTACAAACAATATTTAGATAATAAAATATCGGAGTTACCTATTGTTTATCATGGAAATGAACATCAATGTTGTAATGACTTGATAATTAATATGAAGGAGGTTGCTGATTTATTATTTCCTGTTAAAAATAGTGCTTCAGGGAAAATTCCCTCCCCACCTTGGTGGGACAAAGATTGTACGGAAGCAATTAAAAATCGTAAAGAGGCTGAAAAAAATTATAATAATTACATGACATCAGAAAATTTTGAAATTTACACCGCAGTTTCACGTTCTACTCGAAAACTACTGAAAAAAAAGAAATTGGAAGGTTGGAGAAGATTTTGTTCTTCTATCTGTCCAGAAGTTAATTCATCAGTCGTTTGGAATAATATTAAAAGATTCAGATCTGCCTTTAGTGATCATACATCACGTTCTGCACTCGATTTAACTTTAGCGAATAAATTTTTAGATCGCCTTGCTCCTAGTTATGTGCCGGAATGCCTTTACAATATTTCTCTATCCGTCTCTGACGAATTATCCGAACTTGACTCTCCTTTTACTCTTGTAGAACTTAAAGGTGTTCTAGCTTGTATTAAAGACTCTGCACCGGGAGAAGACGGTATACCGTATTCCTTTTTTAAAAATGCTAGCGATGCGACATTAATTTACTTTTTAAATATAATTAATTCCATAATTATTTCGGGAAATATACCTACTTCATGGAAGTCTCAGATTATTATACCATTTCTAAAGCCTCATAAACCACCTTCTGAACCATCTTCATACCGTCCTGTTGCACTTTCCTCTGTCTTACTAAAGCTAGCTGAACATTTAGTGAAGAACCGTCTAGAATGGTTTTTAGAAAGTAATAACTTACTATCCCCGAACCAGTTTGGTTTTAGGAAAGGTAAGAGCACCTTAGATAATGTGAGCATTCTTATTTCAGATATTCATATAGCTTTCTCACAAAATTTGTCAATCCTCTCAGCCTTTTTAGATATAAATTCTGCCTATGATAATGTAATAATTTCTATTTTAAAAACTAAATTACAAGCTTTAAATGTACCGGTAATGCTTTCTAATTTCATTATTAATATTTTATCAGAAAGAACAATACATATGGATCTAGATGAAGATACCAAATTATCTAGAACAGTATGGAAAGGCCTTCCACAAGGATCTGTTCTCAGTCCAATTTTATTCAACATATACACATACGATCTAGAATCATTCCTTGATAAATCCGTCAAAATTTTACAATATGCTGATGATCTCTTATTATATTTTATTGCGAAGTCCATAGAATCTGCTTCTGCCAAATTATCTGATTCATTAGATTTGTTAAAAACGTGGTTAGATGCAAATGGTCTTAATCTTTCTGTAACCAAGGGTAGTGTAGTTTTGTTTTCAAGAATGAGATCACCGCAACAAATTAAGGTTCTTTATGATAACTCATACATTCCTATAAAGACTGAAATTAAATTTTTAGGTATCGTGCTAGATAATAAATTAACAGGTCTGTCCCACTGTAATTATATTTCCACGAAATGTGAGCGTAACCTCAACATTCTTAGGTGCCTTGCTGGAGTTTGGTGGGGAGCACATCCCGTTTCACTAAAACTTGCTTATAATGGTCTTATAAGGAGTGTCATTGATTATGGAACTTTTTTGTTAGCTCCAGGAAGTTCATTTGCTTTTAAGAAATTGGATTTAATTCAATCAAAGGCCTTGAGGATTATCTCTGGAGCAATGAAATCAAGTCCAATCAATGCTTTACAGCTCGAAGTCGGTGATCCACCTTTGGTTTTAAGAAGGCAATATTTATCTGATCGCTTCTTTTTTCGTTGTTTACAATTATCTGATCATCCGCTTATTCAAAAGTTATCTCAACTATATATCTTTATTTCGTCTTCATCTTATTGGAAACATAAAAAACCTCCATGTTTAATACAAAGTTATGAAAAATATAAATCCATAGAATCTCCCACTTTTACATCGTCCTGTTTTCCCATTTATAAATGCTCATATCAATCTTTAGTTTTATCTCCTAATATTAAATATGATTTTGGGTTATCAAAAAATGATTCAGAATTGAATGCCAAATTTATGTTTATAACTGACATTGAATGGAATGAATGGCACTACATCTTTACAGATGCATCAAAACCAGACAATAGCGGTTGTGTAGGTGTGGGTGTGTTTCATTCACAATTTAATATCGTTCAAAAAATTAAACTTCCATCGGAATCTTCAGTTTTTACCGGGGAATGTTATGGTATTTTAAAAGCTGTAGAATATATACTTTTAATGAAATTACATAAGGCAATAGTTTTCACTGACTCTATGAGCTCTTTGCAAGCTCTAGCCAAATATCCGTTTAAATCAAAACCAGTTTATCCCATTATTTGTGACATAAGACAAAGTCTTTATCTTTGCATGTTGAGAGGGTATTCCGTTTCTTTTGCCTGGTTACCAGGACACAGTGGTATTAGCGGCAATGACAAAGCTGACCTTATGGCAAGAGAGGCTGTAACTTGTGGTGATATGTATCCGTATCATAATTACTGTAGTGACCTAGCTTGTCTCCCAAAAATATATTTAAGGTATGCCTGGAAGGAATATTGGGAAAAAACAAGTACAATAAAAGGAAGATTTTATCGCCTTATACAACCCGATATTCCTTTCAAACCATGGTTTTGTAAATTAAAGCTTGGAAAGACCGCAACAACTATTATAACTCGTATGCGTCTAGGTCACGTATGCACACCTTCTCATTTATACAAGCTTGGTATTGTACAAAGTTCGTCGTGTAATTGCGGTGCTGAAGTGGCGGACTTGAATCATATATTCTTCTCATGTTCTAAATTTGACCACACCTCCCTTTTTAATCATCTCCGATCCATCCGTGTTCCATTCCCAACTTCTATTCTTACTCTACTTTCTTCCAATGATCCTATTATCTATAAAATACTATCTTCATATATATATAATAACAATATTAAGATTTAGTTATATTACATGAATACATTTATAGTTGCATCAATTGCTTTTCCTATATATTTATAAGTATATTCTCATATGTACAAGTATATCCTTCATATCCTATAAATATCCTAGACCTAATCCTTATCCTTTCTAAATTCGTTTGTGTTAGGTATTTTTATTACTATTATCGTTTCCCCGTTTTGTTCTTGGCAAAATACCCTAATATCGGGGTGAACGCCACAAAAGAAGAAAAAAAAAAAAAAAAAAAAGTGTCAACTGTCATATTGTTAGAATGATTGGTCGGCCTGTCTGAACTTCCCTTGTTCTAATTATTTGGATTATTTTTATAAAATATGTGGCTTTTAGTAGATAGTAGCTGAAATTACTAAAGCATTAATATCTACCTACATTTTGTAAGTTGTTATTTCATATTATCTTTAGTTACATTACAGAATTCTTATAAATCGGCCCTTGTTTACACGTACTCATCACATAAGGTCTTCCATAATATTTTTACAAAGGGGAGGATTCTTACTGATGAAGTTGCAGTTAGCTTTTATATTCAACATTTAATTGTGTTTTTAAGCGTACTGAGTGTTGACGAAATATTCTACAAAATGAAGTATAAATATGATAATGATCATATAAAGTAATCTTGATATATTTCGTTAATATAGTCTTTATATGAATGTTGTTGTAATCCAATGTTCAGTGTGTATTAAAATATTCACTCTATTTATTGGGTATTTATCATCTTCCTACCCTTATCCCAAATATTATTTGGGGTCGGTTTAATATGGTTTTATCCATATTTATATTGGTTTATAGTTTTTGGGTATTAAATACAATAAATTTTGCTACCTGTAGTATAATATCAATTGTGAGTTATTCTGTATTATAGTTATTTATAACTTATATATATGGTAATGTGTGAGTTGAGCTAATATAAATGATTATAATTTTGCTACTGGTTTTAGGCAATGCCAAGATGATTCCATTAAAGGATAACCTAGATGTGGCCTCCTTCTTGGTCACAAAACACTCCTGGAAGGGCAAATACAAGAGAGTGTTTTCTGTGGGGACACATGGCATAACCACATACAACCCTGACCGTTTGGAGGTGACTAACAAATGGCTATACTCCGATGTAATCACAGTTGCATCGGCTAAACACTCCAATTCTGCTGCCAACCATGATTTTACCCTAATCATGAAGAAGGATAAGAAAGTGGATAATATGAAGTTCTCTTCGGAACACAAATGTTTAATTTTAACAGAAGCTTTCAAATATAGGCATTTATTTGCTGAGAAGCCTAAGGATGTATTAGTAAGTATCTATTTTTTTATTTTTTTTTTTTTATTTTATACATTTTATAATTTATAAAACTATAACATACTCTTATTCACTATATTTATGGAACTATATATGTTAGACAATATAGGATTTCAATATAAAATTTAAAAATTATTACTAATATAACTAAAATTTAAGCTTAATAATTATTTCATGCTTACAAATATTATACAATAAGTTGTATCACTGAGATACCATTAAGACATCAAGTGGTGTAAAAAAAAACTAAGGAAGTATATTTTTAATAAATACTTAAATCCTAATTAATATTGCATTCCTGCTGTAATATTCATTATCCATAAAGAGAATGAATTATTTTCTAGATTCAATTCTCATAAAGATTTAATTTTTGAAAAAAAGAAGTATATATTTTTTTATAGTCGAGAGACTGTGTTTCATCATCCCATTTAAAATTGTTTTCATTAAGGTGAAGGTGACAATTAACATGTCCCTCTCATGCTAAATTCCTACTTTGAATATTTTCAGAGATATCAGGCCTACAAACACCACTGGAGTGGCACTCGCCTTCCTGTAGTCCTTGAAGTTGGCCCATGTGCATTAGAGCAGTTGGATCCCTCCACACACACCCTGTTAGCTAGTTATCCATACTGCGATATACAAGGAATACTCCAAGTTAGAGATGTACCAGGTGGATTTGTCTTGGCCGTCGGTGGTTACAGCAGATTGCATCTATTCTCGAATGCTATGGATCATCAGATTATTATAAATAAGATGCTCGAAATGGCTAATTTGATGTTGAGTATCAGCATCAAGGTGTTATCTGCCACAATAACATTAGATGATTACCATGATCAAAGATTTGGAAAATATAGGTAAGTTGGTATAAACCTAACCTATGTGATATTGTAATACTACATAATTTTTTTCATAAATTGAAGAATTAATCTCAGTACACCTTATATTTGAAAGTCTAATATTGCACTTTGAATAAGGTGCCATATAGTGTAAAGAGTAATTTTGAGCAACAATTTTAAAGTGTAAAACGTGTAATGAGCAAATTCTTATTAGTCCAAAGATAAATTATTAATTTCTAGATTTAGGATGGGATTAGGATTTGAATTTGTTATCGTTGGTAAATCAAGTATTCCTCCTACACTGCTTACTAAGATTGAAAGAATAATATTTCTTACTGATATCAAAGATTGAAAAATAATCCAATTTCTATTTCTAAATTCAATTTTTATCTTGTTTTGTATTTCTACCTTGAATTCAAGTCAAAATCTAATTTATTACATTTAAAATACAGAATATTTTATTCCATTAAGATTAAAATCAATAATATATATAGTCATTGTTTATCTGATAAGTTGCATATTGGAAAACATTGGAAAAAAACTTGATAAAACTAACATTATGTATGTATGTGGAATATGATCTATTCAGTGGATATATAGATAAGTAGATTCACAAGGTCATATGAGTCATTGGTTTATTGAAATTTACTAAATAAAACACAGCTTTTTATTTACAACAGGTCAATGACACTAATTACTCTGCATTAAACTCTACTTGATAAAAATGAATGTATATTAAATTTTTAAACAGGTATATGTTTACTTATGTATTTTTTTTTTAATTTATAAATGCCTAATATTTTCTTCTTTTATACCACTCACAAAGGTTTAATTTGTTTTATTTTTAAATGGTTAAACTCGATAAAAAAAGTGTGAAAATTTTCTATTTCTAGATAATCCGAACTTATGAATCTTATTAATATGTTTTGTGAGATAGATTTTTCAATCATTATAGTTTTGTAATAAAAATATGTATCTATTTATGTAGGTGTGCATAAAATGGGAATTATATTTATATCTTGACAATAAGTGTTATTAAATATTTCATTATCATCATATCCCTAGTTGTTGTTAAAAAAAAAAACTTCGTAATAAGTGAAAGACGTCGCATGTAACAATATTTTTCTTTAAGCCAGCATATAATAATATTTATTTATTAATACATTATTGTTTTCAGTGGTGATCAACATCAGACATCACTAAGCGAGTTCATAGTCCATAAAGTGAATCCTGCGCGGCACATGGAGCCGATGCGCCGTACCCTCTGCCTTTCTGACACTTGCATACTGGAAAGAGACCCACAGACATATTCAGTAAGTTTTTTATTACATTTTTAAGTGAGAGCATAGTAGTGTAGTCGCTTCATATGAAATGTGTCGTAATTTAAAATATATGACATGAATTTCGACGCAATTGAATAAGGATCAAATGTGTCTGACTATGCAAATTGGTTTTATAGTGAATCAGTACATAAAATAGTAATACTATGTGCTAATTTAGGATGTAACTTAACCCTGTACCAAATTTAATTCAAGTCTGTCCAGTAGTTTTTATGTGAAACAACAACAATCATCCATCCATGTGTCCTTCCAATTGCGAATTATTTTCGATATTAATAGTATATTACTTAATAAATTTTGAACAGAAATAAATCAGATTACTAATTATTTTTCATAAACTATTTTTTAGGTGGTGTGTCTTCGACCTTTGAGTGATGTTTTTGCTTTGGTAAGAGATCCAGAACACCCACAAAAGTTCTCTATTGAATATCTCAATGGTCAGACAAGAACTTATATGGCCGGTGAAAGGTAAAATATCAATAAATTTTACTTCAAAACTTTTCCATTTTTCACTATGTTATGCAGCTGTATACTTGGATTTGCAGGCTTAGAGGCTTGCCATCTTATTCATAAAATTTAAAACCTATTAAACTGTTTTAAATATTGATATTGCCACTGTCTTTCAAATTAAGAAATTCCCTCAAAAAAGATTAATTATTTCAACAGCTAAATAAATAGAACATCATTCATGTATATTATTACCTATGTATATATATTATATGTATCCTTTATGTATATTAGTGTTGTAACTCTTAAATCTGACATTGTATATGAAAATGAGCTCCCCGTTACCGTCTTTTTAAATACTAGTTATTTATTGTGGCTTTGGCCACGTACATTAGTATGTTATATGTGAAATTTCTTTGAAATCTGTTCAACTCTTTTCGCGTGACAGAGTAAGAAACATGTTTATAAATTTTTGCATTTATAATATTATTAGAGTAATGGCAGAATTTAACAAATGATATAGAAAATATATTAATATGTCTCTAAATTGGTCCATGTGCGTGGCCCAGGGACGCGCTGCTGGCGTCGCTGCTGGACGGCGTGCGGTCGGCCGGGCAGCGAGACGTGCACGTGCGGTCGTCGCCCACGCCGCGCGGCTACCGGCTTGGCCCGCTGCACCAGGCCGTCGACGAGGAGACCGAGTCCAACCACTTGCGGTACATATTGACCATATTTTTAATTGAAAAATTATATTCTCTAATAGAGGTTTTTTTATGCAACTTAGAATGGCAAACAAGCTGACGGCCCACCTGATGTAAAGTGGTAACCGTCGCTTATAGACAAGAGTAGTACCATGGACATAATAAAGTATACTGTTTCGCCTATGATACCTCCAATGATTTGCGATTCCTGAGGACTCTGGTGTTATTACTCTGTACTCTGTAAATTCACTGCCATATGCCACCCTTCAAATCGAAACACAGCCATGCAAACACAACTGCTTCACGGTTGAAACAAGAACAATAACAGGTGGAACAAGACTTAAATTGGACGTGGGCAAGATATATATTGCGCGAGGCATTTTGTGATGTAGAAAGATAAAAAAAATTTGAAGTGTAAAATACAAACAATACAAATAAGGATCAGAAATCCATGTGGCCCCTCCGACCTCGAAGCCATGGTCAGTAGCCGACATGCTCACGTATATTACGTCGCTTGTGTGTTGAATTTTTTTTTTAAGTAAACCCCCGTCATTAAATATTCTTCTACTGATGAATCTATGTTTCGGCATACCACAAACTTCATGATAAATATTAATAGTGGTTACGGTAACGCCGTTTACCGGGCGACGGAGGGGGGGGGGGATTGTTAATAATAAGGATTAACAACCCCATTGCTAGCAATAAACTCTTATCAGGTCGACCTTTTCGCGTTTCCCCCTGGAAACTATCGTGATTAATTTATTGTTAAATTCCCTCACGATGGGCTACCTGACCTGCTTCACCCTCATTTATCACCCCGCCAGTGTATACTAATAACGCAGGTGGCATTACCATTCCATTATTATCCAGAAAAAACCCCGTTTACCATCAGACAGGCCGTATGCTTGTTTGCTAGCATAGTAGTGTAAAAAAATAACGTCGCCCACAGGTTATTCCAGAATCCTGTAGGCATGTGTCGTGCAGAAGTGATCGAGCGATTTAACGCTAACGTGGGATACAGCGGCCTGATCTACTCCGTCAGCCAGGATGTAAGACTTCAATATTGGACTATAGTAGACTTAACTGCTGGCACATTTTGCTTGTTATTTAATTTAATTTTATCTAACATTACTTACATGTTTAGCATCATGGCCGTTTTATTATCGATAATTGCTAGTCATTATATCTCTAGTATACTTATATTATTTAAAAATAGTAGAAATATCCTAGAATTCTATATAATTTTTATAATAATGAAATATTAATTATTATTTGATAATGAATGATGTAATTGTAGGATATTTTGATTTTATTTAGAAAAAAAAAGCTAGTCTTAGAAAGCGTCTCCTTAATATATAATATATTAAAAATTAAAGTTTGCATATTACACCTAATTTATATAAATTACTGAACCCATTTAAAATTTTAATCCACCTTTGATTATTTTTTATATATTAGAAAAATTTTTGATCCCTACTGTTAATTTGTTTTTTTTTTTTTAATTTTATTATGAAGATACATTACGCATAAGGCGTTACAAGTCCATGCGTATGATGCTTGTTGTAATGTCTTTTAATTATCATGAATATTAAATCTGTTGTAGATCTGCTTTTACTCGCTTCTTTATTGGCACCAGTATTTTTATTTTATGTTGCTCCTTCGGACATATTGACGTTGTGTTGTCTGCCTCATAGGCCGCGCCCCTGTTATGGCTGTTTCTTACGTGGGATCTTGTAAGTCCCCATTATTTTTTTTTTTTAATGTCACTGGTCCATTGGAATATGTGTACGCTTGATTTGGATCCAAGTACTGCCAGAACAATCTGAAGGTGTATTAAGTTGTAAACGTAATTACTTTGCCTTATTTGCGTATATGAGCGAGTGTAAAAGAGTTTGAATATTTGTATATTAGTTATTTATTTATTAGTAGTTATTGAAAATTTAAATCGTCATCGACAATATTGCATATTTTTCTTTTACACTAATATAGTTTTTACTATATATAGTAAAATTATAATAGTTTTTATTATATATAGTAAAAACTATTATAATTTAGTACTAAGATGTGGCAATTAATTTTGTTTATATTTTAATACACCTATATTGGAATTGGAATTTGAACAGATTCATGTAGGCAATGTTTTAGAAGTAATTTCTTTGAAATGTTGTAGTTGTATGTAATACTTAAAAAACAGGTTCGTTTACGGGATAGAAAAGATTCATTAGAAATAAGGGAATACCGAATACAATACGGAATAGAAAGCATTAAATACTTGTATATATTTGTTTTGATATATATACAGTTATCAGCTTTATTTTTATTGATTATGAAATGCTTTAGGTATGGATTTTCAAGTAAAGATACTTTGTAAATAATACTATTATGATTATTCATATATACTTAAATGGAACTACCACGGTGAACACAGGGGTCTACCATGTGTAAATCTGAAGTTTCTGACGAAATTTTTGTACGAACGAAACAGGTTTATATAGAAATCGGGCGCGTAAACGGACAATGACATTCCGTGCATCATGAATTTTATCAGAAATGTCCGATCAACGGGAATGATATAAAAAATTTGTAACAGAATTTCTTTCGTGAATTTGAAATCCAAATTTAAATTTCGTTACGAACTTTTAGATAAACTTTCATGGTAAGGAGGCAGTTTATTTTTATGTATATATTCATGGTAATTTGCTTACTATACGCTCACGATGCATAGTCATATAGCACCTTTTGTAATTAGTTCTATAAGTCCCTGTCACGAAAAATTATTATTTATATGAATGCACGCACATATCCATTTCTCTTTTACATGTTTATAAAGTTATGCCTTTTATTTAATAAAAAAAATCTTAAAGGAACAAACGGCCGTGTGGCCCTGACATAAAATAGGCCACCCCTTCCTTTCCTATGAGTTTCGTAAGAGGCGACTAAGGGAGGACGAGGGATGGGTAACAGCGTCCGTCTTAGATATCTCTAAAGCCTGACTGCGGTTGCCAATCCGCTCGCCAAGCATGGCAACTACTGGCAAAACCCCCTAAGGGGGAGGCTTTCGTTCAGCAGTGGACAGTCAAACAGACAAAGTCTAAAAAAAAGTAACAAACTTTATAAGTATTTAAAATGTAATACATAGAACCATATTATAATATCAAATATCAGAATAGTTATCTGATTAATCTAAGCTGTATATATTAATTTACATTCTCATACATAAGTTACTCATAAACTTTCCTATGCTCCATAATTAGTTGTTTATTTTTGTATATATTTACTAGATAGTCTCACACGTACACAATGGGTCTCAAAAAAAGTTCGAAATTTTGATAAAACTTATTAAAATAAAACAAATTATGATGTACATTTACTATAATAACTAATTAAAGTTATTACTTGATTCGAAGTGTGAAATGCGTGAGTTTCACAAGTCATTACATATGCCAGCCTTCTGCTTAATTGCACGAGTTTTAAATCCGTTCGGGGTCAGCGGTCCCGATGCTAGCATGCTATCTAACTAGATGCCTCATTTATATAATGAAATAAAATAATAATTACAAATCATTATACGCGAAATCATTATAAGAGAAATCGATAAACCGATTAATTAGAGAAGAACAAAAATCAATAAAGTAAATCTATAATCCTTTTATATAAAATCGTATATTGTAAAAGGCGACTAAGAAAACTTAATGGTAGCAGCTTCTCTCGTAAAATATCGTCAAAGTCTTAAGTGCGGTTGCCAACCTGTCTGCCAAGTGTGGTACTTACTATCAGAACTCTGCCTTATGAGGGAGGCATTCAGCAGTGGACAGCTAACGACTGATATGATAATAATAATGACGTAATTTTAGTGACACGTGACAGGGACTTCATACTATATACACCTGATTCCTCAGGAATGGCAACGCATGGGGGGTATCATGGGCGAAACAGTATACACTGTTATGTCCATGGTACTGCTCATGTCTATAGGCGACGGTTACCACTTTCCATCAGGTGGGCCGTCAGCTTGTTTGCCATTCTAAGTTGTATAAAAAAATACATTATGATTTTATCATCATTTCATTTCTATGTCATTGGCATCCTTAGTGTGTTATAATTTGTACATATTTATTACTTGCATTTATACCATTGGGTTTACACACTAGCACCTATATTGCTAAATAAATATCTTATTGAATGAATAGAATATGTAGTAATGACATAGTGTAAAGAGAAACAATAACACGACCATTCGGGATGCATTGCTCTAACACTTACTACGTTGGACTACTGAGTGGGAATGAATTGTTTAAACTGTGGTACTGATAATGTAGTAGTATACTAGTAACAGTGGTAATAGTAAGCATAGACTAAACAAAGCAATTGTCACGCTCTCTTTTAAGCGCTCTTTTATTTTTTTACAGTACATTCAATACTTAATTTATAGAATTTGTATTTATTATCATGATTGAAAATTTAAAATAATATACTATAATATATTATTATTTTAAATTTATTATACTATAATATACCTACGGCACTTCATAATGGATGTATTGGGTGTGGATAATTTAATAATAAAGAGACATGTAATTGTCTTCATTGATGTAATATAAAAAACTAGATAAACAATCACTAAGAAAATATATAGATATAAGCATCGGATTATATATGTAATGTAATGTGTCTGTATAATAAGCGAAAATTTAGTGCTTTCTTGAAAGTGAACAATTTTTCCCAAACATGATGATGATGATGATGATGATATCAACCGTTATTAGCCTAAACATCATACTTGGATTGAAACATGAAAATACTATTTAACTTCCACACTAACTTTTGCGGTTCGTTTTGTTTTAATATGAAAATTTCGTCATTTTCATTCACTTCACGCAATGTCCGGTCTTTACTGTCTAACATTACCCGGTTATAGCAATATAATCTACAAGATGGACTTCCACGCGCTTCTTCCAGGAAACTATCGTGATAAATTCTTGTAGATTTCGTCGCGATGAGCTAACAGATCTGTTTTCATCCTCACCCATCATCTCTCATTAGTCCCCGCTTGTGTATACCGATACCATTTCATTCTCAACCATTAAAAAAAAACATGACCTGGTTTGCCTAACTTTCGCCCCAGCCCTGATATTGTTCCCGGACTTAATAAGTAGTGTTAGTGGATTTTATTTTATTATATCCATTCCATTATACCCTATATTGTCACTAACAAATAATGTATTTAAATGTAATCCTTAATTTGATATATTTACTCGTAAACTCCAAGGTCAGGTGTATACAAACTCTTCTTTCTAACCGATCTGTCTAGTTGTTTATATTACTTCAATGATTATCTCATTTATTATTGTTTATTAAAAACATAATGCGATTCAAATAAGAATAGGAGTCTCAATGGCCTACAGATTTTAATTTTAAAAGTTACAAGTTTAAACGTCACAACATGGCGGAAAGTCGCGCCTATTCTTATTTGGATGGTGCTGCATGCGCTAGCTAGTGTTTACAGTGTTGACATTTGATCATCAGCGTTTGTTCGCGGAGAATAAAGAGAAGCTTATAACTGGTGCGCTGAGTGCGCTGGTGAACAGCGCTGCCTCGGGCGGGACGCTGCCGCCGCGCGAGCTGGAGGCGCAGTTCCATGCGCTGCGGAGGCTCTGCGCGAGTAAAGTAGGCTTCGCCGCCTTCACCGCGCTGCCCGGGTGAGCTAAGCACTGTTTGTTGTAATAAAGGCCCATCCAAGCTTGCCAGTACTGACACGTAACGATATTACTGTGATGAACTAATAACTTTTTGTTTAGATATGTGTACCAACTAAATTATTAATCATTCAATAAAATTACTCTTAATAGGCATTTAAGTGTTCGTTCGCACTTCGTCGGCTTTTAGTATGCTCATATAAGAAAAGTAGTGAAATGTAAAAATAAACCTTATTTCAATAATATTAACTCGTATTTTAATCAAATCAGTGTTTTTCTCCGAGCCACTCTGTTTCTGATGATAATAAAATCAAAAGCACAAGAATGTTTTAGGTAAACTTTGTATTTTATAACAACAGTAACAAAAGTCTGGGGCCAAAATTCTCAGGCGCTTCATTATATATGATATTCTGTCTTTTACTGGTACAGATGTACTTAAAGGGGAGGTCGGGTGATCTGTGCCCACCTCAGATTTCTATAGTGCTCATCCCAGGATCAGGAGCTTTCAGTTATGAGCGAAGATATGTCAGAGAGCATATATATGCCTTTTCTAGGGGGTCAGGTCTTCTCTGCTAAATAATCTTGAACATGCCTATGTTGGCTGGGTTCATTTTGAGATGTTGATGGAGGTGGTGCAATATGAATAGTTAGTGTAAATGTGATGGTGTGCGCAGTTTCCGCGAGTGGGTGGGCAGCGCGGTGGTGGGCGCGCTGCGTCGCGGGTCGGCGGCGTGCAGCCACGCGGCGCTGGACGCGGTGTGCGCGCTCATGCAGCCCATGCACCAGGAGCCCGACCTGCGCCAGGAGCAGCTCAACAAGGCCAGCATGCTCTCCTCCGCCGCCTTCCTCGACGGCCTGCTCACCATGTGGGCCGACCATGTGGTCAGTTCTATAATATAACAATCGTATAACACGTTACCATTTGGAATTATCTCACTTTGTTAAATCGTAACTTTCCCGCCCTTATCTATCTATTAGGTGTCAGAGAGTCAAAGTACCTGTATATTTTTTATTTATATCTATTCATTCACCATCATTTGGGATCATTTCTGTATGCATTCCTTTTCTAGCTATCTATCTATTTTTAGGTCTACATTCCCGACATTACACCTATATGTACTTACCCAAACACGAGGGAAAGTCATTGCATCTGGAAGATAGAATTAATATTCAACTGAATGTTATAAATGTGAAAAATTGTTAAGAAGATAGATAATAGTATACCTTGTTTGCAGACGTCGGGCAGCGGTGCGCTGGTGGTGGCGGCCATGCTCGACTTCCTCACGTTCGCTCTGTGCGTGCCGTACAGCGAGACCACCGACGGCAAGCAGTTCGACCAGCTGCTTGAAATGGTCGCCAATAAGGGACGGGTTCTTTTCAAGTTGTTCGAGGTTAGTTAATCCTTTATTGAAAGTTGACGTTGTATGTGTGAAATCTGTCAAACATACTTATCCATTATACTTCGCCACTTATCAAGTCTTGGGTCCGTGTTGTGGCTGACATTTGTCGGGTAGGCCTTCTAACACGTAGCTGAAATGTTTTAGAAGCCTTTAATTATATTGTGATGGCGCTTTTTTACTGGACGACTTTAATGTTACTGAAACAACGACTGATTTCCGCTGATGGGGTATTTGTGAGAGATGGTAGGTGAGGATGAAGTCAAACCAAATATACTTATTTTAAAGACGTGATCAGGAATTAGCCATAATCTTATCTTAAATATCTGTTGTATCTGCTTCCACTCACTGGGTGTCCCGTCACTCGTATCAAAACCGACAACGGGGAGTTCGAGCTTAAAGATACTACGATGATTTGCAAGGGGACTGCGTGGAGGGCGACTTGACAGCGTATATTGCTAATGATAGAGTCGTCTCGCCGGCTCTCGTCAGTGTCGTATCGTAATGCGGTGTATGGTGTGTGTTGTGCGGGTTGCAGCACCCGTCGATGGCGATAGTGAAGGGCGCGGGGCTGGTGATGCGCGCGCTGGTGGAGGAGGGCGGCGGCGCGGTGGGCGCGCGCATGCAGGCGCTGGCGCTGGCCGAGGCCGCGCTGCCGCGCCACCTGCTGGCCGCGCTGTTCGCGCCCGCGCGCCTGCACCACCGCCACCTCGCGCGCCACCTCGTCGCGCTCTGGCTCGTCGGCCACGCGCCCGCGCACGACCTGCTGCGCCGCATCATGGTACGGTATACCGCCGCCTGCCGCCTGTCACCTGCCGCCTGTTGGCCGCGCTGTTCGAGCCCGCCAGCCTGCACCAGTATACACTGCGTTGAACCTACGAATACTCTAGCATGTCGAGATGCTAAGCGACAACAGCAAGTGCCCTAACGCCTAACCATCAAACTAGACCTATACTTTTGTAATATCAGTTCTTTTGAGTTTATTTACTTTAATATCGTATTTATCGGAATACCTCTTTAAAACAAAAAGATTTATTTCCACCATTTTTTTAGGAACACTTTGATGTTCGATGTTTAATCAGCTATAAAGTGTCCAAAACGATTCACAACGTGACAACATAAATTTTCGTCAAACCCTAAAATAGCAGATAACATTCCGAACCGATACGACATCGTAATCTTAAAAAAAATACAATTCCTTTTAAAAGACCGGCAGACATTCGCAATGCCTCTGGTGCTGTGGGTGTTCATAGACGGTGGTAGTCACTTACCATCAGGAGATCCGTAGAGAGAGAGAGGAGCCATCGTACAGCTCGCCATCGACAGGGAGTTCATCCTCATATCCTACAGCCTCAATGGTCGCGTACAGCGCGGTTTCAGAGATGTTTCCTTCCACGAACACTCAGGTTGTGGAATGAGCTCCCTGCCGAGGTTTTCCCAAGAGCTTACATGGGGTTCTTCAAAAGGGGGGTAAAGAGGTTTCTTCAGGGTCGGCAACTCCCGCATAATACCTCTGGTATTGCAGGTGTTCATAGGCTACGGTAACCACTTACCATCAGGCGGGCCGTATGCTTGTTTGTCACCTCAGTAGTATAAAAAAATATGTGCGTACAGCCGTCGGGGCTGCTGGCGTTCCTGGAGTCGGCGGAGGCGCCGCCGGCGGGCGCGCTGGCGGAGGAGCGCGAGCAGCAGCGCGACAACCTGCAGCTGGCGCAGGCCGCCGGCCGCCAGCGCGCGCCGCACTGGCAGGCGCTCGAGCGCCAGGTCAAGTACGTCGAGAAGCACCTCGAGGTGAGCGCCATCCATCAAGTGCGCACAATACTTCAATTAGTTCAGCATCATCGTCATTATATCAGCCCTTAACCGTCCACTGCTGATCATAAGCCTCCCCTAAGGGGGCTTTTGCCAGAAGTTGTCACGTTTGGCAGATGGATTGCCAACCGCAGTCAGGCTGTAGAGATGTTTTAAGAGGAAAAAGTTTGTACGGCGCCACTAGCGCGAACTGCCAGTCTGTTCTGATCAAAAAACAAACAAACAAAAAGCTGAATAGTGGATGCTGTACTGGATTGGAAAGTAATTCACTTTTAGCATTGGAATCCAGTAATGCAGGATCCAGTTACAGTATCAATATAAATCAATAATCAGTATGACATTTATGTCATATAATAACAGTAGCCGTTCTCGAGTTTAGAATCAGTAACTGACCCATCTTATATGCACTTCACAGCACTACGCAGCACTAGCGCTACAGCACTGGGCGCAGCGGATGGGCAGCGCGGCGGGTGGCACGGGGGGCGCGGCGGGGGCGGGCGGGGCGCGGGAAGTCCGCGACCGGCCCGTAGTGCTCCGCCGCCGCCGCGAGAGGCTCAAGTCCACCGCCAACTGGCCGTTATTTTACTATCAGTTCCACCGCGACCACGCCTTGCCTAACCTCATATGGAATCATACCGTGAGTTCCCTTGCTTCGTTTGTTTTAATAAATAATAAAATGTATAGTACTCATTCTAAATATAAAACTGTATAATCTATGTTTCGCTTATCTCTAATTTAAATTATATTTCATTAAAAGTCTAGCATTAAACTGGTAAAGTCATCTGTATGTTAGGCTATTATCTAATTTTTTTTATACGACTTAGAATGGCAAACAAGCTGACGGCCCACCTGATGGAAAGTGGTAACCGTTGCTTATAGACAACGGATAACAGAGTGTACTGTTTCGCCCATCATACCCCCCCCCCATACAATGCCATTCCTGAGGAATCGGATGATATTTCTCTGTACCCTGTAAATTCACTGCCATATCCCACCCTTCAAATTGAAACAACCATGCAAACAACTACATCACGTTTGAAACACGAATGGGACAGAGGTACCCAACCAAACTTTTGTACAAAGTCTCCCTTTAGTAAATATATCTGGTATAATATTCATACAATATAACTATAAGTAATCTGTAACTATCTATTGACCTGTGGTAGACACGTGAGGAGCTACGCAATGCACTCGAGAACGAGGTGCGCGCATTCACTTTGGATCGAGAGGCGGCCGGCTCCACGCTCACGTCGTGGAACCACGCCGAGCTGGAGCTGCACTACCAGTGCCTCCAGAACGAGGTCAAGATCGGCGATTACTACTTGAGGATACTGCTCGAGCAGCGGGACAACGACGACAGCCCTATTAGGAAGTCGTGAGTTCATGTTTATTTTTTCTTAAGGGATTGTGTTTATTTATCTCAGCTTTACTCACGTTTTAAATCCTAGGATGTCTGACTAGTTTAGACCTTAATAGGATAGATAAATAGTCTATGGTAATCCCAAAGGTATCAGCATCCTTGTAGGTAATTAATTAAGGTTGATAGGTGAGCATAAAGCCAGGTTAGTTAGCACATATTTTAAATACATTATCAGGACTTAACGCGACGACAATTACAGGTAAATAGTACCTAAATACCTAATTTTTATTGCAGATCTGTTAATTTGTTATGATGAATTCACCAAGAATTAAAAGTGACGGTTTATATGGGGTAGCTCGTAGAGTTCGACTCGACTAAGTTTATTGACAGGCATTAGCCTACTTTTCCCCTTTCCCCCGGCCCTTTCAGTATAATTATGTTTATTTTTTTTAATGGATGATAATGGAATAGTAACTCGCCTGCGCTAATGGTATACACTGGCGGGGCACTAGTGAGGAATGATAGGTGAGGATGAAGACAGGTCAGTTGGCCCATAGTGATGAATTCATAAAACAATCAAGATGGTTTCCAGGGGGAACCACGTAAAGGTCGACCTGATAAGGTATGTTGTTAGCAATGGGGCCTCTAGTCCTATTACTAACAATACCTTTCCCCCCAGTATATAGAATGGCAAACAAACTGACGGCCCTCCTGATGGAAAGTGGTAACCGTCGCCTATAGAGATGAGCAGTACCATGGACATAATGGTACGAATGGGACAGAGGTACCCAAGCAATCGACTTTTGTACAAAATCTCCCTCTGGTAAAATATATGCACATCTCTAATTGGATGTTAGATCTGTAGTAGAGATGAAAATTTATGTTTTTTTTTATATACAACCTTAGAATGGCAAACAAGCTGACAGCCTTCCTGTTAGAAAGTGGGAACCGTCGCCTATAGACATGAGAAGTACCATGGACATAACAGAGTATACTGTTTCGCCCATGATATTCCCCATGCGTCATCGTTCCTGAGGACTCAGGTGTTATTCCTCTGTACCCTGTAAATTCACTCCCATATCTCACCCTTCAAACCGAAACACAGCCATGCAAATACAACTGCTTTACAGTTGAAATACGAATGGAACAGAGGTACCCAAGCAAACGACTTTTGTACAAAGTCTCCCTCTGTTATTTTCTTGTTCAAGGGATCAAAACTAATTCGATATTGTTTAGCACCTTCAGTTTTTTGTTAGCTACTCTTAGTCACTTGATCAGATTGTAACATAAAACCTTCTTCTGTAGTTTGCTAAAATATAGATGATTGTTGCAGATACGAGTTCTTCAATGACTTATATCATCGGTTCTTGTCCACACCCAAAGTGGAGATGAAGTGCATGTGTCTACAGGCCATGACTATTGTCTATGGGCGGTACTATGAAGATATTGGACCATTTGCCGATACCAAATACATTGTACAAATGTTAGATAGGGTAACATATCAATGTTTTTTGAGCCTTCAACACCAGAGACAATAGTACAGTGACACATTGCCAGTATTATAAAAAAGATAAGAAATGTGATCTTGGTCCTAGTCATATTGTATAAAGAAGCATATATAGATTATTTATTAAAAAAAAAACATAGGATCTTGTGTTCTGTTACAAAATAATGGTACAAATGATATGATGGTAATTTTATAATTGAACATTTGCATCATAAATCAAACATCGTGAAACATTAATATCACTTTAATTGATGTTGCTTCAGGTGATGGCATTTGGACATTATTAAATAGATTTGTTAACTTTCAAGGCATGTACGAAATACAAAACACAAAGGGAAGTATTGATACAGAAATATAGTCTCAATAGATAGGAGATTGGATTATTTTCAAATATACTCGCAGAACCACATTCCGGAATGGCAAAATCTTTAATTACTATATTTTTGTATCAATAATTCCCTTTATGAAAATAGACCACTAAGATATTATGTATTATTTATTTATGTATCAATATTTTAAGTATGTTAGGTGTTTTACAAAATTAGGGTATGATGAGGCTGACATATCCTTATAGGATAAAGGCCTCTAAATAAAAAAGATTAAAAAAAACCTTCAAGGCATTGTTTTTTATATATATTATATATATATATATTTTTTTATAGTTTTTTTTACTGTTTATGTAATGATTTACATGGCAATATAGAAATGAAATTATAGCCAGCAGCAAAATACTTTCATTATTGAGTTCCAACTTTTCGCCGTTAGATACTATACCATTACTGGGCCAAATGTGAAACATCTTTACATTTCAGATTTTGCACCATTATTTACCCCCTCTTAATGGTAAACTGCTCTAAAGTATGGCCCTTTTCTAATTCTTTCTAATTCCTTCTGGCTGTCGATGGAGGAGGCCTGTGTTCAGCAGTGGACATATAACAGCTGATATGATGATAAAATAATAATGATTGTTTCGTCCCCAGTAAAGCTACGTGTATATGTTGTCTCTGGTATTGAATGTTTTAAATTTAGTTTGGCATAATAAATGCGCATCTTAATCGAAGCTTTTTATTGTTACAGACATGTGATAGAATGGAGAGAGATAGATTTGTACAGTTCCTAGCTAAACTAATTTTACATAGAAGAAATGTTAGTGAGATATTAGAATGGAATGGTATTAGGTGAGTATACGTCTTTTTTTTATCAATCTATTGTTACATGCAAATTCTCGCACACTGTCCCATCCATGTCCACCGTAACACTTAGTTACACACGAAGTGAACTTGTTATGCAGTTTGATACAGAATAGGTTAACTTGGTAACAACCTTCGCAAAGAATGATTTAATGTACTTTTGTTCATGAAGTATCGTTTTTTTTTCGTCCAAATTTTCTCAATTTCCACACTCACTATCTCGCAATTGTTTTAGCCAAAATTCCGCATTATTGCTCTTCTTCTGACTGAATGTTTAAATGTAATGTTATCTTGACCGCTCATATTGAGAATGAAATCAATGCTTCTTTAAATAAGAAAAAGGCTAAGATGTAGCGTAACGGAAATTAGTTAAAAAAAATATTCTAATAACGCTCGCAATATTTTTCCGATGCAGACTGCATATTCAAATCCTATAATTCTTTATAATTACGCCAATTGGAGTCTTGGTTCAGCAAAATAAGCGTGATGGCCGTGCAGGATATTGGTGGAGCTGATGACGCTGGCCCATCTGCACACCTCCCGGGCCACTGTGCCCGCGCAGAGCAACGTCATCGACGGCCCCACCGCCAGCGGCGGCGACCGCGAGTGGTACTACAACCTCGAGCGGGGGGACAAGCTGCAGCGCGTTGGACCTGTTTCCTTTCAGCAGGTAACGACGCTATTATAGCCTTTTAGATATAAAGCCATAGAGTGTATTCATAGAAATACTTCGAGAAAATCGGGTCAACTTTTTCATACAATTTTGCGTGATAAATATGTAGTTACGTGTGATTCCTTTGTATATTATAACCTTTATGTTTATTTTGTCTTATAATTTCTGCTTCTTTTTAATGCGTAAACACTCCGTTTGTTTATTAAATAATTTTTATGCGTAATCAAAAAGAACACTGATAAAAAAAGAGCTAATTTGACAATTGGTTGACAAAAGTTGACCAGTTTTTAAAGCTTGATGCTGTATCTATATAATTTAAGATTAAAGTCTTATTCAGGATATTTTACGCTAAGCGCGAAAAAGAGAGTCCAATTTCCTTTTTTTTTTTGATGGGTGAAAATCGCATCCGCCGTCGCTAACGAGATACGCTGGCAGAGCACCAGAGCCTATCATGATGAATTCATCAGGAATTAATCATGATAGTTTCCAGGGGGAACCGCGAGGAGGTCGACCTGGTTGGGTATATTGCTAGCAATAGGATTCTGTTTCCATCACTAACAATCGATTTGTTGGATTCTTAGGCTTTAATCTTAAATTATATAGATATAGCATCAAGCTTTAAAACTTGGTCAACTTTTTGTGAACCAATTGTCAAATTAGCTGACTCTTTTTTTTAGATAAGTTCGCCTTGTTGCCTTGCCTTGTATATATATATATATATATATATATATATATATATATATATATTCTTTATTGCACAAAAACATACAGTAACAACAATAAGTTACTAATAACAAGGCGAACTTATCTCTAAAAGAGATCTCTTCCAGTCAACCTAACACAGTGGCATAGGAAGTAGTGAGTTACATAACGAGGATATGTTACTGTATTGCAGCTCAAAGAACTTTACAAGTCTGGAGAGATAAACAACAAGACGAAATGCTGGGCCAATAGCATGGAGGGCTGGCGGGCGCTGGCGAGCGTGCCGCAGCTGAAGTGGAGCCTGGCGGCGCGCGGGCCCGCCGTGCTGGACGAGAGCGCGCTCGCCGCCACCGTGCTCGACCTGCTCATCGCCTGCGCCAGATACTACCCCAGCAGGTGCCTGCGGACCGCCACTCCCGGCGCCGGCTATATACTATACGATACTATCAGCTCCGCTGCCACCTGCTCGTCCTTGGACACCATCGTGCTGAGTTCCAGAGGGGCTACCATGAAATATTTTCCGAAATTTCCGGCACGAACGAAACAAATTTGATGTTACAATTACATAATACATGCCGTTTAAAGTTATTAAAAATGTTAAAGTATCATTCCTCTGGACTATTAGGATAGGATTTATGATGAACGAAATGTTAAGCTCCATTTACTGGATAGATATCGATACGAACAAAAACACGAAATTGAGCCCGAAAATTCGGAATTTCATTTCATGGTAGACCACCAGGTGTATTCTTTGCGGTGGTGGCAGGTAACTGCCCATCCTCACCTATCATCTCTCAGTGGTGCTCCCCGTCAGCGTATACCGGTAGCGCAGGCGGGGTTGCCATTCCATTATCATCCATTGAAAGTATTGTCATCATGTGATATTTCGTCAGTATTTGATATTTATTCTCGGGAGGATATATATAGGGATATAAATGTGTATTGTTATAGAAAAGCTGCATTAAAAAAACTAATGTTTACAAGATCCAGTTATTTCTTTTCAACTGTCGCTTTTGTAAATCAAAGAAAACTAGCTCGAATCTGATTGTTTTTAAATATTGCCTCTAGAATGTTAGAAATTCTGGTTGTATTATTATTTAGTGTTAATTATATTAATCATTGGGGTTGATTATGAGGTGCCATTTCTCTAAATTAATCTCTAAAATTTCAATTCAGCGAAATATTTTCGCTAAGGACTAGTATGAAATACTTTTTTAATAAATTTAAGTTAATATTATTATAAATTTAGTTTATGATGGTCCATAAAATACTAATTTCACCAAATTATTAATTTAAAATATTAGGTTTAAAGAAATGGCGCTTTAGAATCGACTTTACTGTTTCGACGTTTATTATTCAAAAGTATGATTACATAAACCGTTTAATTACATTAAAACTCATTAATATTTTTTTTGTAGAGATGAAGAGGATGCAGTGATAAGACCTTTGCCAAAAATCAAACGGATGCTCTCCGAACCTGCATGTTTAGCGCACGTCGTGCAGTTGTTGCTTACCTTCGATCCCATACTTGTTGAAAAGGTAAGCAATTTTTTATTTTGCTAATAACAATAACCATATATTTCAATATATATAATATTTTTGATTTATTAATAATCAGAATTGATAATTATCACTTTTAATAAATTTTAGGACTGTCTATCTATGGCAATACTTAACGTCCTGATGTTTTTTAAATGTTTGATTTTTTTTATAGGTGGCAACATTGTTGTATGAGGTGATGCAAGACAATCCAGAAATTTCGAAACTGTATTTGACTGGTGTATTTTACTTTATGCTCTTATACACCGGCTCGAACTTGCTGCCTATCGCGAGGTTCCTGCGGCTGACGCATATGAAACAGGCGTTTAGAGCTGATCAAGTTAGTATGTTAATTTTACCTCTCGATGTCGATCAGTGGTCGTCTGATTTCATTTCCCCGCTTTGGACCTTTGCCCAGCTTGTACCCTAAATCAAGTCCTGATGGCGATATTATTAATAAAAACGTTCAACAATATCCTTTTAATATAATTTTAAATTTTATAAAGTTGTTTGAATGTTTCTTGTTTAAACTGGTGAACTGATGGTGTACTTTTGTTCTATATTATTTTTATTCGAATTAAAGCGGTCGAATGCTTATATAAATTAGTAAATAATAACAGTTTTAATTTATTAGCGATAAAATAAAATAATATATAAATCTGAACACTCATACTCCTCATTTGACACAATGTTTCAATAAATTTAATGTAAAGCTACATTAAAACTTTTCCTTTCAGTCGAGTTCAGACATAATGCAGAGGTCAATACTGGGACAGTTGTTGCCGGAAGCGATGGTGTGTTACTTGGAAAACCACGGCGCGGAGAAGTTTGCGCAAATATTCCTCGGCGAATGGGACACGCCTGAGGCCATATGGAACTCTGAGATGAGGTTAGTTATAGTGGTCGTAATGACAACATTCATTTAAATGCAGAGAATATCGTAATATGAACGTATTTGTGATCTCAAATTTATTGAAAAAAAAAAAAAAACTGTGAAGCGGATCAATTAGGAATATTATAAAGTACATGCGAAAATGTTTATGTATACATTGACTTAGTGCTGATTGGTCATTCGAGGTCATATTTAAGGCATGAACAGGGTACCCCAAGTCAGCTTGATAGAGAGGCTGGTTAGTTATACCGTATGGAGTAGTGCTACCACTATACAATACTTAGAACTATACGTAAGGAATTAACTAGTTGATAAAATAAAGGGTTTTGATGCAAGATTATCAAATAATCCGCAATGATCTTCCACGCACTGTGTCTGAGAGTAGCTGTATGTAGTAAAGTCGATGTACTTCGCGGATTATCGGCGACTGAAAATCGGCCTGATGAGGCGCTACCCTAAGACACCAAGGCCTTTAGCGTTTCCCATCTCGTATACGATTGTTAGGTTTCGAGATACAGACAGTGATGTACTGTAATTATGCGCAGGCGGATCCTAATAATGAAGGTGGCGGCGCACATCGGCGAGTTCACGCCGCGGCTGCGCGCGCACATCGCGGCGCGCTACCCGTACCTGGCCGTGCCGGCCGTGTGCTACCCGCAGCTGCAGCACGAGCTCTTCTGCAACATGTTCTACCTGCGCCACCTCTGCGACACGCAGCGTTTCCCCGACTGGCCCATACCTGATCCCGTGAGTCGTCTTTTGTATGCCATTAGTTAGTTTATTGATTGTTCATAGTATATTCTCGCGTTTTGTTATTAGAGGAAATTGTTAATAACTTTTACCTTATTGAGAAAATGGTTATTTAAGGAACTAAATAAAAGTCTCTTACAATGTGTTTTTCTCTCATCTCAAAAACAATCTCAAAACTCTATATAACTGAAAAACTGTTTGATTGAAAGTTAACTTTTTTTTCTAATTTGTGGTATTGTTTTATTGATGATGGTTGTACTCAAAACAAACCATATGACTTACCAGGTGCGTCTACTGAAAGACGTGCTGGAGGCGTGGCGGCGCGAGGTGGAGAAGAAGCCGCCGTCGATGACCGCGAGCGAGGCGTACGCGGCGCTGGGGCTGGAGGGCGCGGGCCAGCACGACGAGGCCGCCGTCCGCAAGGCCTACTATCGCCTTGCGCAGCAGTACCATCCCGACAAGAACCCCGATGGTCGGGTTAGTACGCTCAAACGGCTCGAAAGATCAAATTGTTCACTCTCGGATTGGTTATTTTTTTAGAATGACAAACAAGCTTATGTATTTTACTTATGTGAAGTGGTTTTTTTTAAATGGGTGATAATGGAATGGTAACTAAATCCATTGCTAACGGTATACATCGGCGGGCCACCAGTGAAGGATGATAGGTGACGATGAAGCATTTTAGTTAGCCGATCGTGACGAATTCAAAAAAAATGTTCACGATAGTTTCCAGGGGTAACAAGTGGAGGTTGACCTAATAGGGCACATTGCTAGCAATGGGACTGTCAAACTCCATAACTTGTGTATTTGCCTTACCTTATGCTAGTGCAGTATTATCTGTTTTTTTTTATTTTTTTTTATGTAAAATTACTGTTGTCGCCTAGATATTAAAAGCATGATAGACTTTGGACATCACCAAATATATTATTACTAAAAATCAAAGTTATACATGCTTCCATATTTTTCATTTATTGTAGATATAAATTCCATTGTAATTTATATCTACAATATCCCACCTTTTATTCAAGAAACAATAATTGAATCCACTTTGAAGCGCCATTCTCTAAGGTCTCAAAAAATATAGTAAATAATAGGTAATACAATATCATGATTGGAGCTAAAAAGTGTCTGTTGGAACTTTGTAATAAAAGAAAAGTTTGACGCTCTAATGCCATAACTTATTTTAACTAACTGATTGAAATTAATTATTACTGGGGTCCTATTTTACTTTTTAATATATTTTGTCTCATTAATATTTTAAAAGATGATCGTATTGTTGGCAGGACCGTTTCGAAGCAGTGAATCAAGCTTACGAATTCCTTTGTAGCAGAAACGTGTGGACCGGTGACGGGCCGAACACCAACAACATTGTGTTGATATTACGCACACAGACTATATTGTTTAAGAGATATTCAGACGGTTAGTATTTTTGTCATTTTATTTATTTTTGTTTTGTATGAAAGTTAGTATAGTTCGTATTGCCCATCATCCAAAGACTGAGAACTGAATGGAATAGCCACGTTCAGTGTATCTTCGGTTGCTTGAATACCTAACAGTACGTGCAGTTCGTAGTGTGGCACGTTGCACTAAAAAGAACGTGCGGCTTTGACAATCTTTTGCTGAATTTCTGCCAGCAGAAGATCGTCAAAGATCGACTATTGAGCAGAGAACGGGCGTGAGTGGTTTGCGCGGTTACGTCGACGTAATAACCGATCTTTCTTGTAGTGTGACCGAAAGTAGCAAATTGTATACTATTTGATCTGTTGGCGTTCTGTTATGGATCATTGGAGATCGAAGATCGGCATAATACGTATCCTATCTTTTTGGCTTAACAATTCCCCCTCTTTTTTTGGTGTTTTTTCTTCAATGAATGATAATGGAATGATAACCCTGCCTGCGCTAACGGTATACGCGGGCGGGGCACCAGTGAGGGATGATAGGTGAGAATGAAAAGGCAGGTCAGTTAGTCCACCGTGATGAATACACCTGGAATTTAGCACAATAGTTTCCAGGGTGCACCACGTCGAGGTCGACCTGATAGTGTATGTTGCTAGCTATGGACTGGTAGTCCGCATTACTAAAAATCCTTTTCCCACCTTTTTTTTCAGTGCTGGCGCCGTATAAGTACGCAGGGTACCCGATGCTGTTACGCACGGCGCGACTGGAAGCGGGGGCGGATTCTCTGTTCTCGGGCGGCGCGGGGGCGGGTGCGGGTGCGGGGGCGGGGGCGGGCGCGGGCGCGGCGCTGCTGCCGGCCGCCTGCGAGCTGGCGCACGCTACTGTCGCTTGTTCCGCGCTCAATGCTGAGGAGTTGCGTCGCGAGGGAGGCTTGCAGGTACACTATTTACCTCTTGATTTTTATAATTAAACTTTATTTGAAATAAAAAAAAATTGGTTATGGGGACATGGGGAAAATATTGCAAAGTACACATGCGGATTTAATATTAACTATTATTTTAGTGAAAGCTTCTGTTGTATATTGCTGCTATTCATAGGATATGGTGATAGCTTTCCATTTGAAGAGCCGCATAAATCTTTACCGCCTCTTTTGTGACACGGATTTTTAGATATTAAGAGACACTTTTTTTTATCATTTCATTTATTTAACTGCGGTGATTTTGCGACAGGTGCTACACGAGGCGATGTCGCGGTGCGTGCCGGTGCTGTCGAGCAGCACGGCCGCGGACGACCTCTGCGCGGCGGTGTGCGCACACGCAGCTCGCTGCTTCGCCGTCGCGGCACGGTTCGAGGCGTGCCGGGAGGTCTGCGCGGACATGCCCAACCTCTGCCTCGATATAGTGCCGCTGCTGCGGAGACCGGTATGTTTGTTCCATTTCAAGTATAACACTAGCTTCATCACGTGTCTCCTTGTATTCGATTGTGCGAAGTCAAGTGTTTATTAAACACACCTCAGGCACTTCATACAAAAATGTCACGATTTGTTAATAATGTTGATACAACTACAGAAACAATGAACTTTTATACTTGTGATAATGTGTGCGTCTGTAGTTAGATTAGTACGGGAAAATAGAGTTTGGGTGTTGATGCATATTTGTTAGGAGGTGACGCAAAGTCAATCATTAAGTTCTCATAGTTACCTCTTACGGCATCCACGGGAAAGGAAGGTGTAGTCTATTCTATGCCGGTATCATATAGGGAACTTAATGGTCCAGAAAAAGACAATAGCGTCCCTCTTAAACCATCACCAAGGCCTAATTGCGATTGCGAACTCGCATGTCAGCGTGGTAATTACTAGGAAAATTTCTCCAATAGGGGAGTTGGGGAGAAAGCGTGGGCAGCAATCCGAGGCGTATTGCCCCTCTTTGTTTGTCTCATCACCGTGCATAAAAGAATGCACGCGTCATGGGGTGGGGTTGTGAACATCGGTGGTCATCAATGGTGTTGTTCTGTTATAAATCAGGGGGAGCATCAATAGACAATTAACGGCTGATATGCTATGGTATGAGTAATTATATAAAGCCCAAGTCAGGCCGCATATGGAATACTGTTCTCACCTGTGGGCAGGAGCGCCACAGTACCGACTCCTTCCGTTAGACCGCATTCAAAGTCGGGCGGCTCGAATTATCGATAGTCAACGCCTTACTGTCCGACTTGACCCACTGAAACTGCGCAGAGATGTTGCATCTCTGTGCATCTTCTACCGAATTTATCATGGGGAGTGTTCTGAGGAATTGTTCGGATTGATACCTGCTGCTGATTTTCACCACCGTACAACCCGCCATAAACTAAAGTTTCATCCCAATTATCTGGACGAGTGGCGGTCTTCCACCGTGCGTTTTTCAAGGCACTTTCTTCCACGCACAACTATTCTTTGGAATCATCTTCCAGCAGCAGTATTTCCGAACCGATACGACAACATAACCTTCAAGAAAAGAGTATATTCCTTTTTAAAAGGCCGGCAGCACACCTGCAATGCCGCTGGTGTTGTGGGTGATCATGGGCGGCGGTAGTCACTTGCCATCAGGTGAGCCGCATGCTCGTTTGCCCCCTGCGTTGTAAAAAAAAAGTGGTACGGTAAAGTCGCAGCGGGAGGCAGGGAGTGTTCACACCGTACTTTAGTAGTACTAGTGACAGTGTTGGTCTGCGCACGCGCAGCACCTGGGCGACACGGCGTGCGCGGGCGCGGAGGCGGCGGGCGCGCTGGCGGCGGACGGCGCGTGCCGCGGCTCGCTGGCCCGCGCCGGCGCGCTGCACGCGCTGCTGCCGCCCGCGCTGCGCTACGACTACACGCTCGCCGAGTCGGGCGTCGACACCGACGCGCACGCCAACAAGCAGGTATATGTATGCACAACATGCATTATCACCCTCGCATTCACCAACCGACTGATACACTGAACAGGTACTTGAAACTTTATGGACGACATTGATTCAGTGTAAGTCTGATTTCCTTATGTTGATAAAGTGGCTGATTAAATTTTAAGAATATTTTTCAATTAGGAACAATATTAATACTTCAGAACTGGTTCATATTTTATCAGAATTACTCAAGAATTTATAGGATTTTTTTTTATACAACTTAGAATAACAAACAAGCTGACAGCCCACCTGATGGAAAGTGGTAACCGTCGCCTATAGACATGAGCAGTACCATGGACATAACAGAGTATACTGTTTCGCCCATGATACCCCCCATGCGTTGCCATTTCTGGGGACTCAGGTGTTATTCCTTTGTACCTAGTAAATTCACGCCATATCCTACCCTTCAAACCGAAACACAGCCATGGAAACACAACTGCTTCACAGTTGAAACACGAATGGGATAGAGGTACCCAAGCAATCGACTTTTGTACAAAGTCTCCCTCCCCCTTAGCTATTATTTCCATTATTAAACAGTACGAGACGAGGTTTTTATTTATTGGACAATATTTTTTTTTTAATATGATTGTCCAGTAAATTAAAACCTAGGCATTTAGATTTTTCTAGAGAGCTAAAAACAGTGGCATAATAATGTCGTGACAGAGCAAGCAAAAAGCCATAGGCCTGAAGATACAAAATGAAACTACAACATCGAACTTTCTTAAACAAAAAGTAAATAAAAGCTTGTAAAAAGAGGACTCCGTCCAATAAATTTATCATGTATCTCAGATGATGTAATCATGCCATTGCTTATGAAATACATAAAGTACTATCTGAGTAAGAATTTTTAATAATCTATATATAGTTAGTCTGTATAAGTAAAAAATAATTTCCGAATATATAACTTCAGAACTGTTACACCTATTAGGCTAATTCATGTATTTAATTTTTATTTCATGCAACGACATATGTACGACACAGGAGGTGGCCAATCAGCTGGCGAAGGAATGCGTTCGTGCGCTATCAGCGATGTATGGTCCACACCCTGAGCCCGGGCCTGCTGATGAGAGAATCCGCTCCGCACTGCACACGCTGCTCACACCGTACCTCTGCTCGAAACTCTCGCAAGAGGACACGCACGAGGTCTCTACTTAAGATTAATAAAATTAATTGTTGTACATTGATACATTTGGTATTAATAATTATCAGTATCATGGAATGAATTTGGGATAAAAGTATTTTAATTTTTTTTCTGTTATTCATGCTATTTGTAATGGCTTTATAATTGAAGGAACTTTAATAAATTATTCAGAACTGTATCCTTAACAATTTCACTAAAGCGTTTGATGCGGTCATTATTTTAATCTTGTCAAATTATTGCACCTGGATGTCCTAGTTTTATAGTTATATGTATATTTGAAAACTATATTTGTGATAAATGTAGTGTGTGATTATCAATAATATATATAAAAGTTATTACGATAGAGGTATCTCAGGGCACTGCTCTTGGGCCTGTCCTGTTCCAAATATGTATGTAAATTCATCTCTCGTAAAGTGCAATTCAATAATGCTAATGGGTATACCGATTTGATAATTTAACGGTAACAATAGCACAACTTGTTTTTCTTGATAATTTCAACAAAAAACATTTTTTTTTTTGTTGCTGACTTCTATGAAATTGAAATTTGAAGACACTAATTTAATTGAAACTGTTTCCAGCTCCTAAAAACATTGACCTCAAACTGGCGCAACCCGTACCTAGTGTGGGACAATAGTACTCGTGCAGAGCTACGCGATGTGCTACGTGACACGAGGTCACTGATGGACGATGAGGCGCCTCTCGTGGCGCCGTTCGTGTACACTGCGCACCAGGGGCTCGTCTCCGTCGGTGGTGTCTACATCGACATATATAACGAGCAGCCTGATTTCCCTATAGAGGTAAATCTTTTTGTTCTAAACAATGTAATTAAGGCCTGAATTAGGCCTTATATCCATCTTTTTATGATATATACATATGTATGTAATGGAAATTTTATATAATTAATTTTATGATATGAATTACTATTCTTCATAATCAATTTTTTCGAAATTTTGCATACATTTTTAGTTCTAATTACAATGCAATATGAATTACTCAATATTGTAATATTTTCAAAATGGCCGATATCACAAAATGGCGATTGGTGTATATTTTGTCATTTCTGTTAATATGTGATATTTTAATTGAACCTTAGGTATAAAGATCGTTAATTCGTCTTACTAAAGTGGAAACTTCCTTATAGAATGCTCAGCAGTTCATACTGGACTTGTTGAAGTTCCTACAAGTACAAACGAAGATGGACATGACGAGCGAGCGAGTTGACAACCTCACGTTAGCACTCACCGCCATCGCTAATGTCATTATAAAGCATCCAGGTATATGTCTTATATATTATATACTGTATATTTATTTATTTTAATGCCTTATTTATTCTCAATTAGATTAAAGAAGCGATTCATTCATTATGCTTATAGAATTTGATAAGATTTTATTTTTATATTTTTTTTTTTGTGTAATTTAGAATGGTGGCTGTAATAAATGTTAAGTGGTCCACCTAATGGAAAATAGTAACTGTTGCCTATAGACTTGAACAGTATCCTGGACATATATTTTATGTAGTCTTTTAGTAATTACAATCCATTATAACGGTTGTATTGATTTTGCTTGTGTATATGTTATGAGATTCAAAATTGCAAATAGTGGCGGTGGTAATAAAGTTTTTTTTTTATGTTGGTTTATTTGATAGATAGTGGTAACTATCGTTTATAGAGATGAACATGCGCTGGTAATTGTAGTGTGAATGTAGTTTGAAATTCTACACCGGTCGTTCAGGGTCGGAGATCCAGTGTATCGGGCAGTTCGGATTGATATTCGGGCTGCTGTCGGCGCGTGCGCAGCCCGCGCTGCAGGCGGCGGCGCTGCGCGCGGCGCGGGCGGCGGCGGGCAGCCGCGAGTGCGTGGAGGACGTGGCCGCGTCGGGCGTACTGGGCCACCTGCTGGCGCTGCTGGCCGCGCGCGCGCCCGGCAGCGACGTGCTCGCCGCGCTGGCCACGCTCGCCGCGCTGCTCGCCAACACCGCGCTCGTCAAGGAGGCGCTCGCCAAAGGTACTCACGCTTTTCACTTCTTACACAGCAACGTCTATACCCAAGTGTGCCAATGTCGGATTTGTTTAACAATTTAAAAAAATGTTTACCGTGAATCTAACTGCCTGATAGAAAGTGATGATAAGGTTTAAGATGGAGCTTGCAAGCCTTAAAACAACCTGTTTACTATTAAACAATTATCAATATTAATTTTGCGTGTTCTACCACTTGCAACGAGTATACTCAGAGGAATTATTTATCATTATGCCCACGGTTACTTTCTACAATCGTACAGCTCACCATCGACAGGGAGTTCACCCTCATACCTTAGAGCCTAGATGATTGCGTGGATCATGGTTTAAGAGATGTTTCCTCCTTTGAACCTTCAGATTATGAAATGAACTTTCCGTGGAAGTTTTTCCAAGAGACTACAGCATAGGGTTATTAAAAAATGGGGTAAAGAGGTTTCTTCAAAGTCAGCAACCCACACATAATACCCATGGTATTTGCAGGCGTTCATAAGCTATGGTAATTGCTTATAATCAGATAGGCTATAGCTTCTTTACCACTTCAGTAAATTTCTCTGTGGGGTCTGTGTATTATTATTGGTCATATTGTCTTCAGAGCCGTTGATATTGATTTCAGGACTGTTAGTATAATTGACTGAAAATATAGTAATAATCAGTTGGAGTACAACAGGGCGTAATTTTTGGACCCCATTTCAAATTTTTTGTAACTATAATTTAATAAATCACATATTTTATTAAAAAAATTCTTAAAATTTTTACATTTTGTCATACAGGTGCTGTGATATATCTTTTGGACTTGTTCTGTAATAGTAAAATACCGGAGGCGAGAGAGGCTTCAGTGGACTTGTTAGCGCGGATGATGGCAGACAAATTGCACGGTCCCAAGGTAGTGTATTTGATAATTCTGTATTTATATTGTATATTCAAAACAATATATGCTTGTCGGAAGATGGCCATAGCTAAGCTCTGTTTCCTCCGACTTAGACATGGTTAATAAAAACTAAACTACCGTGAGCGTGTACTAATAATAATCAATAATTAGAGCAATTACAAATCATTTTCATTAATGTAAGAAATAAAAACTAATCAAATAATATCGAGTTGAATAGACACAACGATCCGTTGAAGTCGCGCGATGTTCGACCGATGAATGTCGTCCCACTTCCTTTCATTATCTCTCCAACGTTTTGTCAGCGCTCTCCACCACTTTTCGCGCTTGTGTTTCGAGTCAATAGAATGTATTTTTTCTATTTTGCGCCGACATGCTATATACATTTTTTAGTCGTGCAATTACTCAGTTTAAAGGCATTGCGTTATTATTAGGGCATTAATATTATTTATTTAGTACTGTCATGTGGTCCCAGCATTAAATGGGCTACCCCTTCCTTTTTCGTGGATGTCGTAAGAGACGACTAAGGGAACTTAATGGTTAACGAGCGGACAGCAGAGGCTCTCTTAAAACATTGTCAAAACCTAACTGCGGTTGTCTACCCTTCTGGTAAAACTACTGCCGTGTGGTGCGGTGCGGTGCGGTGCGGTGCGGTGCCGTGCGGTACGACGGGCGTGCGGTGCGTGCGTGCAGGTGCGGCTGACGGTGTGCCGGTACGTGCCGGGCGTGTTCGCGGAGGCGATGCGCGAGGCGGGCGCGGCGCAGGCGCTGCACATGTTCGACGCGCAGCACGAGCACCCCGAGCTGGTGTGGGCCGACGACCAGCGCCGCCGCGTCGCCGCGCACCTCGCGCAGCTCAGGGACAGGTCCGTGCTCGACAACGTAACTATATCTAAACTCAAATAACGTTTATTTGTACCTTTTACGCTTTGATTATATAGATGGAGCATCGAGCCAATCAAAAAGGGATCAATTTTTTGTCAGCTAATTGTCAACTTAGCTTACAAGAGGGAGACTTTGTACAAAAGTCGATTGCTTGGGTTTCCATTCGTGTTTCAACCGTGAAGCAGTTGTGTTTCCATGGCTGTGTTTCGGTTTGAAGGATGGGATATGGCGTGAATTTACTGGGTACAGAGAAATAACATCTGAGTCCTCAGAAATGGCAACGCATGAGGGGTATCATGGGCGAAACAGTATACTCTGTTATGTCCATGGTACTGCTCATGTCTATAGACGATGTTTGCCACTTTCCATCAGGAGGGCCGTCAGCTTGTTTGCCATTCTATGTTGTTATTAATAATAATGTTATTAATAAACTGTATATATATTTAGGCACCAATCGGACCAACTGCGAGATCCAAATATAATATTCGAGGATCGTGAAACTTTGGAACGCATGTCGGCCGGCGAGGAGACATGGGCTCCACCTGGCGAAGTGGTAGTGGGCGGCGTCTACCTTAAACTGTATCTACAAAACCCGCAGTGGAATCTACGCAGCCCCAAGCGCTTCCTGCAGGAACTACTTACTGAAACATTCGCATCGCTCAATAAGGACTCTTCAGAGGTTTGTTAACACTAAATCTACCGACATTTCATATATATCTAATCCTACCATTAGCGGTCAAATGACCGCTTTAAAATACAGTATGTATTTTAATATAGAAAGAGATTTTGGCCAATTGGATAGTAAACAAGTAAATAATAGTAAGTTGTAAATATTGAAAAATGGGTTGTATGTATATTATAAGAAAAAATCAATAAGTTACAAGGTGATACAGTAACGTTATACATGAAAATTTTTTAAACTAAATTTCAAAAACAGTCATTTGGTCGCGCTTTAGTGTTAAATTCTAAAAAATAATATTGAATAGTTTAATGCCATTAAAGTAAATAGTATTTAGTATATATTTTTCTTTTAATTTCACGAGTTTAGTATTTAAAATGGTGGCGATATCGTTATCATCAGTACGTTTTACTAAAGACATTGATTATTGTACCATATACATTGAATAAGAAAGAAAGAAAGAAATAATTTAATCGAAGAAGCATGCGGCCCACACAGTAGCGCACAAAACAAGAACAAAAGAAACCAAAACAAAACAAACAAAAAAAAATTGTATACAAATAGCAATTAAATTATAATAATAATCAATAAACAAACAAACAAACAGTAGGATAACTCTTGAATCCAACATCGATCTTAATCCAAATCTATTTCTAATGACAATTTAATACTGCACTCATGTAACAACAGTTAGGAATTAGCTATAATAAAGATCGGTTTACAATAGTTTGCATCGGCAAATTGCACCAAATATGCATCTATCGGAACAGTATGGAACCAATTATGTCGCTAGTGACAAGTGACGCAATTCAAGAGCGTGAGTTCTCAATTCCAATATCGATCTATTTGAATATATTTCAAGAGCGACCCTACAGGTATATAGGAATGTGTACGCGTGCGCGTGTGTGTGTCGCAATGTTCTGTGATGTGTGCGTGTGCGTGCGTGTGTGCGTGCGTATGCGAGTCGCTTGTAATGTAGGTGGATACGTGATGTAGATGTAACGTGACGTGCAGGGCGGGCGCGGCGAGGTGTGCGCGCAGGCGCTGGCGGTGCTGGTGCGCACGCGGCCGCAGCTGGGCGAGCAGTGCGCCACGCTGGGCGAGCTGCCGCGCCTGGCGCGCCTGCTGCCCGCGCGCCCGCTGCACGCCGTGCCGCTGCTGGCCGCGCTCGCGCACACGCAGGTACGTCGCCCCGCCGCCCCGCCGCTACCAGGGGAACTGCTACCAATATAGCAATGGGAGTATTCTCTATTCAAAAATGCACCGCCTACTTATTTCTCGGCTTGCCCACCGTCCGGTGTCAACCTTTTCCATTCCAAGCCTTTTCTTCTTTTTATTCCACCAACTCCACACTAAAATTGCATTTAGCATTGCATAGCAGAATTATCATAACAGAATTATTATAACAGTGCAATGGGTGACAGTTGTAGAAATTAACTCTGTTGCCATGTTTCGTAGTAAGTGTGAGATGGCTTTATCAAAAATTTTTGTAAAAAAAATCCCACCTTTTTAAAATTGTCCTCAAATAGAAGTAATACACTATGTCGAGTGTCACTCGACAGTGGAGCTCGTGGAAGAAAATCAATGTCGAAGAGTGGAAAGGGTTAAGTCCGCTAAATGTACATACAATTTTACTGTGAATTAAAGTTTATATAAATAAAAAAATATATAGAGTATATTACTAGCAATAAGACTGGTATCAAATATGAAATCAGATCCATCTCTACGTAGCTCCCCTTGGAAACCATCGTGCTGAATTCCAGGTATTCATCACCAAGGCGAATCGACTTGCCTTTTAAACTTCACCTATCATCCCTCACTGGTGCCCCGCCAGCGTATATCGTTAGCGTAGGCAGGGTTACCATTCCATTATTATCCATTATAAAAAACTATACGCCGCGATTGGTAAAAAGCATTTGCGTTGAGCAGGACGATTTATCTATGTACTACATTTTATTGAAATAAAAAAAAAAATATCAAACTAAATGACTGTCATATCTATTTTAATAATTGTTCCGTTAACAGGCGTGCGTGATGGCGTTAACGCAGATTGAGTTGATGCCCGGCCTGAAGACGGCGATCAAGTCGTGTCGGGAGATAGTGGGCAGCGCGTGTGAAGCGCTCGGCTCCATATTCAACAGCAACGTCAACACGGACCGATTAGTTTTACAGGTATTCTAAATTAATATTTGACATATTTTGATTTTTTTCTCATTCTCTTTCTTATTATTTATCTCTTATCTTACCATTGCGCAAATAATAATAATAAAATTTGCAACCTTTAAAACAAATACTCCAAAGAAGGGTTACATAAGGAATGTAAAGGAAAGGTAAGGGCGGCGTTGGGCTGGCTGCACTAGCCATGACTTATACGTACAACGGCCAATATGCTCTTATTTGGGCCGTTATATTGGACTTTTAGCTTAACTTAGCAGAGGCTAAGCTTGGAAAAGAGAGTCCAATTTACAAGGGTTAGATAACTAGTATTTAATTAATTCGTTTAAATGCTTCAATTGTAGTAGATAGCTCCTTCATTATAGGAATCCATCTATAAATCAAAAAAGCTATGAGAAATTTATTCTATCCCATAAAATACCCACTGTGGGTGCCCACACGAGTCATTTGATGTGAATCGTGCATTACACAACATATGGACGGCTGTATGTGTGTGCATGGCAGGCGCTGGAGTGCGACCTGGTGGGCGAGCTGCTGGCGCTGCTGGAGTCGCGGCTGGAGGGGCAGGCGGCGGCGCGGCTGGTGGGCGCTCTCAAGGCCATGTCGCGCTCGGCCGCGCACGGCGACCGCGTGCGGCAGCTGCTGCAGCGCAGCCGCGTCTGGGACCAGTACGCCGCCCAGCGGCACGACCTCTTCATCTCCGCGCCGCAGCACGCCTCGCTCGCAGGTACGTGCGCGTACTGCTGTCGAAACTCATATCGAAACACGCAAACTAACAACAAGGAATTACATAGAAGGAATGATAAAAACTGTAAATCATATGGTTGCCTCCTTTCTTCTTATGCAAATATAATTAGTAAAAAGAGGACGAAAGATACATAATCAGTTGCTATTTTTCTCAATTCATAGCCGGTTAGTGTATAGAAAATGTTTGTTATATCAATTATTTATCAATGACAAAGTTTACATTACTAGGATGTATATTCGACACAGTTTATGTAGTAAGTATGCAAGCAGGTTTTATCTGAATTTGGTAGGGTTATACGGCCGTATAACATTTTCTATACACTAGCCTGCTATGAATTGACAATTTTATCACTCCTATGTAATTCCTTGTCCTTAGCACGCAAACAATCGATGCAACACTCACGTCACTAAAAGTCACTATCACGTGTGTGTAGTATTGTACAAAATATGTGATACACTAATTCATACTCCACTAAATGTCACGTATTGGTATCTATATAATCTAAGTAATCAACATATTGTTTCTATTCAAATATACTATTTATTTTCATAGTGTATGTATAACACGTGATTTGTTCAACAGGTGTGCCCCACACTGCTGGTTATTTAACAGCTCCACCGGTGGATATTCCTGCACAGCCGCCACCGATAGACTGATTTCCAGTCGGCTCTGGCTGACTGCATACTCGTAACGCGAAGTCATACTACGCGTATCTCGCACACCACTCGACTGACATATATGTAACTCTAACTCCGTATGTATATTATATATATAGTGGGATCGAACTAAAAATTGGATTGTTTTTCCATCATATTGCAATATCTTAGCTGTCAAAATCATTTTTAAATTCTTGATGCAGAAAAAATACAAATTAAATTTTACTTGTCAATTTATTATTTCAACATAACAATTACGTTATTGGCGTTTCTATTCTTATGTTGATCGTATTGTCTCCATTCGAATTTTAAAAATAAATTGTGAAAAAAAAAAATCGAACTGAAATGAAAATGAACTGAATGCGATAATGATTCTTATACACAGGGGCTGTTGAGTTTGTTTTCTATTTTTCAGTCCTACTAATATTGATATAATAGTGCTGTGTAATTATTGTAAAATTGTTTTAAAAATTATCGTCACATGACAAATATAAGTAATAAAATTTGGCCGCTACAAATAAAGTGTATTTAATTATTTTGAAGTGGTAAACTTAAATGTCTAATTATAAAGTTTAGTCTTTTTTTTAATAAATGTGTTTATATCAAAATGATAGTATTGTAAATCAACAAATATAACCTTCCAGTGAAGTGTATAATAATATATTGAGATACTAATTGTCTTTATTAACATAAGATATCTTTAAGTTAAAACGTACATGAATATGGCGCACTATTGTGGTGATATTGATATATCACGTGAGATAATTACTGTATGTATATATATATAATAAATAGCTTTGTCTGTCAAATCGTAACAAGGCGTTATAATCAGCAGTGGCCTATTTTCTATGTGTCCAGTTACAGAAGTATCTGTAAAATAGCTATACTATATTAGTGCTATAAAATGTAATGTGGGCATCGATATACAAGAAACACAAGATGTGTAAAAAAATAATAATACTGGAACGCACTCAACCAAATGATGTACTCGTTTCTAATCAGTTTATTGATGTTTGTTGTACATTACTAATCTATTTACGTAGTATAAAAATAGGTATAATATCTGAAAAGACACCTATTTTATATTTTCGATAAGTATTTTGCTCCTCTTTTTAAGTATTATGGCTTTTACCATAAAAGTATTCACCTTTCATACATAATGTGTAATATATAGCAGTATCTATGTATTGTAGATACAATATCTATATATTGACTCAATAACACATATTAAAATATCGGTTATTCAATATATAATTACAAAATTAGGAACCCAATCGAAATTTATATAGATAGGGCTATATAGGAACAGGTGATATTTGTTCTCCGGCATCAATAAGTAGAAAAATCCAATACATAGATATCGGAACGATACTGATATTATGTATGCCTAATAATGACTATAGTTGTATATAAATTGGTGACACTAAACGTCAACGGTATACGCGATCCGAATATTGTGTTTTTTGTATATTAAACAATACACTTACGAAGCACTTTCCTAAGCACCAACAGGTTTTACGCCACTGATAAATCAGTACTTATGAGAATGTATAAAATATACTTGTATATCGAAGATCCATTTTATAGTAGTTTATAGTTCATTGTAATATAGGTAAATTTCAGTTACATTGATTTATCGAGCACCTATCGATTTAATTAAGTATTATCAGCCAAAGCTCCGTCTGTGGTTTCTCGTTGTAGGTGTGTATAAAGTATGATCTCCTTGGAAATAAATACAACAACTTATATGTAATATTCCTATATAAATTAGACATAAGTTTTTCTATTCATTCACACTTTTGTATGAATATAGGTTAAAGGGTTGACCCGGAGTTTGGGACTAATACTCGATTGTTTCTTTATAAGTTATTAAAGATATATATATAGATATAAATATACCTAAATATCATCAGTGTTCTTATATTAAATTGTTACTAAGTATTCCTAAAGCTTAATATACATTACACACTAGTGGCATGAAATTCGTTTCGTAACTATAATTTTAGCAATTTCATTATGTACATCTCTAATTTTGGTTTTAATTACGTGTTTCCTCTAAGGGTAAGTGATATATAGAAATATCTATTTATTTTAGTTACAATATCTATATATTGGTCTCATAACGATAATGTTAAAAGTCTGTTGTCCAAAAAATAACATTGGATAACAGACTTAACATATTCGAAAATAGATATCCGACCGACATATTGGCAATATCGAAATGGGATGATGATAACTTTTTCCGCCATCAATGTACAGAGTAGTCCAATATATAGATATTGCTACTATATCCATATTACCCATACCTAGTTCCCTATGATTTCTCTGTCATACAATCACTTACATCGTGTAAACGTTGTGTTAAAACTTGTATCAGGAGAGCCTACATCTTGACGGGGTTTCAATGATTCTGTACATTCACATGTTAGTCTCAAATGATCGAGTCTATTGAATTAAATTTTTGAAAATTTATTTTTATCACGCATGAAACTAGTTTCGTAATGTAAATTCGGCTATAGCATTTTGTCTTTTTTATTTATTCATATTTTAAATTACACGATAATTTTCATTAGGTGTGCATCCATAATGCGAATTCATACTTTCTTTAAACGTTTTTAAAGCCCGTGCTACGCGATATCAATTTTGTCATCAAGAAGATTTGGTTTTTCTTTTGTTATCTTGTATCAGTGTATGAAGTACGTATTGTGATGTATTTCTATAAAAGTAACTCTCTCATTATTTTATTCATAGAATATTCATATAAAATTTAGTTTATATTTCGCTAATTTTGAATAGTGTAACGATTTTGAATTGATTAATTTGTAACAAGTTAATATGGTTAAAATTACTATTGGCCACTTATGATCTTGCCATTGCTTTCTTTCGGTTTGATATATGTTTATTGAGACTGGTAACATTTGGAGATGAAATGATGTGAAAGTTGTTGCATTTCTTTGGATATACAAACGATGTGTTTGTAATTAGAACTAATAGGTAATATAATTTGTTTCCATTCAATTTGTGAATGATGCAATGTAAGGAATTATTTTTATCAAGTTTCTTGGATTAAATGTGTATAATATTTTTGAAAGTAGCGTTATGATGTTAGGTTCATATCGATTTAGACTTTTTTTTATTAATTTTTTTTTATATATTTTTTTTATAAGACTATCGATTAGTAAACAATGCGGTAAGCAACATACGCCATACGTTTTGATAGTGTGGGATAGATATATTACGATTTCGCTCCATTACGTAGTTTCAGTGCACAAACGGGATAAGATTTGTTATTTTCTCAAATTGATTTGAAACAGATTTTAAAAAAGAATGATTGAAAATTTTATAATGTTTATATGGATATATGGAGTGTTTCTCTATTAGGTACATATATTATCGAAATTGTCCTCCTTTAGACGAATGATAGACGAATCCATTTTATAGTGAAAACGTATCTAGTTTTCACTACCGCGCGCATTAGAAAGAAGAACATGCCGGATATTGCTATCTCGTTCAATCCCATGTAAGCGGTAGTGACGGGGATCTATCAATAGATTCGTTTGGTATTTATCTACAGAATTGATTGTCCGATAATTACCTTTATTTATATTATTTTTGTTTCCGAAACAATGTATCTCTTCACGATGCAGGTATTAACTAAAACTTGGAAATTTATGGTTAGGTAACCTTCGCCATTATGAAGTTGGGGCCTAAATAATGTAACTCAATTATTGTTTAAATATAATGTGTGTTTAATTATTACGGTAATTATTTTTAATTGTAACGATCTTGCCGTGTCCTCTATTCTTGGTTAGAACTCAGGAGGCTTATTCCAAATTTGAATTTTTAAATTTCCTACTCATATTTTTAATGTATGTAATGATAATAAGTACATTTTTAGTTACACTAAAAGACAAGACAACGAGCGGAGAACACATGAAGCTGGTATAAACATAAGTACATACTGATATGTGACACGGAATATACTCAGTGCTTCAACATTTGTACTTATAAATCACATAAAGTATGCAGATGAATGGCGTCTTTAATTCTAATAGATTTGAGAAAAGTTATAGATACAGCTAGTGAATTCATTCTCACGTTACAACTAAATGGTCGCGAACAATTTGGTTTCACAGGAGTTTCCTTTCGCAAACGCTCAGGCTGTGGAATGAGCTTCCTGTCGAGGTATTCCTTAGAGACTACAGTGTGGGATCCTTCAAAAAAGGTATTTTAAATTTCAAGGCAAAGCGGAATTAAGCAATAATCCTAGTGTTGCAGATATTCATAGGCTACAGTGACCGTTTCCAATCAAATGGGCTGTACAAGCGTACCACCTTTGCCACCTTTATGGCATTAAAAAGAAATTATGAGGTTTTTTGTAAATTTCTCTCGACTGCGCTTATCTATATAATTTGGAAAGTCGTTTAGCCCGTGGATGGCGTCTAATCATCAAATTGGATATAAAATTACGGAGTAGGCTTTATAATTGCTAAACGATTTTTTAAGATCTCTATGTTCAGATTCTGGGTCGTATCTAGTACCTAGTTCACTAACCAATTGCCCACTAAGTACATAAGTTTCCTAGTTTGTGAACGAAGTAATGTGTTTGTTTAATTGTCTGGCACTAACTATTGTTATTTAATCGTAAATTACTAACCTCGATGTTATTCCATATTTAAAAAATAGCTAAGTCTGATAGAACTCGATCGTTTAGTGTGATATTGTTTTAGTATATCTTTTTTTTTTGATTTCTTCAGTCATATCATAGTGTAAGCCGTCTACTGAGTTATTACGTTTTACCAATAAATATGATTTGCTCATACGAGTACGTCCTAACATTTTGGTATGAAGTATTTTGGAAGGATTTTTATTATCGTGTGTTCATAACTTTATTGTATATTTTGGTTTTGTGTATTGGTCAATTTCCTTGTAATATAAGTGGTAACTGTAACGTTTATAAATTATAAAGGTAGGAACACACGATAGTCTGAAATGGATAGTCTTAGATGGCGAACATTAAAGATTTGAATGTGAAATCGAAGTGATGCATATGAATATTTTTATATTTAGTAATAAGTTTAAATTTTTAAATTGTACAATATAAGTATAAAGATAATATAACGTGATCATATTATTGTTTTATTGGTTTTATTTTGATAATCTCCATCAACATTACCCTTATTTTATTATTTTTTGTCGTTAGGGTATTTTAGATATTTAAGGTAAAGGTCAGATCTATGTTAGATCTGACCTTTACCTTAAATATCATTACTTAGTTACCAATGTAGGTCAACATAGTTGAGGACTATCTAAACCATGCTTAAACCATATTGATCTACATTAGTTCGAATTTGGGAGGTGCCTTTGATTTTTATTTGCAAGATTGTGCCTTGTGTGTTGTGTGTCTATTTGTGCACTATGATATTCGTACCTCAAAATTAGGAGCGTTCATAGCTTCCTGATGTGTGGCAACATCGTAATTATTTGCCATTTTTCAAAACCAATTTGACGATGTTTAATGTTTCAGATCGATTTTTTATTTATTCATCTTATTTTAAAAGTTGGCGCTAAATGTTAATAATACAATAGGTAATATTCTTATGAAGCATCCACTGAAAGGTTGCATTTTGAAGTCAAAAATAAATTAAAAAAAATTCGTAGAAAAACATAAAACAGGTACAACACTTTTAGTGTTACATTTATATGTAATGTATTAATTGATTAACATTTGAGTTCGTTTTTTGAATAATCAGTCAGGAAAATTATTAAATTGTTTTCGAAAATAATTACAGTATTGATAACAGTCTAGTAAGCTTAAATTATGAACGGTCTTAAACAATGATTAGGTAAAAGAAAAAAAAAAAACAACTCCCAACTCCTACGATATATACGCTATACACGGAAAAATAATATTCAGTACAGGTACTAGTATAGTATTATATTATCTGTGGTACAGGTATTAAAATAAAAAAAAAAAACTTATTTATTATTAATATATTTAAAGAGTATAAAAAATACAATTTTCTCAAAAGATGTTTTAGAACATCTATTTTGACAAAAGGTTTACAAAACGTTATTGTATTTCTTTATTCACATTAAAACAACAAATTCTAACTTATTATCACATAAAAATGCCAGCTGCGGGCATAGAGGCTACCAACTCACTTTGGCTAAGTAATTCTAAGGTACTCGAGGTGTACTTAATTGACAATGAATGGTAATCATATCACAACTTACACTATTGGCAAGAAAATAGATTTCAAACAAAAATAGACAAGTAGCAAACCTCAATCAATATACGAGGACGAAATGCCGGTCGTTGTTGTCTCTATCTGTCTTATGCGTGTGGCAGCGAAATCGTATCTATTAACAGATTAGTTTTATCCTTACTTAGCGGGCCAGATACAAAATTATTCTGTTGTGTGTACATGTGGTAGCGAAATAGTATCTATCAAAAATTTCGTTCAACAATTGTTGGGGGGGGGGGGGATATTAATTCGTGTTGTAGCGTGTTCTTTTTTTTGTAAATAAACGCATAATAATTTTCTGGGGTCGAAATTGTAACCAATTTTTGTATTTTATTTCTTATTACCTACTCTATATTTGTATCACATTTGTTTTGTTACATTTATTATATCACTATTAATTGTATGAGGGTGTAGTCCCTTGAATCTCAAGAGTGTGCCCTCGTTAAAAGAACCCAATCAAAAAACTAGCTGAAAAAATTCCCAACTTTTAGGTTTAGAATTAATCTTGGTATAGTCAGAACAGTCAAGAACTGTTACGGAATTTTTCATCCAAAATAGTTTGCTTTATAAAAGGTATGTAAAAATTTAATAAATCGTAACCTACATTTTGTTCGTACATATATAATAGAAATTTGTAAGTATTTATATATATCAACAATGTAGGTATATCACATGAAGTGAATATATGCTTACAGGGGGTGAAAGGGATTGTTAGTAATGAAGACTAAAAATCTCATTGCTAGCAATATACCCCACCAGGTCGACCTATCATGGTTAATTCCTGATGAATTCATCATGATGGGCTAACTGGCCTATTTTCATTCTCATCGATCACCCTTCACTGGTGCTCCGCCAGCGAATCCTGTTAGCGCAGGCGGGGTTACCATTCCATTGTCACCCATAAAAAAAAATGCTTACATAATGCATGTGCACACTATACATGAAATAACAAACAACTGTGTTACAAAGCTGTATACAATCGTAGCTTTGATCTTTGTGCAAGTTAGATAATAAAGAAATATTAAAAATAATGAAACTACAAAAAGTAGGTATATTAAAAGACCAAGTCAACGTCGTCAACTCCGTATATCGCAATATATTTCCCCCAAACAGTTGAATTCAGTCTTTAAAATTTTTACGCGATTTTAAAAACCTTTGAGTAAAGTCTTTAGACTCAAATAGATTTACAAAATTTTTAAAATTCAAACACGAAACAAAACAACGAAGCACATCAAATTCGAGCAAGCATATCGCTTGAATTAATTTCACTTTTCCCTTCGATTTCTCAAATATGGCTCTAACAACTTCTAAGCGGGATTCAAAGCAATCATCAGGTCCAATAACTATTTATGTAGATATCGTGTCAGGCGGGTTGTGGTTGTAAGTGTTGCTTGGCGAGCGACGCCGGCGGCGACGAGTAGTGATTGGAGTGCGGAGTGCGGAACGGACGCTCGTAGCTCTCGCGGGACCAGCCCAGCTTATCTCTGTAAATAGTGTTTTTTAATAGGCGAAAATGGAATAGTAACCCTGCCTGTGTAAACGGTATACGCTGGCGGGGCACCATTGATGATAGTGAGGATTGAACAATGAAGTTGAAGTAAGGTTACTTGGCCCGTTGGCGAATTCGACAATAATTAATCACTATGATTTTCTGGGAGATCCGCGTGGAGCTCGAATTCATATTATATATTGCTACCAATGGGGCTGTTAGACCCCGTTACTAACAATCCATTTCCTCACTCTGAGTTATGTTTGTATCCAGGCCAATATTGGATTTATATTTTTTGTAAATTTTAATCCATTTCACGTTCTGTCACTTGTCTATGGAAGGAAAAGGAGAGGTATCAGGCAGCATGGTCTCCGACCTTAGCCTGTTCCAAACGGAACAAACGTACTAAAAAAAAAAAAAAGGAGAGGTATCGTATTTATATATTTTACTCTCTTATTCATAAAAGCTAAAACGCCCTACAAACCTATTTTAACTAACACACTCTTTTTTATTAATATCTTTCAATTTGAGAAAATAGCGCAAAGGAACAAGACAAACTACTACAATAGCTAAAATTGGTTTATCAGAGGTTTGACTTTTTTATGAATAAGGGATTTAATTTACCAAATAAGGGAGTTTGACAGTTTCCCAATTTGCTTCCTTAGCAATTATATATATATATATATATATATATATATATATATATATATATATATATATATATATATATATATATATATATATATATATATATTATGATTGCTAAACATAATAACATTTAATTATTGGATACTTTATAAATAATTTATTGCTACTCAGCGAAATATAAGAAACACAAAATATAAGTTCACAATATAGGTATATAGGGGGAAGGAATTGTTAGTAATGGAGAGGTTAACCCCTATTGCTATCAATACACCCTATCAGGTCAACTTCCACGCGGTTCCCCTTGGAAATCATCGTGACTAGTTTATTGTTGAATTCTTCACGATGGGCTAAATGACCTGCCTTTCATCCTCACCTATCATCCCTCACTGGTGCTCCGCCAGCGTGTACCGTTAGCGGGGTACCAGGGATCCCTACCGGGACCCTTAGTAATAAGCGACTGTGACGCGAGCGCAAGCCTGAGTACGTGGTTCGGCCTGTTGAGCGCGAGCTGTAAATGCTAGTATTTATTATATTAAAGTACTTGATAAAGCCCGCAGCAATGTACCTGATGATCATTTTGACATATTTGTGTGAGGCGGTGTTACTAGCGGGTATGTGCGCGCCAACATGCTCGTCGTCGAGCTCGAGCGTGAGGTACTCGTGTGCGCAGGCGCTGTTCAGCAGCTCGTCGAGTTTCGCGTGGAGCTCGGCGAACGTCGGGCGGGCTCGCGGCGCTGCGTGCCAACACGACAACATCACCTCGTAACTGGGGAGAAAAGATTTGGTGATCGAGCTGTGGAATGACAACGGTGATTAGATATTTGTTCGTTAGTTAGAGCAAGCAAGCAACAAGTTTTTACGACAGATGTGGCGAACAAGTTGACTGACGATGTATTTTTGTTTTTATGTCTTGTGACGTCGCTTACCCTATAACCAGCGGTCTATCAATATGCTTCCAAGGATACATCATTTTGTCAAATTATGACAAGTAATTCAGAACATATACATATTTAATAGCACACATATAAAATGAGAAAATGAGACAGGAATATTCCTAATTTTTGCTTTGTTTGTTTGGATTATTTGGTTTCAATAATCTTGTAAGGACTTGGAAACAAGTAAATACTTGGAAATAAAAGTAAGTAATATAATATAACAATAGGTGTCTATTGATATAATGTTATTATAGTAAGTAATACGGGCCTGGGTGCATACATTTTTAAAGTGGTCAAATGTAAGCGGCAACAATAATCCAAAAATATCAATCTCTTACATTCATTCAACTGTGTGGTCTGGGCATAGTATGGACCACCGTTTCCTTTTCCGTGGGTGTCATAGGAACCGAATAAGAGAACTAAATGGTCGAGTAATGGGCAGAAGCGTCCCTATCAAAATATCACCAAAGCTTAACTGCGGTTGCCAACCTGCCTGCCAAGCCTGGGAACTACTGGCAAAACCCCCCTTATGAAGAAGGCCTAACAGTGGACAGTTAACGGCTGATATGATGATGACGATGATGACCCATTCATTATTAAAATGATAGAGTTTTAGACCTTCAAAATAACTCACAGTTGTTTGCTGCAGTTGTTAGGGCGGGGCATCCTGTAGCCCGCTCGCAGCAGCCGCAGGAGCCTCGCGGCCGCCACCTCGGGATACGGTGTGGCACCCACTGTCACTATCTCCCACACCACCACGCCGAATGACCATCTGTGCCAGTACAACAATAAATTATCGTCATTCTGATTTTTATGAAAATTTGTGACTAAACTTGTTATCCCACTTGATGAGAAAGGATCATCGCCTCTATAGGTGATGGGGATTCATGTACAGACATGAGTTGTGGATATCACAGAATACACGGTGGCGTATCCTTCACAGTGTGTATTCCGTGATATCGCCACCTTATATCCGTAGTGACATTCTTAAGGATTAAAATATTATGCATTTGACATTTTGAAACGCTCTTTTATATCTTGAAAGTGTACCAAATACTAAATAACCGTGCTCTTAGCCTCCAAGATACAGGTTTGACCTAGATTAAGAACTGATGGTAAAGCAAACTTTTCATAATGTAACTAGACATAAACTCTGGTGTAAGTGATACCTCTTCCTGTTCTAAGTCTCTGTTCTTCCTTTTAAGTAATAAAGACATGTTTGTTTATTTTATTTTCTCTCCTGTGATTTGGTAGAATTTCAGATCCGACATAATGCCGAGATTACCGAAAATTGCAAGGAAACCCACTGATTCATTGTGGTGGTATTTTAAATCTAGTTAATCCAAGACTCTCAATAGTACTAAACGATTAAACTAAATACTTACACATCACTTTGTGTTGTATATATCCTTCGCGTCAATGACTCCAGTGCCATCCACTTCACGGGCATTTTGCCGTTTCCTTTTTGTTTGTACTGATTTTCTTCATACACATCTCTAGATAATCCAAAGTCTGCAATCTTCAGTGTCCTGTCTCCTGATACGAGTATGTTCCTAGCTGCTAGGTCTCTGTGGACTACCCTGTTCGAAGCCAGGAACTCCATGCCCATAGCTATCTGTCGACAAAACGACAGCAAATCTCTTGAAGTCAGTTCCGTGTCACAAATGCCTTGGAGGTCGTACAGTTTATTCACAACTAACTTGGAGTGTTTCCTTTGAAATTTGCATTTGAATAAGTCATTGCGATAGTCTGAGCTTTCTATGTTGTTGTTATAGTATTTTGCGTTCCTTTTGGACACCATTACGTCCCATGAACATCTGAAAGGATGTAAGTATTACACATTTAAATCAACTAATAGAAATGGAAAAAGATTATAAGTTTAATTTCATTACGATTTTATGATTGTAATAATTTTATTATATAGAATTTTAATAATTTTTCGAGTATCCTATATTTATATTTAATGATTGAATGTACAAAGTTTATGGTTGTCTTACGGGGTAAGTAGAGAAAATAAAAAAATCTGAAAATCGAATACTAAAAGCCTTTACTGTCACGTTTGGCAGGCGGGTTGGTAACTGCAGTTAGGCTTTAGTGGCGTTTTAAGAAGGACGTTGCCCTTCCAAACATTGTCTATCTGTATGTGTGTTTCGGCATTACGTAAAAACTGCTCCACTATTGGATGCGTGTTTCACAGTTGTGTTCCTGATGGCCCAACATAAAATCTAATATATGTTTTATCTTGATATACCATTTAGAAGTGTTCCTACTTCTTAAATCCACGCGGACGAAGTAGCGGGGAAAGTGCTAGTTAGATGTATGTCAATAATTAATTCTCACCTTAAGTAGCTCAGAAGGTCCCCTCGGCTGCAGTATTCGGCGACAATGAGCGGCCGCCTGCCACTGCAGCAGCCCACTAAGCTAACCACGTGAGGATGAGCGCCTACGCTCTTCATCAGTTCCATTTCGGCCCGAAACGCTCGAATCTCCTCTAGAGAGGGGAAATCTGAAAACATTGAAATGCTAGAAATTATTAAAAATAAACTGACCTTAAAAGATTTTTTTAAGCTTTAATGTAATCATCATAACATGGTTATAAGTTTCTCAAATAGTCACAGGTATTTTTAATCTATATGTTTTTTTTCTATTTAATCTATGTCAAATAATTAGCATTTGTCTTTCAGCTCTCAGTCCAAGGTACAGCCCGTTGAGATAATGGATAGCTATTTTTCCGTCACTGGCGGATTTAAGATTTTTCTTTAGCCTGGCCTTTTCGAAAAAGCGTATATGTACTCTTAGGCATGACTTTACATATAATTAAAAAATTCCACTTCTGATCCTTGGGTGTGCACCAGACAATTCCGGGCTGCGAACGGCCCATAAACAAGCCTATGTTTTGCGCATAATTAGCTCCAATTATAATTTTCATCATATCAACCATTAAATGACCACAACTGAACGACTGACCCCCCCCCCTCCTTTAAAAGAGGTTTTGCCAGTAGTTACCACGCTTAGCAGATGGGTTGTCAACCGCAGTTTAGGCTTTGATGATGCTTTAAGAAGGACATCCCTTAAACATTAAGTTTCCTTAGTCGCCTCTTAGGACACCCTCGGGAAAGAAAGGAGTGCACATTCTATGCCGGGACCATACGGCGTTATAATACGGTATATAAATTACGATAATAACAAACCTTTTAGCATCTTCACAGCCACCTCCTTAGCAGCGGGCGCGAGGGTGCCCCTGCGGACCACCCCGAACGCCCCCTCGCCGACCACCTCGTGCAGCAGCAGCTTTTCTGGCCGCACTTCCCAGCTGTCTTCAGAACCGCACTCAGCTTCGAGGGCTTCACAAGCACCGGATTTCGAAGGCTTATCTTCTGGGTCCTTATGAAAAGTTGATTATTGTCTTCATATTACATGTAAATATTATCTATACTAATATAATAGAAAGTAAGTGTTTGTTTGTTTGATCGCACTAACCTCTCTAAGTGCAGCAGCGACGGTGATAAGATGTTTTTTATCTTTCCAATAACATTTCATGATGACTTATAGTCATATTCATATGTCATAATCTAAAGCCGGTTGATCCCAGTATAAAATGAGCCACCCCTATCTTTCCCGTGGATGTCGTAAGAGGCGACTAAGGGAGCTTAAAGGCCGAGGGACAGGCTGCAGCGTTCCTCTTTAAACATCACCAAACCCTAACTGCGGTTGTCGACTCCCCCTTATGGGGGAGGTCTATGCTCAACAGCGCACAGTTAGTGCATGATGGGGATCATAACTTACAGGAAAATAGAAACGCTTGAGGTTGGCAGCGCGGCGGCGCCTCCAGCACACGAAGGCTGTGACCAGCGCCGCGGCGGCAATCAGCGCTGCGCTCCAGCCGCCCAGCATTATCAGGCTTGTGGTATCCGTGCCCATTGTCACTGTCATTTCGAGAGAAAACATTTGCAATTTTGAGAAAAATAAAAAATTGCATCAATGCTCATTCAAAATTCAAAGTTTTTACTTGTGAAACATATATAATTGAATAGTAGGATTATACAAAACTAGAGTCTAGACACTAAACTAGACAAAACAAGACTTATAGAGAGACAAAGAGACAAGACAAGAATAATATTCTAAATTATATAATCTAAATATATTTTTAGATTATAACTCTTCGCATTAGTGTTTCACCATAAATAGGTGAACTTTTTTATCCGTCTGCGTGAATAGTGTTACCATAATGTAAATTTATTTCTGTGTATGGAATATATGGAAGAAATTATATTGTTAGGTTAAGTTGAAAAATAAAAATACAAAATTTTTAGGAATATATTTGTAAGAACAAAATAAACAGAACAATATTTCGTACTTTCATTTATCTTTATTGAAAATGACATTAGTTTAAATTAATAAATGTACAGTAATTTGTAACAAATCCGAACATATGTACATTTGTATAATATCAGAAGATATAATTCTTAATTTAAATTTAAAAATTCGACTCAGTCTGTGAAATTTCTAATCTAAATTACATGTGTTAAACTGAGTCAAATGTCGATTTAGCTGACTAAATGTCGATAGGATTTTGGACTCGATGCTCAATCTATCTATCTAAGAGTAGGAAATGTCAATTTACCAGGGAACACAGCTCGCCTGCTTGTATGTATCCCCTTCTTTCCCACTATTGATACTATGGACACGTGGTAGAACCCTTTGTCTTCAATGTCGTTGAATACCGCTTTTGTAGCGTTCTGAAAGCAACGCTTATAATAAGCACAATGTAATGGAAATTTTATAACAATTCCAAATAGGAACCTTGTAGAGTTCATATCATTATATCTAATATATATGTAAGATTTTTCTACAAAAACATTTTTTTTTTCCTTTTGGCTTCATATCAATTTTGTCACTATCTTCGATCAGCAGAAAAGATGAACAGTTTCAATGTTATTATCTTACTTCAGTTGCAAAAAGAATTAACAAAATTTGTTTCAATTGCACGGCCATGATCGTTTGCTTGGGTACCTTTGCCCCATTCGTGTTTCTACCGTGAAGCAGTTTTGTATGGATGGCTGTGTTTCGGTTTGAAGGGTGGGATATGGCAGTGAATTTACAGGGTACAGTGGATTAACACCTGAGTCCTCAGGAATGGCAACGCATGGGGGGTATCATGGGCGAAACAGTATACTCTGTTAAGTCTATAGTACTGCTCAGCTTGTTTGCCATTCTAAGTTGCATAAAAAAAGGTTGATAATAAAAATGATGCGAGAATGTTCTCGGAACTTTTGTTGTAGAGACGTGCCACACACGTTAGTGATGTCATCAAATTGTCAAACATAAAACTTGCATGTGGATCGATAAGCGTACACAATAAAAGCTGTCTACAATACTCACTTTGGGCACAAACATAGTCCGTCGAACATGTTCGCTGTGCAAGGTGATGTTGTACCGCGAAGGCGGGCGCACCGGTGCCGCCCACCGCACCACCACGTCCCAGCCCGCGCCTGACGATGGTTCAGCGTCAATCGTCACGTTCCTGGCCATTGATAGATCTAAAATAAAAAAGTAATATCATGTCGATTAGCAATAGTACTACACAATAATATGTTACACAATCACATAAATTGCCTAGTTTTCAAGTTAGGAGGCTTTTTTAACAAAAAAATGGAATGGTAACCCCACTTGCGCTATAGGTATACGCTGGCGGGGCGCCAGTGATAGATGACTCGTAAGGATGATAGCAGATAAGTTGGCCCATTGTATAGAATTCAATAAGAATTAACTAGAATGATTTCCAGGGGGACCGTGTGGAGGTCGACTTGATAGAGCATTTTACTAGCAATGGGGCTAGCCAGTGACGTATGATAAGTGAAAATGAAATTAGATGAGTTGGCTCATGGTGACGAATTCAACAGGAATTAAGGACAATGATTTCCTAAATGATGATGGCATAAATGTTGTTAAGATAATGTACCATCTCATGCATGCGGTATCGAAAATGTACCTACTCTATCAACTGATTCATTTGTCACATATTTGTCTGGGTGTCTAAAATTTGGGTTCTATATACAATAAATAAATTGCTTACCAATACAAGAATAGAAGTTCTCACACGAAAGGGTTTTGTACGTGAAACGGGTGGTTCCATGTTTGCCTGCTACTTGCATTTGACAATTTGCATCCAGCGGGAGTTCCTCTACTGACCAATAATGCTTTTGGTTTGGCTGAAATATTTCAAAATGACTTTAATGTTACTGAACTATATGTTATCTTGTCGAAGTCGATATTACTATTTGATTTGAAGTATTTTAATTTAATTCCGCTACCGTTAGTCACACACATACTGATGGTTGCGGAATTAAACAAAATAATTCCTTAAAATAATAAAAGATTAATTATATATACGATATTTGTTCATATCTAGTGATGTTACCAGTTTCCATTAAATGGTCTATAAATTTTTGCTTTTCTAAGTATCATAAAAAAAATAGAATTTTTTTAATGTTACGACTATTTTTTGTGGATTCAGATTAATAAGTATTTTCCGTACCAGTTTATAATGTGTATTCAAATTATTATTTGAGTGTTGTGCTACATACCCATATTCTATCAGTTCTAATATCTCCATTGCATGAGCTCATTACATCAAAGCATTTATCGTTGTCTGAAAATAATAGAATTCGTTAATTTAATAATTTAATAGGATTCAATTTGGTACCTGGATTGATAAGTTTACATTTTACTGAACTAGGATTTTACTTACTATATCGCGGAAATCTATAACACTGATCACGAGAAGAGAATTATTTTGTTTAATTCCGCTACCATTAGTGTATGATTGTTTGAGTGTTGGCTATCATAGACATACTATATAGCGGTAGCGGAATTAAACAAAATTATATTCAAGTAACCAGTAACAAGTTTATGCCACGGACAGAGTAGGGAGGTAAATAGAAATTAACAGAAACAAAAATAAGTAAATGTTAAATTATACATGTAATTGTAAATGCAGTTAATTTTACCATTTAAGTAATTTATAAAGATAAATTGAGACATTTGTGTTAACAATGTAGGGATCAAGGTGCGCGGTATCCTTCACTAGAATGGCAAAATTGATAGAATGTAGTCAGATTACCCAATAGATTTCCATTTTGTTTTTGAAGATGTTAGTGGTAGCAAAGAAAAACTAGTAAGAATAAGTTTTATTTACTATAGGTAATATAAAAAAGTCTTACCATCCTCTGTTTTCCAACTAAACAATGCTTTTATAGTGCTATCATTTTTGTACACATGTGTTAAATTAACGTCTATTTTATATTCTTTCTTGTATACATTTCCAGTTTCGTTCCAGACGCCGATACGTTGAATTCGCCGCCACACAGTATGGCTACCGTTGCTGTTGAGGGCTGTCACCCAAACAGTGTAGTTCCCTGGCGGTGAAGTACTGACCTCTCCAAATTCTTCATTACTCGTTCTAAGATCGTAATTGATCTGAAAATAATAATACGTAGTCATACTTGGTGTTTCTAGGCAAATTTTTGATGGCATTCTCCGACGATAAAAATAAAGGTCACGGTTGGTTGGGTGTGTCCCCTTTCTCTTTGGGGGCAGTTCCAGTATTCAAACAACAGTTCCAACATCGAATTTGAGGGGAGAAAAGGATTATTAGTAATAGGGTCTAACTGTCCCATTGCTAGCAATACATCCTATCAGGTCGACCTCTACGCGGTATCCCTTTGGAAACTATCGTAGTTAATTCTAGTAAAATTTGTCATGATGAATTAACTGACCTGCTTTCATTGTCACCTATCGTCCCTTGCTGGTGCCCCGTCAGCGTATACAAATAGCGCGGGCGGGGTTATTATTCCATTATTACCCATTAAAAAAAAGTCGAATTTGATGTAACTCTTTAATAGTGCGTGGCTTCCGTGACTACTGGAAAACCCCTCCAAGGGGGAGGTCTGGGGGGAAAGGGATTGTTAGTAATGGGGTCTAATAGCCCCATTACTGGCAATATACCCTCTTAGGTTGACCTTCACGCGGTTCCCCCTGGAAACCACCATGTTTAATTCTTGACGAATTCATCATGGTGGGCCAACTAATCTGCATTCATTTTCACCTATCATCTTCCACTGGTGCCTCGTCGGTGTATACCAATAGCGCGGGCGGGGTTACCAAACCATTTTGACCCATTAAAAAAAAGGGGGAGGTCTATGTTCAACAGTGGATAGTTAACCGTTGATATGATATGATGATGATGATGATGACACATAAATGTATGAATAAAAAACCGCAAACAAAGTCTTGCCATTAGAATATAATCACATTACAATGCACAGTGTTCCGGTTAACTCGATGCGGGTTTTTAACAGTTGCGATAAAATACTAAAAGTGATATACGAGTACATACTATTTGTCTCTTTGCGTTTATGACGTAAATCTTATTGATTACAAGATTTTACCTGTAATTTAAATCGCGTAATCGAGATATGCTCATTGAACCAGATAAATAATAACTTGTGTCCTTCTCGGGCGCGGGCATCAAACAATTCTACGTATGTTACAAATAAATATATTGCTGTTACTTTACAGTTACAGTTGTTAATGGCTGTCAAGGGTTTCTAGACTAGACCAGAGGGAGACTTTGTACAAAAGTCGATTGGTTGGGTACCTCTGTCCCATTCGTGTTTCAACCGTGAAGCAGTTGTGTTGTGAAGCACCCTTCAAACCGAAACACAGCCATGCGGCTGTGTTTCGGTTTGAAGGGTGGGATATGGCGTGAATTTACTGGGTACAGAGGAATAACACCTGAGTCCTCAGGAATGGCAACGCACGGGAGGTATCATGGGCGAAACAGTATACTCTGTTATGTCCATAGTACTGCTCATGTCTATAGGCGACGGTTACCACTTACCATCAGGTGGGCCGTCAGCTTGTTTGCCATTCTAAGTTGTATAAAAAAAAAAACTACTTTTATTATACATGAAAGACTTTGATGTGGTTTACAAGACCTTGTCTTGATGATCCAAACATTAATTTGAAAACTCATAGGTTTTAGTTGAGGTTCAATCTTGGGATTTAGGAAATGCAATCAAGCGTTGTCCGACGAAGTTATCGCTTGTTGACCGTTCATTCGAAGTAATATAATTGGTACATCTTAGTAAAGAAATTTTTTTTTTCAAAGCAATAGAATTCGTACCCTGTTTTTTTTTTTTAATAACTTACAAAATCAACGTCACCGTCTTCTGGCAAAAGGACGACCAATCTCCAACCAGGCTCAACTGCAGGCGACAGACGGTATCTGATGTTGTACTGGAACTGGCAGCTTACTTGCATCCTCGGCGGTGACACTGTCGGATCTGAGGTGTGATCTGTGAATTGGCAGTATTTTTAATGATTCTCCATGGATATTTTTTAATATAATCTGTTTCTAAAGTAACGTTAATTAGAATAGTCTGTTTCGATAGAACTTAACGCAAACAAATTAATAGACCCGACCATAACATCGTCGTTTCATTTCATTTATTTATTTTATGATATATAAGTAGACAACAATGGATGGTGAAAGAAAATAAGTTTTTAACCTCACACATTTATTGACGTGATCATTAGTCTTGCTATGTCTAGTAATTATGATCTTAATTACTAGACATCGGCATTATATCAGCTTTTAACTGTCTACTACTGAACATAACTCTCCCCCTTGGGGGGGGGGGGAGAGGAAGGGGTTTGCCAGTAGTTGCCACACTTGGCAGGAAGATTGGCATCTGCTGTTAGGCTTTAGAGATGTTTTAAGAGGAACGTTGCTGCTTATCCCTCGTCTTCCTTTATTCGCCTCTTACGACACTTATGGAAAAGAAAGAGCTAGACTATTTTATGCCGGGACCACACGGCCAGTCGATGTCTAGTAATAGTACAATGGAAAATCAATTAATTTCTGTAATAATTGCAACAAAACTTGGTTAGTTTTCCAGTAAACTCTACTGAAACGGACTGTGGATGATGACCGCCTGCGCAATCGAGCGCCAGTGGGAAATCAGTGAACGAGGTTAGGTAATGATGAAGTTAGAGTTGTTGGCCCATCCCGATCCATTCACACACCAGCAATGAACCACGATAGTTTTCAAGGGGAATCACGTAGATGACGACCTGACAGGTTACATTGCAATGGAGACTAACAGACTTAGATATACTCAATATACTCGTAGATACATCTGTAACTATTTACCCATAACAATTTTCAGTATAATTACATTTTTGTTTGCCCAGTGATTGACTGCGAGAGAATTCTGTATAGTATTGAGTCTGTTTTTTGTACTAAATATTTTTTTTGTAATGTGGTCAATAAAGAATAAATAAGTAAATAGACGACGCAAGTATTTCAATTTATATGAAAACTAATCATGACAGTACCAAAATATTTGTCTTGATGTTACATAAATAACGGATTTATTGAAAGCAAATCCTTTACGGAATATAGATAGTATATTTTAAAGGATTTCGGCCATTCGAAAATACAATCTTTTTTGTTAATACTTCAAACCTTGTTGGTATAAATTTTATACCAGAGGGAGACTCTGTACAAAAGTCGATTACTTGGGTACCTCTGTCCCATTCGTATTTCAACCGTCAAGCAGTTATTTGCATGGCTGTGTTTCGGTTTGAAGGGTGAGATATAGCGTGAATTTACTGGGTACAGAGGAATAACACCTGAGTCCTCAGGAATGGCAACGCATGGGGGGTATCATGGGCGAAACAGTATACTCTGTTATGTCCATGGTACTGCTCATGTCTATAGGCGACGGTTACCACTTTCCATCAGGTAGGCCGTCAGCTTGTTTGCCATTTTAAGTTGTATAAAAAAAATGTAATAAAGTTTAATCGGAGTTCATAGGCTGAATTTATTTAAAGGCTAAAAATGAAACACAGATATTCTATTCTATTTGAATCTTGATCTGGTCTATCCACACTCATTTCCATATTGACGGTAGGTACGCTTTCATCGTGTGTCTACTAGTGATGGCCGCATACGTGTGCTTGCAAATAAAGTAAATGTTACTATATATTAAAGATAATACTTACTTAATACGTTCTCTTGACACGAAGACACGGTGAAAGATTTAGACTGCAATAATGAAAAATAAGGAATTAGAATTTTTGTGTTGTGTGAATTTATTTGACATAGAACAAATGCAACATTATAATTATTTCGTTTTCATATGGATGAAGATGAAACACCATGTTCATTAAACAAATGTTATAAATTTACCATTTATGATTTTATTACACAAGAAACAACTTTAATCGTAACAAAATTAGAAAGAGTTGAAAAAATAAAACATAAGACTTAAACCTTATGGTTAGCAATAAAAATTTTCGGAAATCGGTTTAGGATTGGTAAAGATAATTGCTTATCTAACATTTATATATAAAATACTGGGAAATTGAACACCAATTATTTTTTAAGTTGTTGAAAAACACATTCCTTTTTTGTTCTGTGTAAACATTATATTTTGAAATAGCCTAAGCCGTGGATTGTCTGTATAGCAGTATACTATAGTTACATAGGTGTTACAAAATCCAAGGCTTGTGTCTAATGCCAAATATATCAATCATATTTTGAGCCTAGATAGCAAACAGTTTGAGTATTTGCCCTCCGGGCTATTTTAAGAACTAGTATTGAAATAGGTATATGTAATAGAAATAACTTTGTTGTTGAAATACCTAAACCATACCATTACCATCAGTAAGGATTATTAAAAGAAACAATTAATTGTAAACTACATAGTTCAATTGCATACATTATGTTGATCTATTGTATTATGACGGTATAATCGTATGATAATAATATGGACACTTTTATAATTTTCTGCAACACGGCGCGATATCATACGATTTTATCGTCACGATATAATAGGAGAGCAAAATGTATGCAAATCTATCATAATAATTTTATGTCCATACATGTCTACGATATCGTCATGCCGTATACAATTACGATATTGTCGGGAAAAATTAAAAGCATCTCCGTACAATTGCCTACATTTTGCTATCTTATTATACAGTGACGCTAAAATCGTATGATATGGGCGTTTTTATAATTTACAGTTGCGCTACACAACAACGTACAATTATATCGTAATAATATATTATATAGGAGAGCAAAATGTATGCTTTTGTGAAGATGCTTTTAAATTTTATTGTATGTCCATGATATAATAGAAAATTAAAAGCAATTATATACATTTTGCTCTTCTATCATATTGTGACGTTAAAATCATAAGATCGTGTCATTGTACGGTAAATTACAGTAAATAAAATCGCCTATTTGTGACATTCAATCCACAGGTGACTGCGTCAAAACACTACAATATGGACTTCAGAGCTCAGTAACTAAAATACAATTTTAAGTCTTTACAACTAGATATTAGAACTGAACTTACTGGTAGTCGACTATCTTTGCTGTATGTGTTAATCTTTGTTTACAACGTGCAAGAGACGTGTGTCCAATAAGAGAGATTGAATCATTGCCGATTGTGCAAGTGTTTGTCAACATTATACTGAAATAATCCGTCTAACCGCTTTTAATTGCGATTGAGTTTTAAAAACTGGAATTCGACGAAATTTCAGTTTTATAATTTGTTAGATGTATCAGATGGAGGTCATGCTTATTCGTGATTTATCTATGCGACATACATGCATATTACATGACATATATGTATATATATGCTAGTTGTAGTCTACCAAAAAAGAGAGTACTGGGTACCTCTATCCTATTCGTGTTTCTGCCGTGAAACAGTTGTCTTGGATGACTGTTTCAGATTAAAGGGATATGCCAATGAAATTACAGGGTATAGAGAAGAGAGGACAAAGAGAGAGAGAGAGATCTGTCCCTTTGGGGGAAAATGTGCAATATTACTGTTGGAATTAGAACAGAAAATGTAAGCTAATGTTTACGACTTCATACATATCAGTATCAATGTTGTGGAAAATTTTGGTACCCACTTATATAGATATAGGTCGAATGAAAATGGGTAATTTTAAATTGAAATATATTCCAAAGCTACGGTTGACGTGACCGTTATATTTGAATTGATATTCTCCTGGAGCACAGTGGTGTTTGATATTTTAATAATACTAGCCACCAAATATATTCAATTGCCAGACATATAAACTAGATGCCAAAATTTTGGGTAATTTGGATAAAAAAAAATATTACACTGACCCCAAAATTTATATAATTGGTGTAAGCGTAGAATGAGAATGATAATCAATATGGAATAATGTACTTTTCTGTGTTAATGGTATGCAAACGGTGGGATGTGACCAGTGGTAGATAAATTGATAAGGATGAAGTTAGGTCAATTAGCCCCACGATGGTTTACAAGGGGACCGTGTGGACCTCCAAATAGACTACCAACTAGACTGACAAGGTATATTGGCTGGTAATAGGGACCGTTGGTCCTCATTACCATCTTCATTCCTCTTCTTTTCGGTTGCAGTGTATTGAGAATTACTAGCAACAGATCTTTTTCAAATACCTTAGAATATGGATCACTTTCAGAAAATACAGCATAGATAATATAACTCTCTATTTCTTTGGTGACTTACTTTTCGATGGTTGCGGGTTCGATACCCGCACAATGCAAACATTTGTATTAATAAGTATGTCTGTTTGTATTGTTCTGGTTGATTTCTATATATTTATGTATGTACATATTTTAAAAATATGTATTTACGTATGTTCCGTCAGTTGTTTAGTACTCAAACTACAAGCTTTGCTTAGTTTGGAAGACTTTGGAAAATAGCATTGGCATTGGATAATATGACTCGAGTATTTGTTCGTTTTATTACAAGCTTTTACTCGCGATTTTGTCCACGTGATTCGGATGTACTAATTAACCGGGATAAAAACTAGCCTGTGAAGGGAAAGCGATTTCTAGTAATGGGGTTTAACTTCCAAATTATTGGCAATACACTCTACCAGATCGACTTCCACGCGGTTCCCTCTGGAAACTATCGTGGTTAATTTTAGTAGAATTCGTTACTATGGGCTAAAGGACCTGCGTTCGTTCTCATCTATCATCCCTCACTGGTGCCCCGACATCGTATACCGATAGCGCAGGTGGGGTTAACAATTAGAAATGAGGAGGTCCTGCTTAGGGTTAAGGAAAAAAGACATTATTAGAACTATTGAGGACAGAAGGGGAAAATGTTGGGACACTTGGTACGACACGACGAATTTATGAACATTATAATAGAAGGTAAAATAGAAGGAAGGAGGGGAAGAGGGATACCGAGAGATAGTTACATCAGGCAGATCAAGAAAGGAGTTGGTGTCGTGTCGTATCAAGAAGTGAAGAGATTCGCTGAAAATCGTAGTGAGTGGCAAGAGCTCCACCGACAAGAGAGCAGCTCTTAAGTAGGATAGATAGATAGATGCTCTTTAAATGGATTTCATTTTTCCATCTCAAATATTACGTGTATGGCATAATAAATTTCATGACACTGATTCGTTAATGCATTAAGAGGTAATTTGTTTGTTACAAATAAACATACAAACTCGCTTTCACATTCACCACTTAGCGCCTTAAGGGCTTTACTAGTAACTATGGAATATAGTTTACACTTTCTATATGGGATGGAGAAGGATATAGATTACTATTCATCCCGATGAATAATTTTCCGTCACGCAAAGTCGCGGGTTAAATCTAATTTTATTATATTAGGAAGAATTATTTAATGCCTTACCAATCGCCTTGAAATTTGGTATACACGTAGGTACTATATGGGATAGAGCAGGACATAGGTTTTTTTTATCCGTAAAAATGGCATGGTTACCCCGCCTGAGCTATTGGTATACACTTGCGGGGGCCAGTGAGCGGTGATAGGTGAGGATGAAAAGGCAGGTCAGTTAGCCCATTGTGACGAATTCAATGATAAATTGGTCATGATAGTTTCCAGGGGAAACCGCGTGGAGATCGACCTGATAGGGTATATTGATAGCAATGAGGACTACTACTACCCATTACTAATAATCCCTTCCCCCCAGTAGGACATAGGTTAGGTACCATTTATTCCGATCAGTGAACATATCTTCGTCATGCAGACGAAGTCGCGGGTGAAAGCTAGTTTTTATTAAGAATTGTTGAAATAAATTTAGTAGTGAGTACAGTCTACTTGTACCTTCTTATAGATTTAACGAACATTTTTAAATGTCAGCGGACAGCAACGACCTAGATATTGTAAATATTCGCTCCCTTCCTATTTGATCAGTTGTCTAACAGTTCGACGTAATCACGACTATTGTCAATAAATTACGTTTAATACATTGTTTGTCCGCATTTTATATTTTTGTGCAATATCTTTTCTATCTGGGAAAATAGAAACAGCTAAGTATCTGCGCAAACGACTTTAAACTGTGGTTAAAAATTCCCATTTATGTTTATCTCCTTTTTCCAGATCTGCTAGGAGAAAAGAAAAATTTGTATGATAAAATGAATGATGTAAGGAAAATCTGGATATTTTTTATTTCTATAATACCATTGTTTGGGGGGAAAGGGATTGTTAGTAATGGAGACTGAGAATCCCATTGCTAGCAATATACCCGACCAGGTCGACCTCCTCGCGGTTCCCCCTGGAAACTATCATGATTAATTCCAGATGAATTCATCATGATAGGCTAACTGGCCTGTTTTCATCCTCATCGATCATCCTTCACTGGTGCCCCGCCAGCGTATCCCGTTAGCGCAGGCGGGGTTACCATTCCATTTTCATTCAATAAAAAAAACCATTGTTTTTTGAACTAAGATTCTGCAGAATTAGCCACTAAAAGGCTAAAATACTACACAAATTATCAATATGAAAAATATATTTTAAATTTTAACCAAAAATCAAGTATGCAACTGGTTACAAAAACGCGTAATTCTTTTCACCAAAACTGTTTGTTTGTTATCTCTGGCGTCCAATTAACTGTAATTAAATTTGGCATACATGTATTATTGTTTGAGATGAAAGAGGAGGTAGGAGAACATATGAGCTTATATTTTCTAGTTTACTGCTTTGATTATGAAGGATGTTGCGAAATTAGCTAGTAATGTACTTATGTATTTCTGTGAGATTTTAATTTCGATTGAAGGAAAGACAAGCAAAAGTATTTTTTTTTTTAATAAAAAAGAACACATGCTTCTTTTAATTTCTGTTGCAATAATTTACTATAATGCAGCATAGATAGACAAAAAATTCAAGTTTAGTATTAGTTGTAGTCAACTACGGCGTTGGTTTTCCGTCTGCATCTCTGATTCTGCGAAAATTGGGGATTGGTTTCACTTAAAGGTTTTCCTTTGAGAAATTCAGGAGTAGGTAAATTTTAGAATGTAGCCTATTATTTCACATAAATAGATTTGTGATCAGCATTTACCATTATTAATACAGAGTTTTGGTATTAGCCGGATTCGAACTCACTACACAAATTAGAAACAAACATGCTATTTTTCAAACATTCTTTACTATAATTATATTATGTAAAACTATAAATAAAAAATACCTTACCTCATATTGATAAATCTGCAAATCTCTGCAGACGTATTCCGCTAAATTACTTAATGCCGTGTAAGACGCGTTCAAGTTCATTGCAATTTCACCACTGTTTTTGGCAGTGTCTTGTGCAATCGCGCCAAAAAAATCAACGAGACATAATATAACTAATATGTTTTTGTAACACAACATTTTTTTTTATTATTTAATATAATTATTTATTTTTAATAAAATCTGTATATTATTTCACTTAAAAACGTGACTATAAATCGTAGTAAATATTATATTTTTAAATGATAAGTTGATATTTGTGAATAATAGTTACATTGGTACCGCGCACTTAGTTGCCTATGCGGCTGACGTTCGAGTCGCGCGCGCTACTTGCCCCACTGTCCGTAACTGGGGCGAACGGCGTAGCGCCACCTGAGAGCTTACGGTTTCACGGGCGGGCAACTAACCCCCATCCATGTTTGTCTTATGGTGGCGCCAGACATTTTGAGACTACCGTGAAACTCACGAGCAGACCCCGTTGTAAATGCTCGCCGAATCCCAAGTCAAGTCTCTGTGATCGATTCTGTAATTTCTTACGTTCCAATAGAATGTTGTTCTATTGTATGTGTATAATATATATAATATTTATATACTAATATATAATACACAATTTATATATATGTATGTATATATAATCATATCAGCCGTTAATTGTCCATTGTTGAACATAAGCCTACCCCAAAAGGCGGGTTTTGCCAATAGTTGTTACGCTTTTTAAGCGAGTCGGCAACCGCAGTTAGGACATGGTGATATTTTAAGAGGGACGCTGCTGCCCATCCCTCGGTCATTAAGTTCCCTTAATAGCCTTTTACGACACCCATGGAAAAGGAAGAGTTGATCCTTACTATGCCAGGACTACACGGCGGTATGTATAATATGTACACATAAATGCACAGATGTTTTTATGTCTTTGATGAAAATAGTGCACATACCAATTATTATCCACTAACTGAATCCCGCGGCTTTTCTTATGTAAATCAGTACATAAAGTATCCTAAGTGCTAAGTTAGGATATAACCTATCCGTATATTATCAGCAAATCCGTTCAGTAGTTTTTACCTGAAAGAGTAATCTTCATCCATCCATTCATACAAATTTTCGCATTTATATATAGTTGATGTTGATACAAAAAAAAAAAAGAAATAATAATGTTCTCTAATATGACAATGATTACGAGAAGAAATATTTCTTTCGATGTGCTGATATTTATTTTTGTACCAATATAGGTCTATAAATCATAATACAGAGAATAATAATAAAAAATATGCTCACGATTAAAATCTTTAACGAAGTACATAAAGGTATTTAAGGACTGTGGCCCACACAATAAACAATGTTTGCATCTAACGTTGTTACAAACATTGATTGTAAATACGTGGGGGAAAGGGATTATTAGTAATAACAAGAAGTAAGCACGATGACATGCAGGCAGATCCTGCTTGCAAGTCATCGTTCTTGTAGAATTTGTCTTAACTACCTGACTTGCTTTCATCCTCATCCATCATTTCTCGCTAGTATCACGCTGGTGTATCCCGGTAGCACAAATTATACGAGTTATCGTTACATTTTCACCCAATAAACAGTAAATACGCAAAAAACTAGCGAGCATTTTAAAATGGCTGTTTGGCAAACAATAATATAGTTATTCAGAATTCGGTAAGTACCATGTAGCGTTCACTGGATTAGAGCGCTCGCCGAATATCGAATGTCTGGCGCCACCTTAATAAAGTTCAGGTCGTCGCATGACCGATACAGCTTTATTTTTAATTTTTTATAATTTTATCAATGACACTGTCTTTATGTATGTAAATTTACAATTAAATAAAATTTTCAATATATATGTATATTATATATATACTCGAATATATAAATTTCTTTCACAAAAAATAATTTATAAATGTTTGTATCAGCCGTTAACTCTCCACTCCTGAACATAACCTCTCCCATAAGGAGGGTTTGCTAGCAGTTGCCAGGCTTGACAAGAAGGTTGGCTATCATAGTTAGACTTTGATGATGTTTTATGAGGGATGCAGCTGGCCATCCCTCGATTATTAATTTCCCTTAGTCGCATCTACTACGACACCCACAGGAAAGAAAGGGGAGTTCCATACTATATCGGGACTACGCACAGAAATGGCAAAGAACTATATATGTTGTTGTTGTTTAAGTTTCTCTATCCAAACTTCATTAATATAGACAATTTTTTTTTTTAAATTGACTTAAAAAATCTTTCAAACATGAAACAAGGGTAGAGGTATAGGAATAGAGATTTATTCTCTACCTGTACTATAACTCTGAGGGGTATGGCGTGAAAATATATGTATAGGTAAACGAATAATGTTTGTATGTATATTTTAGGAGAAATCGATATTACGGGCAAAGGTCAGTGACCTAATTAGCCTCTATTTATACATTAGCTTAATGCCTAATTGATACAAAATTTACAGATTAATTTCATCTCAATAGAGATGACTTACTTAAGTCTGGGTGTATATAATTATTTCAACAAGTAGTAAACATGTAGGTATATCACATACGAGTATTTATATATGTTCATATATTTTTAAATGAATCATGTTCGTAATGATTTTTGATGTTGCAATTCTCATTACTGATTGAATCATAGAAGAAAAAAAATATAATAATAACCATCTTATTTTTTTTATTGGACTATAAACAATTTTCCAAAAATTTTTTTTTTCATACAAACCTTGTTTTTACAATTACAAACATTATAAAAAAGTGCTAAAGCGTAGTCGTTTTGAAATGAATAAATTGTCAAATACATGTATTTGACAATTTATTTTTATTAAGAGTTAAAAGGATTATTAGTACTGAGGGTTTAAAAGCCCTTTTTTATACAACTTAGAATGGCAAACAAGCTGACGGTCCACTTGATGGAAAGTGGTAACCGTCGCCTATAGACATGAGCAGTACTATGGACATAACAGAGTATACTGTTTCGCCCATGATACCCCCCATGCGTTGCCATTCCTGAAGACTCAGGTGTTATTCCTCTGTACCCTGTAAATTCACTCCATATCCCACCCTTTAAACCAAAACACAGCCGTGCAAACACAACTGCTATACGATTGAAACACGAATGGGACAGAGGTACCCAAGCAATCGATTTTGTACAAAGTCTCCCTCTGGTCACAGAATATATTAGCTGTAATGACGTAATAAAATATTTATACATAAACTAATATTTAATAATTAATCTCCCGCAAGACTTCATCCATCAGCTTATGAGCTCAGAAATGCGTAATGACATAGTGAATTCGAAAACTCATATTGCTAGCAATATATCCTTTCAGGTCGAACTCCGCGTGGTTTCACCTGGAAACCATCATGATTAATCCATCGCGATGGGCTAACTAACCTAATTTTATCGAGGAAAAAGGGTTTGTTAATAATGGATTCTAACAGCCCCATTGCTAGCAATATACTCTATTAGGTCTACCTCCACACAATTCACCCTGGAAGTCATCGTGTATATTTTTGTCGATTCTTCACAATGGGCCGATTGACCTGTCTTCACCCTCAACTACCATCTCTTACTGGTGCCATACCAGCATATACCAATAACGTAGGCGGGGTTACTACTCCATTTTCACACATTTAAAAAAACCTGATTATATCCTTACCTATACGAGGTCTGTCCGGAAAGTTCGTATAAAAGTGTTCTGGAATGCGAGAAAGAGGAGTGGGGAGGCCAGGTAAGCGCAGGACCCCTTCCTTATGTCCCTAACAATGCTTCAGTTCTGGTCTGACCGCCGTGCGGTGCGAACTGGCTTGTCACGCCATCTGTGAAGTTACCTCTTAACGAAACCCCGTCGGCATGGAGCCCGCTTCCGTTGAAGAGCAGTGCATCGTAATCAAGTTTCTCTCGAAACTCGGCAAGAATGGCCGTGAAATTTTTGCCGATCTAATTCGATAAGACATCCGGGGAACCACGAACAAAAAAATCAAGAAAATCCCGCTCAAATGTCAAGACAATGTTGATTGTTTTTTTCGATGTTCGGGGGATTGTCCATCAAGAATTCGTCCCTCCAGGCCAGACAGTTGATGGAAAATTCTACGTCGATGTGCTCAGACGCCTCAAAGCTCGTGTGGCACGAGTTCGTCCAGAATTGGCGCGAGAGGGGCGTTGGATTCTTCACCACGACAATGCCCCTGCCCACACCTCTCTTGTTGTCCGTGAGTTTTTGAGTAAAAATTCCATTACGGTGACCGAACACCCCCCCTATTCGCCGGATTTGGCCCCGTGTGACTTCTTCTTGTTCCCAAAAACCAAATTGGTACTTCGGGGGCGGCATTTGGGGGACATAAATGAGATAAAAAAAGCTACGACGGGGCAGCTGAGAAACCTACAACCAGAGGACTTTCAAGGAGCCTTCTCACAGTGGAAACGGCGTTGGCACAAGTGCATTATGTCACAGGGGGAGTACTTTGAAGGGGATAAAATTGATTTACCTGAATAATTGTAAAATAAAATTTTTAAAAAACTTTTATACGTACTTTCCGGACAAACCTCGTAATTTTCTTTTATACACGACATGTGACCACATCATCTTAAGTGCACATCAAGACATGTTTTTTTTTATACAACTTAGAATGGCAAACAAGCTGACGGCCCACCTGATGAAAAGTGGTAACCGTCACCTATAGACATGAGCAGTACCATGGACATAACATCATGGGCGAAACAGTATGTTTCGCCCATGATACCCCCGATGTGTTGCCATTCCTGAGGACTCAGGTGTTATTCCTCTGTACCCTGTAAATTCACGCCATATCCCGCCCTTCAAACCGAAACATAGCCATGCAAACACAACTGCTTCACGGTAGAAACACGAATGGGACAGAGGTACCCAAGCAATCGACTTTTTGTACAAAGTCTTCTTCTGGTCCATGAATACTATCAATTGAAACCAGAATATTCAAATCACAACGGTTAGCCGTATTATGTCTGCTCACTAAGTGCTTTTTAACACTACATTTGAAGGATTTGAGGTTATAGGCCGAAGGAAACATGTTATGGGAAAGGTCATTCTACATTGTTACGGCAAGGATCACGTAAGAGTTGACAAACTCATTTTTACGCTAGCGTGGGCGGTCTACCGTGTATAGATGTAGACGCTGGCCTATCCTCGTGATGAGATATCGAAAAAAGAAAGGAGAAATAAGGAAATAGGTTTGATTTACTGATGTGCCGCCATCGTATACCCAGAAAGTAGACGGGGTTATCAAGTCATCTTCACCTATATAAAAAAATGTGTACTTGTTGGTATATTGTTCATTTTGTTCAAAGGAATGAGCGCTTATTGTACCGCG